CTATCGGTACCTGCCTCAGCTAGGCATCCTTACCTTCCTCCGTTTGTAAGGATTAAGGTAGGTAGGCACGTCCGGAGGGTAAGCACACCTGCACCTCCACAACTTCAGGGTTCAAAGTGTCCAGGCACCCTCTGTTTCTTATTGGCAGCCTCGTTCGCGTTGTCACAACACAAAAACTTGGACAAGATGTCCACATTGCAACCTCGCTCTGGCTCGCTTATGCCGACCCTTGAGGAGCGATTGACAGGGGCGAAAGTCCACGCAGCCTTTCCGATCAGTGATCATCTCTCCGCAGAAAGTGAGGCTGCAGCGGAGGCGAAAGAACCTGGAAACCCCAACCCAGCTGTGTCCAGGGCCCGAGCGTGGCGAGGATGCGGGACCAAGCCACAGGGTTTAATTGTTCACCGGGCCCATCGCAGGCGAAATGCGCAGGGGACGCTTGCCAGGGTGGACAAAGCTTTACGTCCAATCCTTCTGCGAATAGCTTCACTTTCGAGGCCTCTGGGACCCCTAAAACCAAGAGTTCATGACACGAGAGATTCAGTGATCTCGCGTTTCTACCATTGGAACGTCGATTGTCATTTTCCCTGGAGATCCCTTCCCCATACTGATCCCGGTCTCCTTATCATCATCACCTTTTCCCCTGAAAATGGACTTTTTGCATTTGCCCCAACCGATGCCCAGGCGCATTTGCCATCTGCATCATCGCCAGGGTCTCTTTCCCGTCCCAAACCCAGGGTCGTATCTACTATTTTCGGCTACAGCACCCTGTGCTGCAGAAGCTCGATACACTTCACTCCTTGTCCAGATCAGCCTCCCCAGCTTCCCTTGTGGCAACAGACCATGTTGTTTACCTTGCCTTTCCAAGCTCTGGACTTCAAATCTTCGTCAAGAATATCAAAGCCAAGTGTTCATGCTTGCCATTCATTGGATGCCCTGTGCCGAGTGACACAGCAGGATTAGTCGTGGATCGTATCGCCTCGCTTGTCTCGAGGTTTTCAAGGCTGCATTTGCCTGCACGATAATGCAGTCTCCCGCCATCGGCCCACCACAAACCCTGACTACTATCACCACCGTTACCGGTCTCGGTCCATCGCCCTCGTCTCTGCTTGAGTGCACCGCAAGCAGCCGGAAAGGCTCGACCCTGTCTGGATGCTCAAGAGTCACTCTTGGTGGCGGTCGTGCCCCATGGTGACTGTCGGCGGGTAGGGTTCAGGGGTTTGGACAGTGCTGCCTGCTTCACTCGAGTATGGCATACCAAGGTGCACGATGGGGTCTTTGGTGCCTCACGCTGCTCCCTGCCCCTTGGTTCAAGAGGTCGACTTAGCAATATCGATGACTATCAGGAGGCGGCCATGGATGCACTGCCCTTCGAGCCCACTGCTCTCCTCTCCGCAAATGGAACTCTCTCCGCCCTTTCACACGGGGCAAGTCGACCCGCCGCCGGCCAGGCCATGATCCAAACCTCCTTCCTCACTCGATGCTCTCCAGTCAGATGCATCATCACCTTGCCTCCTGGCTAGCTACACCCCACGCCTGGACCGGGCCGAGGAGGGCTGATGGCAAATCCATTCCCACATGCCGAACAGCCAGGCCCAGGGTGGCTTCAGAGGAGCAGAGAGTCGTCTACTTGCGACAAGTACCTCCTGTCGATTGATACTTTCCGGGCTCTATCGGTCTTGACAAATTCACACCCCCTCATGACTGCCCCCTGAAAATCTCTCTGCATGCCCAATGCGACTCTGGACCATGAACAACCTGTCAAGTTGGGCGCGGAAGCTTCCCTGTCAGACTTCAGGATCTTCTCTCCTCCACGATGAAGAGCACAATGTCGTTCCTCGCTGACCGCCTTTTTTGCACCTGCAAGACACGCTCATTTTCCATGATTCATTCCATGCTGTGGAACACTTGTCTTCGGCGTTGCAGTGTGACCTGCGGGCGGGAGCATGACTAGCTTCCTGTGGCTGCTGCGGTGCCATGTAGGACAGCCTGGCAAGGTATCTATGCGCGGCCTGCTGTAATGCCTATGCCGGCGGTGATCCTGTGGTGGCTGCTGGTGGTGGGCCGGGACCTTTTTTCCTGTCTGTCTGTTTGTCTGTCGCGAGTCCACACATCCCCCTCGGTCTTCTGATTCCGTCGCCTGCATTTGTCATTTGCAGCAACCTTGGCCACCTTCTTCCCGTGCCGTGATTGACTTTGCTTCATAATGGGCCTGCTTTTGCGGCCGCATCAACAAGCCCTTTGTTGATATCTCTGCAGAGCACAAGTGGCAGATACTCCTGACCAGTGATAGGACAGGGGCTCGAGGCACTTCGCTGGCGCTAAATGTCGAGCCACTGCTCTGGCTTGAACTTTGTAGCACACAAGCGGAGCAGCGTTGAGTAGTATGATCAGTCAACTTCCGGTTTTTGTCTATTACTCATGAAAGACATGCACGATATTCAGATACAAGTCAGTACTTGGGTATCATTTACTTTGCAAAGACGGGATTTTGGCCATACGCAGACTCCAGGGCCTGTATGCATGCAGAGCCTCCAGAATACACAACTGGTACCCGATCCCCTTGACAGTCCTCTTCAGATGCTTGGAGAGGCAGGTCTATGCTGGCACTTCAGCCACAGCACCCACCTGGTAACTACGCACCGGCGGGCTTCTCGCCGACGGAAACCGAACGTGGGTGACACCCGGCATGATTGGACACGGACTGCTTATGAGCGAGCCCAACTCGTAAGATACTGACAAGGGTTGTCTGAAGCTATGTCCCTCTGGAGCTTCTACACCAAGTCAGCTCGAGACAAGCCCTGGCCATTATCAACAGGACACTTATGGCCGGATCCGACAAATTGGGAAACAAGCTACCCTGGCTCGCTTGTCCTTGTACAGTTTGCGCCCAGGGCACACCCCCGTCACCTGTTCGAGGCACTCTCTCGCCCGTTTCTGCACCTCGACCGTTGGGATGCTCGAGGAGGGGACCAGGTCTGGTAGGGCCATTGTCCTTTCAGGAGCTATGGCACCTGGAAACAAGGTTCTTTCCCGCAAGCCCGTGATAGGGCCGCAGTATCTCCCAGCTCCCAGCCGTCCACCTACCTCCACTCTTCTTTTCCCTTTGGCTCCTCCACCGCTTCCCGACTGACCGTAGATTGCCTAGCTCAGCAAGAGGTCACCAGACCGGTTTTCCCAGGACCAGGTTTTGGAAGGTTTGGAAAAGGAAAAAGCAAGAAGAAGAAAAAGAGGCGGCGGTAAGCACGGTTACTTTTTCTCGATCGAGAAGGACCAGCCTAGTCTTGCACAAGCTTCGCATGTTCCGGCGCTCCCCGCCGCGGGCGGCGGAGGGGACGGCATGGCCCATGTTCACCTAGGGTGGCCTCCCATGACAGGTCGATGCTGCAGGCCGCCCGTCTCTAATTCTGATCGCCTTCTGCGGTAGCCAAGCACAAAGGGATGGGAAAACAAAGAACGCAACTACAGGGGTTGGCCGGGCGGTGTGTGTGTGTCTCCGCGGGAGCGTGTGTCCACGCACGCCCGTCTGTTCTTGTGGTCCAGGGAAGTGCGTACAAGGGCCATCCCGGACGGACCTGGGAATGCTATTTTCGCTTCAGGATTGATGCGAGTTCGAACTTCTCCATTCTGAGATGCCCATGCCCATGCTCTCGGAATGTCACCACCGGGGGCTCTCGCTCTCTCGTAGGTGTGCGCCTACCACACACAGACATCGCACGCCTCTCACTCCTTTCACCGCGGACATACGTCGCGCGCCAAGAACTGCTTTTGGCATCCTCATCGCACCACACGACGGGGCCTAGAGGCAGAGACAGCAGGTAAGAAGCGCATCCCTGACCTTGCTCTTGCCGTATCTGCATACGTACATACATGCGTATATGCATACGTACATATCAAGAGAGTCACACACACACACTCACGCACTCACACACACACACACCTAAATACACAACCCACACATACCTATTACACATAAAGTAATGCTCCGTTCATGTAAGAGGTAGAGAGACAAGAGAGTCGAGAACGAGACTAAACCTGCCCGCTCTTCAACCACACCCCCTCTCGTCGAACAAGGCACGGATGCAGGGCTGGGACTTCCGGCCGGGGCAGGGAACATGGTCCCAGACAGAGTTCACGGGCGTGCATGATCGGTGATTCGAGACAAGACATCATCACCCAGGCCGAGGGCGGCGCAGGCATGGAGTCTTTGGGTTCCTTTTTTGTTTTTCTCCTCTACCGCGTGAAACGTTGCTCGGCCGTCAGATTTGGCCGTGGGGGGTGTGGTGGGGAAAGGATCTTTCACTTCCATCTGGAACCTTTGTCGTTGGATGGTTCGTGCGGACGGAGGAAATGAGCGGTCCAGGCCGCCCCCGGGTCTGATGCGGAGATTGCGCCTTTGATGCCCAACGTGGTCTGTGTTCGTGGAGATCGAGATGCTGACACGAGAGAGTGTGCTGAGGGTCAGGAGGAGGAGGCTGGGGATGGCAAGAGGAGCCGTCTGTGGTCTAGTGAGTCTGACACTTGGGTGTTCAAAACTGGAGAGAAGAGCGTCTGATGCGACTGTGGAGTTTTAATGTGGAATAGGGGTTGATTCTCGTTGTCTGGGGATAAGGGGCGGCTTGTATGTGCGATAGTGCTGCCTTCGAGCAAGAATATCCAGGCCAACCATATGGCCACATCCGGGTTGGAAGTCATGATTTTGAGGAGAAGGAGACTTCCGTTCGCAAAGGAAGGAGAGCCGCGAATGACTATTCGAGTTTCTGGGAGACTTTGAGCCTCCGTGGTGTTGAATCGTCGCCATCACAACAGAGATCTGTCCGTCCGTGTACCATCAACCATCTGTTGTCTGCAGAGACCAGTTCGTTTCCTTCCCGTCACAACTGGCGGTAGATTATCAGGTCTTGTTGTCAAAGTTATCGAGCAACAATAATACAGAGTTCTACCATTTCTACATCCCATATCGTACAGTCCGTCCGTCCACCCCCGAGCAGTCAGTCCTCTCAAACCATCCGAGGCAGGTAATACTTGACATTCTCGTACACCAGGAAGGTGACCCAGGTCGCCGGCAGGACCCTCACGACGCCCGGCATGAGCCCGCGGTAGAAGCCTCTGTACCCTTCCTCCCTCCACAGCTGCGACACGACGCCCACGATGCCCCTGCCGAAGCGCGCCTCGGCGTCGTAGTTCTGCAGCCGGCTGCGCACGACCTGGTACGGGTACGTCACGGCCCCGGCGACCAGCTTGGAGGCCGTCGAGATGACGAGCGTCGCCTCGTTGGTCAGCCTCGTGTCGGGGGTGTCGCCACTGTTGCTACTGCTACTGATGCCACCGTCGCCTTCTCCTCCTCCCTCTTCCTCCCGCCGCCGCCGCCTCCGCTCCTCGCGCCGGGCAAAGTAGAACCGCTTCGCGGGCTCGTACACGGCGAACTGCACGGCGCCGTGGCTGACGCCGACCAGGCCGACCGCCAGGCCGCGGTAGAAGCCGCGCGCGCCCTCGGTCTGCAGGATGTGCCGTGCGCCGGCGAGCATGCCCGGGTAGGCGCCGGCGGCGTGGCGGTCCGACGAGAGCATGCGCGTCTTGAGCACCCAGACCGGGTTGGTCAGGACCTGCGTGGCGAGCCCCGCGAGGCCCGAGGCGACGAAGTAGTCGGTCGGCGTGAGCTGGACTGCCGCCGCAGCCGTGGCCGTGGCCGGTGACGGGGACGGAGACGGAGACTTGTCCTTGGCGGCGCGGAGGAGGCTCTCGAAGCGCGACTTGAAGAAGAAGAAGGAGGCCCAGCTCGTGGCGTTGCCGACGAGGTTGGGCGCCAGGCCGCGGTACAGCGCGGCGACGGGGTGCGACTGCGTGTTTGTCACGAGGCTGCGCAGCAGGGCGACCGTGGTGAGCGACTGGGGCGCCGCGACGGTGCTGCGGTGGACTGGGGACGGGTGCGGTTTTAGCAATCAATATGCGATCCATTTAGACATAAGAAAATAGTTGACATACTCTGCATGCGCGTCTTGACGATGTCGAGCGGGTGGACGATGAGGGTGGCTATGGAGCCGGCCGAGAGGCCGGCGATGGTCTCGACGAGGGCTGGCGAGAGGCCCTCATGTTTGGCACCCGTCATAGAGGAATGATCTAGTGCTTCCTGTTACATGGCGAGTTTCTAAGAGTCGTACAAAAGGGGCCGCCGCTTTCTACCTGAACTTTATCAAGAGTTGGTATTTGAAAAAAGTTGGGAGGTTTCAACGATGACGAAATGCGCTACTCAAAAATTTAGGAGTGCTCGGGGATCGCGATACCGAAGAGAGAAAGCGGAGATCAACGTGATTGGGATTCACAACATCTGCACTTCTTCAAACCCGGCCATTTGGTCTGTTTATTGCAGTTCTTTGTCAAAGTTGCATGTCTAGAGCAAGCATCATATTCTGAAGTTGTCGACACAATGCACTCTTGGCAAGTCACTGAGCGTCCAGCTCACAATCTCAGTCATGATGGACGAATAATATGGTTCATCAAGAGTCTGTTTGGACTTTCAGGGTCATACAACCCACATCTATACAGTATAATACAGCAGTTCGTGGTGATTTTGCATTCCATCCACTCGTTGAGCAAGGGTCAAAGGCCGTAGCTCTGTTCCTCCAACTCCGTGCAATAGGACGACTACCCGGCACGTGCCTGTCGTGAGCGAGACTGCTCGACATCTCTGCCATGGCCTAATATACACATCCTCATTCCTCCCATTCGGCGATTCGGTATTTAAGAAAGCGGCGACAGGAGTCTGCGTCAAGTCTAGGTCAGCGATGATGGCCCGGAAGGAAAGCATGTCCAGCGCGGGCGCGACATACCGGATGATTGAAGGGCGAGGCTCGCTGCGGGTATAGCCTGGATTTGAAGGATTAGATTTGCGAATTGTGTGCTCATCCCCTGCGGGTAAGGGAACCCCAATCATGGAAGCGTACCGAGGTAGAGCACGAGAGGCAGGTAGCCGCTGTGATATGTTAGTGAGCTATCCATGAGACACATTCTCCTCTGTGAGGTGAAGGGACGTACTAGTGAATAGCAACACGGGAGATCTCGATGATCTTTCCAATGCGCTCCTACAGGGCCAGGTACATGTCAGTGCGCAGTCCTTCAGCGACCCCCCCTGCGGATGTCATTCGGCAATGCGGACCTTGGACTCTTCAGAAAGGGCGAACATCGTGGCGGTTTGTATGGCAAGTCGAACCCTCCGGCTGTGATCTAATAATGTCCTGTGTTAGCTACCGCGTGCTGTAGTGTGCGAATCGTATCGAAAGGGAAAGGGCAACGAACCTTGACTGGATTCCTGGATGAGCGATGTTGCAATGGTGCTCCTTGAATGCTGAATGGGATGTTCAAACGGACGGCTAGACTTTCCGATGGCGCAGAATTTGGAGTCGCTGCTATGGAAAATTGGGAGCTCGGGCCACCAGTCATGAATCCACCAGGGCACCTCAGATTGGCACGACCTGCGCAAGGCTAGCACTTGAGACAAAATTTTGGTCCACCTAGAAATCCCAGCCTAGCGAGGCTGCTTCACGACGACCACGAGTCCGTCCACCATCGCTAGCTACCGACCTCTACCTCGCTCGAGGTCCGACTTGAAGAGAACACTGCATCTTTCATTCGACATCCGCATTGCTGCGACCTGGCCTCGTTCTAGTGCTAGACAGCCACTACAGGACTTGGATCTTCGAGCGAGCCAGCGCCCTCTGGTTTTACTCCAGGCTTTGTTCCCTTTTCCGTCCCTCCACAATGTCGAACAAGCACTGGGAGCAGAACAAAGATGCCACCATCTACGTCGGCAACCTCGACGAGCGCTTCGCCGAGGGCCTCCTCTGGGAGCTCATGACGCAGATGGGCCCCGTGGTCAACGTGCACATGCCCATGGACCGCGTCAGCCGCACCCACCAGGGCTACGGCTTCGTCGAGTTCGACACGCCCGAGTCGGCCGACTACGCCGCGCGCTGCCTCAACGGCATCCGCGTCTACGGCAAGCCCATCCGCGTCAACAAGGCCTCGGCCGACAAGCAGCGCGCCGCCGAGAACATCGGCGCCGAGCTCTTCGTCAACAACCTCGACCCCCAGGTCGACGAGAAGATCCTCTACGACACCTTTGGCCGCTTCGGCCAGCTCGTCAGCCCCCCGAGCGTCATCCGCGACCAGAACAACGTGTCCAAGGGCTACGGCTTCGTCAGCTTCGACAGCTTCGAGGCCTCCGACACGGCCCGCGACGCCATGAACGGCCAGTACCTGCTCAGCAAGCAGGTCACCGTCGAGTACGCCTACAAGAAGGACGGCAAGGGCGAGCGCCACGGCGACGAGGCCGAGCGCAAGCTCGCCGCCGAGGGCAAGAAGCACAACATCGTCCCGGAGCAGCAGCCCCTGCCGCCCGCCTTCCTCATGTCTGGCCCCGCGGCTGGCCCTCCCGGCGCCGGCGCCGCTGCCCCTCCCGCTACCGCCCCGCCTCCAGGCCCCGTCGCCCCTGGGTTCGCCCCCAGCCCGGTCGCCGGCGCTCCGCCAATGGCAGCCGGCATGCCTGCCGGGTTCGCCACCCCGCCGCCCGTCGCAGGAGGAGGCATACGTCCCCCCCCGCAGCAGCCAGCGTACGGCGCCCCTCCTCCGCACATGGCCGCTGCCGGCCGCGGCAGCGCACTGCCACCGGCCCCCTCGGGCCTGCCTGCCCGGCCGCCACCCAGTCAGGGAGGCTACAACGGGCCTCAGGACTACCACCACGCCGCCGCCGCCCCCGGATACCGCGGCGCACCGCCCCCTCCACCAGCCATGCCCGGCGCTCCGCCGATGGGTGCTCCTCCCCAGGGCTTCGGCGCTCCCCCGCCACCGGGCTTTGGCGGCGCCAATGGTGCTGCCGTGCCTCCTCCCACCGGGTACATGCCGCCGCCTGGCTTTGGCGCCCCTCCGCCTGGCCAGGCACCTGCTGGGTTCGGTCGTCGCTGAAGAGAGGAACGGAATCGTGAAGCCTAGGGCAAGATTTATTTTCCATGACCACAAAGGGTCTCATCGAAACGCGGCAGCCAATCGGCGGCACGTCCAGCTAGGAACGCCGCAATCACACCGCCCAACAACTATTCGGTCGAATGCCTCTTGAGGATGAGCTTATTATGTGTGGAATCACAGACCAGCCGACGAGAGGTATCTCCAGCGACGGCGGGATCATACGTCCATCATAGCCTCACTCCCGAGAAGAGAGACCGAGGACATCCACATTTCCATGTGCTGTGCGTGGAAACAGGGTTTGTAACAGGTCATGCGAGGACCAACGGTAGAAATGATACCCAAGTACAAGTACAGTTGACATACATACACTTCAGGCACTGCTCGCTTTACAATGGGTACGCCAAGTAGTGTCGAAAACAAGGATGCTGGCAATTCATTGCCTATGCGTGTTTATACGACTCGAACTTGCAGTCGTCTGCCGATAAAAGGGATGAAGGTTGTATCTCTGGAAATTGTAAAATAAAGTACTTAATGGACCCGTTCATTGTCAAGCCTTTTGTTAAAGAAACCCTGCTTTTGATCTACATGTTAGTACACACGAAATACAGGCCCTCCTCGGCCGTAATTTTTCTTTCTTTTTCCCCCCTTTGCCCAACATTTTCTCGGTATATCTCTGTCCCCCGGATCCCTGCCATGCTAAGCCTAAGGATATCCCCTCAATTGAAACACTCTGTTCAAGCCTCCATCTTCTCACCTCCCTCAGCCGAGGCAGCGCCGCTCTTCCTCTTCTCCACCTCGAGCAGGAAAGCCTCCTCGATGGCGGACCTCCGCCTGAACACCCGCAGCCAGCGCTCTCCCCACCGCTTGACCAGGGCATCCCGCGCGCTGGCCTGCTCGTCCGCCGCCTCCATCATCTCGTCCTTGGTGCCGCTCGCCCACGCGACCAGGGCGTCGTCCAGGAGCCGGAAGAGCTCCCGCATGGCCTTGATCTCGGCGGCCTTGCTCGCGGCCTCGATCTTATCCGAGGTCATGGCGATGTCGTCGTCTCCGTTGTCGGCCGCGGGCAGGGCGGCGCTCGAGGGGTTCTCGGCCACCTCGCGCGTGCGGCTCGTCACCTTGACGACTGTGTTAAAGACCATCTCGTACAGGTGGGCATCCGCGAGCGCGGCGCCGCGGTTGGAGCCCGCGTCGTTGACGAGGGCCCACTGGATGACGGCGGCCGGCGAGAGGATGCTGTAGTTGAGCAGCTTGCCGACGATGGCGGTAGCAACGCCGGGGTGGGCCGACCAGTAGTTCATGACCGACGAGATGATCTGTGCGCGGGCAGCCTCGGAAGCGGCTCCGGCGTCGAGAAGGCGATCCTTGGTGCGTTCGATGCAGGCGAGGACGTGGGAGAGCGATTTGGATCCGACGTGCAGAACAGCGGTGGTGAAGACGTCGGTTGAGGCGACCAGGGGATCGATGCTGCGGTCAATCGCCAGGTTGTGAATGCGCTCTATGATGGGCTGAATATCCTCATCGGGAGCCTTGCGCTTGAGCAGAGACGCCAGCTCACGGCCCTCTTCCGCGAACGGTGTGCCTGCACGTGTTTAGTTAGAGAATGTTCCTCGCTAGCCATCGCGAGATGCTACTTACTGTCGTCCTTGAACTTGAATTCGGGCATCTCCTGTTCCTTCTCCGGGCCGATCATATCTTGATACTCCGGAGGCAGAGTGTTCTTGATGCGCTGCGCAAAACTGAGTCGGATCTCCTTGTCAATAGCGCCACGGATGAACGCTTTGCGCGGGTGAAGCTTGGGCAGTTGTGCATCTTCAACCCACTCGGACCATTTCCACGTGAAGCCAAAGTTGCTCAAATGGTGCGCAAACCAGTCGATGAATCGGTTGGTCAGCTCAAGATCCAAGCGACTGCAGTTCTTGTAGAGAAATCTGATAGCTCGCCCAAGACTCGGGGCGATTGCAGCAGGAGCGATCTTACAAGCCTCTGTCAGGACAGAGTGGTAATACACCAGCTTGTGCTCCGGTGAAGGCAAGGAGAAGAGCTGGGAGAACACGGCGTCTACGGCAGCGTCCTCGGGCTTCCAAGTGGACCTGTCGGGCTCCACGTCCTTGAGTCGATCGAATGGCGTTGCGCGCTTCACAAAGGTCCCGTCTGCAAAGTAGCAGTCGAGATCGATGAGGCAGCGCGCGGTGACGTTGCGATTGAAGTCTAGAAAGTTAATCGTATCCAGCAACACGTCTCGGACCAGGGACGCGGCAATATTCGTCACCGGAGGTACGGACTCGATCTCTTGGTTTGAGTAAACCGAAAAGTAGACCTCTGGGAAGAGGGCCCGTGGGCCAGTTATCACAGTCTCCGGGACGGCAATAGCCGGGAGAGGGTGTCTTGGAGCCTCGTCTAGCTTGGCCTGCTGCTCGACTTCTTCCAAGGGCATCCTCCACGGCCGAGGGATGCACGACAGAGCCCAGGCATTCTTAGCTTCGGCTTGTAGCTGCTTCTGGAGCAGTCCAATAACACTGGCAGACGCAGCAGGGCTCTCCTCGCCAGCCTCGGGATGGTAGGGGTCGATCAACTGCTGTAAGGAATGGGGCTCGGAAGCGATAATATCGGTCTTATCCATGAGGTCTGCCGCTTTCTGGTGCCATTGACCCGGTGCGGCTGCCATGAGGTAGGGGAGCGTAAGAAGGATGATCTTGACGAGCTCGGTTCCGATGGTCTTGCATCGCAGGGTTAGTGTTTGGTCGCATCCACGGTCACTCTAAAGGGACTCACATCATCAGAACTGGCCGTTTGCAGGTCAACGGCCCTCGCGAAGAGCTCCTCCAATACGGGGAACAGGCCGTCGCCTTCAAGACAGCTCTGCAAGCAGGCCAAGAATTTCAGATTCAGCTTGACCTCCCTCCACTTGCCATCCTTGATGTTCTCCTCCGTGGTGGCGGTGACGCGACGCAAGACCTCGACAGTGATGTCAGGTTTGAGCGTGTTCATAACCAGGACAACAGCAGCGACGAAGGGTGTCTTGAGAGGCTGCTCGACGACCAGCTGGCAGACGAGGCTCACAAAGTTCTCGCGAAGCTGAGAATCATCATCGTTGTCGGCTACCATGCGGGCGATTCCGACAACCTCCTCGTGCCACTTACGCAGAGGCGACTCGGCGAGGGACAGCAGCTGCTTGCGAACGCGGATCGGGACGGGCACGTCGTGGCGTCGGCGCTGGTGATGGCGTTCGTAGTCATCATCTATGGGGAAACAAGAGTCAGTCAAAGAGCCTCAATCGCACGTAGATAGCTTTGAAAGCATCGATAGAATCTCACCTCGATGCCTCCGTTTGCGATTGTAGCCACCGCCGCCGCCGCCGCCGCCTTGTCTGCGATCGTAGTCGCCCATTGTAGCAGGTGAGATTCGAGAGGTCGCGCGACCAGATCAGCAGTGTCGGCGAGGTGTTTCGAACTGCATGCAGCTCGGGGCTCCAGAGCGAAATGTAGATGCTGGCGGAGACACGGGAGCAATGAAGCAGTGCCAATGCGCTCTTTTTAGATGTTCTTTGAAGGGGGGTCTCGCTGTCGTGAAGCTCGAGATCCGTTGTTGCCTCGTTAATGAGGCTGGCGGATGGGAGGGTAGAATTGGTCCAAGCTCCATTTTATTTTTATATGCCATTTGCAGTACATGCAGCATGTCGCTTCGGCAATTACAGGTACCTAAACTCATTTTGAACTCCATCCACCAAACTTACCTACCTATATACAGAAGGGATCAAGACCGAGAGGAACCCAAAATGAGAACTATATAAGCATCCTTTGTTCCTGATATGGGGTTTGCCAGTAGGATGTATATCTCAGAAGCCGGGTTGGGCTTTGCGAGAAGAAGTACCTGGCGAAAGGGGATCGAGACTTAGGCCCGTAACCTCCAGATGAAAGCATTCTGATAGACAAGCCGCAGTGCTCCGAAAACAATGCACAGGAATCCTTCACCTTGCCCTTGATAATGCCATTGTTTCGTCAGGAGTCTGGTATTGTAACGATACCGGACTGAGTGCCCAGGTTAGGTGGGCAGCCAGTCTCCCCTGGTAGTGACTATGCCCTTTCTTAAAGGGGAATCGATTGTTTCGCGTCGTCACTTTGAATTCACGCGCGTTATGCAGGGAGCGATAAGCCCAGGCGTGTTTCTGGGTGCATCTGACAGGCTAGCAGGCTGACGGAGGGTTGATCTGAGGCGCTACTGGTGCCTTGACTCAACCTTGGAAGCTTCTTCCACACCTCTTGTCTGCCTGGGATCCACTACGCTGGTTTTTGGTGGGGCAAATCCACATGTTTTCGAGCTTTTACACCCAAAATTTCTTGTCTCGAAGAGGGACGCGGGCTTGGTTGATTGCAAGACTCACTATCATCAACTCACAATCCTACGCGACTGTCCTCGGCCACAGCCTGGAATCAAGATGCGTGTGGTTCTTGTCAGCGGTGGTGTCATTTCTGGCGTTGGAAAGGGTCAGTTCGAGTTACCTTGCCCTCTCATGTCCCCCTCAATCTCGACTCTGATGGCTTTCACGAGCATGGTCGAAATTGAGGGGATCACAATCGATGGCATGTGCTAACAGTGGTTTTATGATAGGGATCATCGGTACGATATAATACCAGTTACATGATATATATACATATTCTCCTCTCAGAGGCTCATTCCGTTTTCTAGCCTCCTCGGCCGGTCTCCTACTCAAGACCAAAGGTCTTAGAGTGACGGTATGGAGCCTTGAATTTTCCCTTCACACCCGATCCTCCGTGACTAACAACGTAAATCCAGGCGATCAAGGTACCTTGAATATGTCCGCGTCAAGGCGCCTCATAAGCTAATCGAGTAGATCGACCCTTACCTGAACATCGATGCTGGCAGTAAGCAGGAACTCCTCACTCTTGATCAAGCTGTGTCTCATGCTGACTTTGATTCTTCCAGCTTTGGGTCCTCTGGAGTAAGAATTTTCTCTCAGAGGTCTTGTAACCATTCGAGCACGGCTGACTGGGATGATTTTGAAAGGCATGGAGAGTGTTTCGTCCTCGCAGACGGTGGAGAGGTACGGGCTCCCGGTTCTCCCTGGTCCAGGTTGATTCTGACTTTCTGCAGTGTGATCTCGATCTCGGAAACTACGAGAGGTGCGTACACGGCATGGCACTGGCATTGCCTTGATGTGACTCCGGAGACGGTTGGGCAGGGGGCTGATCTCCTGCAGGTATCTTGGCATCCACTTGAACCGGGACAATAACATCACCACCGGCAAGATCTACCAAGCCGTCATCTCACGCGAGAGGAAAGGCACATACCTCGGCCGCACCGTGCAGGTCGTTCCTCACATCACAGACATGATCCAGGAATGGATAACTCGTGTCGCCAAGGTCCCGGTTGATGACTCCGGCGCAGAGCCCGATGTCTGCATTAGTACGTGTCACTTGTCATTTGGCCAGTATTACTGGATGTTGAATTGCTAACTTCTTTACTAGTCGAGTTGGTACGTTTTCCCCATGGTTGTGCATTGATCTGGCCCTTCCAGATGTTGACCATTTGCGGTAATAGGGTGGCACGATTGGGTATGTACAACTGACACCTCTTTTTGCATGTGTACGGTGGCCTTGACCAGCTGACTTGTTCATTCAGTGATATCGAGTCGGCTCCTTTCGTCGAGGCTCTGGTGCAGCTCAGGCATAAGCTCACCAAAGATCCCAACTCGTCATTCTTCAACATCCATGTCAGTTTTGTGCCACTGTAAGTGTCTCCCCCCTTCAGTGTTTATATCCGGGTTGCGTTGGGCATTTCCAGATGGAATCAATCTCCAATATTGACCATGCTGCTTCAGGATCCACGGTGAGGAGAAGACCAAGCCCACCCAGCATGCCATCAAGCAAATGCGCAGTGCCGGTTTGATTCCGGATCTTGTGAGAACCTTCTATCAAGCACTTCATCCTGGTTTCGTTGGAATACTAAGAACCTTTGGTAGATCGCCTGCCGTTGCGATATTCCCCTCGAGAACTCGACCATCCGCAAGATCGCCTCGAGTTGCCAAGTGGACAATGAGCAGGTCATCGGAGTCCACGACATGGAGACCATCTACCAGGTGCCCCTCCTCCTTCACGAGCAGGGCCTGCTCCAGCGGCTGCAGACGGGGCTGGACCTCGACAAGCTGACGCTGGCGCCCGCCATGACGGCCAAGGGCGACTCCCTCTGGGAGCTCTGGAAGAAGACCATCATCATCCCGCCAGAGTGCCCCCCTGTCCACATCGCCCTCGTCGGCAAGTACACGTCTCTGATGGACAGCTACACCTCCGTCGTTAAGGCGCTGGAGCATGCCGCGATGCGGTGCCGCAGGAAGCTCGTCCTCATCCCCGTCGACTCTGAGCATCTTGAGTCGACTACCCAGCAGAAGGACCCTGCCAAGTATCACAAGGCTTGGCACGCTGTCTGTGAGGCTCATGGTGTGATCATTCCAGGTAAGTGATCTCGAAGATGCCAAAGACTCTGAAGTTTGCTGGTCAACGCGACGCTCACATGTACCATCTAGGCGGTTTCGGTCAAAGGGGCACAGAGGGCATGATCGCCTGCGCAAAGTGGGCGCGCGAGACCAAGCGCCCCTTTTTGGGCATCTGCCTAGGCATGCAGGTCGCCACCATCGAGGTCTCGAGGTCCCTGTGCGGCCGCCCCCATGCCACCTCGGAGGAGTGGCACGATGACCACCAGAACAAGGACAACTGGGCCGTCGTCTTCATGCCCGAGTCGTCCAAGGAGTACGTCTCATGCATCCTCTCTCTCTATCCCCTCCTCACCACACTCTTTCTTTGATATACTAACATGAGAGAAAAAACCAGGCAACTCGGCGGCACCATGCGGCTGGGCACCCGGCCGAGCTACTTCCAGGAGGGCACCGAGTGGAGCAAGCTGCGCGCCCTGTACAACGGCGCCGAGGTCATCCACGAGCGCCACCGCCACCGGTACGAGGTGAACCCGGAGCAGATCGACGAGCTGGAGAAGGCCGGCCTGCACTTCGTCGCCAAGGACGAGACCGGCCGGCGCATGGAGGCCTTTGAGATCAAGGACCACCCCTTCTACGTCGGGTAAGTACAAAAACAAAAACAAAAACAAAACACCTTGGGGGACCATCTCTTGTCTAGAGTTGTTCCCTGGTTCCACGGCAACTTTTATCCTAGACAAAGAAAAGGAAGGATCACTGACACAACTTTTCTCTTTCTCAGCCTGCAAGCCCACCCCGAATTCCTCAGCAAGGTCACCGAGTCCTCGCCGTGCTTCCTGGGCCTCGTGGCCGCCAGTGCTGGGGTCCTAGAGCCCATCATTGCCGAGGTCAAGGCCCACGGCTCGACAGAGAGGTAGACACGATAGATTGGATGGATGGATGGATGGATGACAGCTACTTGGTTGGGTAGGCAGACAGCAAGCAAGCAAGCAGCAGAGAGAGCACAGAATGCAGGTTACTAGTAGATCCAGTAAAACGGGCCGGGGCGTATTTTCTTAAAACCCATCTTGTTAAACAGGAGTACTCGCGTGCGTTATATATACCTCAAAGTGTCACATACAATAGATGAAGGCGCAACGGCTGGCCATCTGTAGTCACTTTTTACTCTATTGGTGTTCTTACACATCACAAACAATATACACAAGACCACACACACAGAGACAACGTGCAACAGCCTCCGCAAATCTACCATTGACAAACTGTAGGCTGGTGACTGACTTCTGTGTCAGGATGACGCCGACTTTACAGATCACCAGAAAACATTCTAACAGGGCACCGCGGAACGGTAAAAGTAGAATGTTTGTTTGTTTCATGATAGTAGCAGCAGTCTTCCACCCTTATGAGTTGTCATGAGCAACGTGGCCATCCCTTTTTTCCCCTTTTGATACCGCCGCAGACAGCCGTCGTCCCAATGTTTAGACGAGGCGCCACGAGAATCGAAAAAGAACACAAGTGATATCTTTTCAGTCATGCCGAGTAACGAGAGAGCTCGTTTGCCTTTCCTCCCGCCCAAAATAGAGGAGCAGCCCCTTTGATGCCCTTCGCTGCCCATGCTGCCTAACAGATCGCTGATCGCCCGCAACCTTCCTTCCGCCTTGACCAGTCATCCCTACAAAGATTCAACAAAACTAAGATATACGCCAAGAAAATCCTCCAACTCCGCCACGGGAGAAAAAAGCCGTGCCAGGGCTCTCGAATCCGGAAGCTGCATAGAAGAGAAGCAAGGTTGCGATCGCTCGTGACTCTGCACCAGGTGATAACCGACGCCGTTCTCGCACTTCGACAATAGGCATGAAACAAGCAAAAGCCATCTCGGTCATGTAGAAAAGAAATCTAGAAAATTTCTGAGTCCGTGCTAGGTCCTCGGTTGCTAGTCGTGTTGGCTGCTTCATCGCTGGGTGGGTCATCATATCCATCGAGCTTTGGATGCGACTGGCTGGGCTAAGAATTGACGACAAAACTGGTGGCGATTGTGCAGGGTGGTGGTGCCTGCTGCCAAATTCTGGGGTATCGCAAAGGTAGTGGCTGCTAGACTCTGAGCAGAGCTGTCGATTCCGCTTCGTGGTATTGATCGATCCGCCCGAAAGAGTCGTCTCGCTTCGAGCTGTGAAGTGCTGGCCTAAGAGTCACGAGTATGGTTTCTTTCCGAATTGACTGTAATAATCAACTCCACGAATACTCGTATGTCGCGCACGGGGCCGACTGCCGCGAACGACTCGCTAAACTGAGAGATGCTGAGCAAAGACCTCAACACTCTCTCAGTCAAGCTTGGCCATCATTTCTTGCTTGGTCATCGGCGTGAAGTTGTCAATGTCGAGACCTTGCGAAGCAAGAACAGGTTTGATGTGAGCAGGCACCAGCTTTTGGTTGAGATGCGGCGCAATAGACAGTTCTGCGTACAGAATTATGATCAGACATGTACACAACAAGGCATCAAGTGCAGGAGGACTTACCGTGACGAGAGAAGTTGAAGAGGGGCGGAAGGTCTCGCAGATTCCCGCTTTGGTGCCTAGAGTCGGGCAGCTTGGTGTTCGGGTCGCGAATCTCGTCGAAGAAGGGATGTACCATGGCATCAACGGCAGCAAGTCGCTCCGTCGGAGTGTACTCGAGCAGTCGCGCGATCAAGTCAATGGCATTGGCGTCCGCTTTACGGAAGACCTTGTTGAAAGGATGGGGCTTGATCTGTGGGAACTTGTGCTCCATGTAGTTCGGGTTCATGGTCCGAATTTGATCACGGGTTGGCGTTCCCAAGACCTTGATAATTTCCACCAGCTGGTCGATACCCGACTCTCCAGGGAACAACGGCTGGCCAAGCATCAGCTCGGCCATGACGCAGCCAGTCGACCAAACGTCTAGCGAAAGGAGTTAGCAGCGTTTCTCTCAAGTAATAGTAGCCAGCCATCCTCACCAATCTTGGTCGTGTAGTTCGTTGCACCAAAAATGAGCTCCGGGGCTCTGTAGTAACGAGAGCAGATGTACGAGACGTTGGGCTCGTTCTCGACCAGGATCTTTGCACTGCCAAAATCGCAGAGCTTGAGTATGCCGGTATTGGGGTCGAGCAGGAGGTTCTGGGGTTTGATATCGCGGTGGCAGATGCCTTGGGAATGGATATAGGCCAGTGCTCGGAAGAGCTGGTAGATGTAAAGCTTGATCTCGAGGTTGGGCATCGTCGTCTTCATCTTGTTGAAGAACCTGGAAGCGCGATACACGGTTTCGGGCACGAACTCTTGAACAAGGTTCAGGTAGACCTCATCCTTCTGTATCAATCGTTAGCAAGACACAGCCAACATTTTTCTTGATCTCCATAAGCCTCGAGGCACATACCCTCTCGCCATTCGAGTAATAAAAGGCCTTCAATTGGACAATGTTGGGGTGCCGCACGATCCTCATGATTTGAAGTTCGCGGTTCTGTATCCGTCAGTACAGATTTTTTATACACACGAGTATTGCCAGATGTACCAACCTTGAAACGCTTGTCCTGAAGCACACGCTTGATTGCCGCGTCCTCGTTCGAAGGCGAGAGCTTGGTCTGGAAGACAACACCAAATGAACCGTTTCCCACGATCTTACATTGGGTGTACTGCAGATCCCTGGTCTCGCCTGTGATGCCATCTTGCACCTTTTCGCGGATGATTTCTGACAGCGATACCCAGATTAGCTAATGAAGGAGAAATAACCGGCACAGTAGAAAGACTTACCCCCCATCCGTAAGGTGTTGAAGGCTGAAGGGCGGTTCTGCGCCATCCTGGTCTATTGTGATTCTGACCGCTACCGTTTGCTGAGAGAAGTACCGTCAAAGGCAGTGTCTATAAAATGCAAAATGGCGATGGTCTTGAAGAGAGCCGTGATGGGCAATAGGTCGTCAAGATGGCAGAAGTAAATAACGGCAGGGGTCTGCTCGGATGTGCAGACGCCTCAGAGAATTGCTTCTTATTTTCAGCACCGGGAACCCTGCCACTCGAATGATGGGCGTCGTGACAAGTCCTCCAAGCAGCTGTCCTCCGTGGTGACAATGAAAGGCGGTTTGTGCAGCGCTGTCGGCAACCGAGGTGTCTGCGAGCAATGATTTGCTGGAATGGTCGGTCGTTGGAGGAACGCAGGCGGGCGGATCGCGCGAAGGATAACTGCAGGCCTGGCGAAGTAGACTTCAATATTAGGAACACAGTCTTGGGTGAGGCAGTCAGAGACCAGAAATCGCGATTCAAACAAAGGCACAGTGAAGAACGAGTGCAACGACCACAGGTGAGTAAATTTTGCGGAGGTGGTTGTGCAGTGATGCCGTGGCCACGAGAGAGAAGGCTGGGCTGGTGACGGAGGGGGGTGGGGAAGACGAGGTGGTTAGGTTGAGGACGGAGGAGGAATTGAATGTGGTGGTGATTGTGTATTGAGCCGGAGCCGGTTACAAGGCCGAGCGAAGGGGTGTCTGAGTGACGGGTGAGGAGCAGTGCCAGCCAGATTGAGACGTGGTAGACGCAGCTCTCAATGTTAAGTCAAGGGAGAAACAAAGACTGCGACAGGTCAACGACCACTGATATTCTTGCAAGAGGAATTAGACTGGGCGAGTGGGTGGCCGAGAGGGAAAGGTGGTAGGTAAGGGCAGGCAGTGAAGCGCGTGGAGGGAGGAGGAAAGCTTTGTGCATATGGTGAAGCGAGGTGCCTTCCGGGTCATGCAGCTCATCATGCTCTCCACGGAATGGAGGGTGAGGATAGCGGCAGGTAGATGCGTCACTAAAAAGAGACAGGCGTTAAAACACCACCCCCCAGCAGTGGTGCAGCTTAGGCAGGCAACTGAAGGGCTGGCAACAAGAATGCCTGCCTTTCCCACACGCGCCGAACTCACTTCGCCGTGCAGCCCTTCCAAGGTCAAGCGGCCGGTAGAACCCGTCTTGGGCTTGCATGTACCGTTTCGGGACCAAGCGAGGCAATTTTGGGGAGGGATTGTGGACGGTGGAAATGGTCTTGTGTGTTTTGGTGCGAGGAGGGAGACAATGCTGGCGCGGGGCAGTAGTAGGTCATTTGTTGCTAAGGGCAGGGAGGGGTGAGGGGAATAGGTAGAAAACAGCAGGGGAATCAGGGCCGGAGGGAAGAGAGTGTGAGAGAGAGAGAGCTCGACAGAAAAAAAGAGATGGCTTGGGCAAGTCGAAGATGAGGGAATAGCGAGTACTCACAGCTAACAAAGTCGCGTCGTCGATGATGTATCGTTGTCGTGGTCGTTGTCGTGCAGCTCCAGACGGGGGGTGGGTGTTCTGGGAATCTGGAGGTGACAACGAGAAAGAGAGATGCAAGCGACGGTTTGAGGATTTTTTTGGCTTTGTGATGGAACTGACTGACTGACTTGACTTGTCTCGACTTGGCTGGCTGGCTGGACTTGGGTTCAGGCCGGCAGAGGGAAAGAGGCAAAGCTGAAGGTTGCGAGGCGGGGCAGCCAGAACAGACGGGTGGGCGTGCGGGCGGTTTTATGGGTTGCGAGGTCTTTTGGACCAGGGGGAGGGACCGGGGGACCAAGTGACCTAAAAACAGACTTGGAGGGTCCAAATAGCGAACTAGAGGCCGGCAGGTGGTAGGTAATTTTGGTGGTCGAGGTAGCCCAACTCCAAGCAAGCCTTGCTGGCTGGTCACTGACAGGCGGGCGCGGAGGCAGAAAGAGGGTCACAGATCCAGTAGTGGGATGTAAGGTATGCAGTAGCAGCAAGTACCTTAAAAACAACAGGTATGCAGACCGGTACCTCGTGGGTGCCTTGACCTCGAGCTCGAGCGAGGACAGCTTTTCTTTGCTTGGCTGGAGTTGCTGGAGCATGTACTTGTGTGTGGTGGGGGGAGGAAACGGCTTTGTAACTCCAGGCCGAATGATTGAGACAGCTTTACAAATGACTGTTGAGAACGGAAAAAGTGATGATGCTGGCTGGGAAAAGGGTGTGGGTAGAACAGTAGGTAGCTAGAGGAGAGAAAAGACAATTAGATTGCTTCGGGGACTGGTCCGGCCAGGCAAGGTACCAAGGGGAAGAGAGAGGGCACAAAGGGCATCATTCTTGTCCGTGACGTGATGGCGCAGAAGAAGGTGGAAATTGGAGCCCCTCGCCGCAAGTGGGCAAAAACGCTACTCACGGCCTGGGCTGAGGCCGGAAACGTCACGATCACTCCTCTCACGCCGACAGACTTGGGCACCATGGACTCATCTGACTTGTCTGCTCTTTGTTCGACTTCTGACTGACCTCTCGTCCCCCCCATAAGTACCCAAGAACCCAAGAGACGAGCCGCCTCCGTGAAGACCTAGTAGACCAAGAATAACCGCCGTCGCTGCCGCCGTCGCCACCATCACCAACATGACTTCGATCCATCGTCACCAGCGCAGATGGTTACTCTAAGTGGACAACTACAGAAAATTGGCGGCAGCGTTTGAGATGAGGGCGGGCACGCGTGGTGGCCGACAGCCTACAGGCACGTTTCCACCACGAGTAAGTCGATTCATGTGCACAATGGCAAAGCTGCTCTTTTCCCTATAGTACGTTGGGCAGAACCTGCATGTGAGATTTGAAACAATGTTCAGGCGCGCCATGCTGCAACAAATCGTGGCTTCAGGTCCAGGAACCACGGATGGCCCACGATAGGTCGATCGATTTGTTTGGCCAGCAATGCCATCTTTGTGTGGTGGGTGGACGAGGGCGCGAACGAGGGCCAACTGACGAGGGCATGAATGAGTGAATGCGCGCGAGAGAGCTTGTCCCCGTTGTTAGCGAGTGGACGGGCGAGGACTTGGAGGCGTTCGAGGAGTCGAGGATGGGACCCGCCGGACTGGGGCTACTGCTCATGTGGTCAAATCTCGAGACGGCCAGCAGGCGCTAAAGACTCGGCAGCGGAAGTCAAAATGAAGGCTTGATCTGCTGAGTGAGCCAATCCTGCAGGGTCTCTGGTGTTCTTGGGTCGAGTTGCTCCCAGAGGCGGCCACCAACGCGACCGGACGTCAAAACTCGATGCAGGTATCCTTCCCTTTCCCTTCCCGCAGAGGGCCTAACACGACGACGGGGTGGAGTGGTAGCCATGAACAGCCGTGATATTCGTTCAACGGCGGATATATTTGATCAATGCCAATCTGTGCCGGCTGCGCCGAGTAAATCCTGGCCCAGTACTCCCGAATTGGTCCCATCCGCGCTGGCAGTCAAAGATCGATTGATTGGTAGGACAATGCATAGAATGGTGGTGTAGGGGGGAGGGGGAAGCCCCAGTGAGGAGTGCGTGCAACTTGAAGCTTGCCAGAGAGTGTTGGCGTCCTTTTCATGCATCACACACACTCATACAAACCAAGGCGTTCAATGCCATTAACAGAACAGGGAGATCTAATCTGGATAGATCCAGAGTCGCTCCTGTTCAATTCCATTTGTGAATACATGGCGATTGAGATGCGAATCCATCTGCGAGGGCACAAGTCTTTTTGTGTCTTGAATTCCGATATCACCAATGTGACGCTGGCCCTGGGATCGTCTGACGCATGGGCAGGGATCAGGCTTGTTTCTCGCTCTACTTGTACATCTCGACCCTTCGGAGGTAGAGCGGGAGGGAACTCGCGAGGCCAGCCCTCTGCATCTCAGGCACGCTTGCATCATCGGTTTTGAACCACTAAGCAGACTCTTATTTTCTTCCCCTTGGAGGGCATGAGGCACTTCCTGGGCCTTGCCGCCATTGTGAAAGATCTGTGGACACTGTCGCGTGCTACATGTGCCATGGCAGGTCGTCAGATCGTGGAGCGACCTGAGCTGAAGCACGGAAAGCATCTACGGAGCAACACCAGCAAGTTGGTTAGGCTCCTTGTTGGAGCTCCGTCCGACACGAGGTGAGCAATCCCAGCCTCTGGTTTGCACAAGGAGTGCGGGGCAGCTTGGGTGACCGGGGCGGGGATGGTTCGTGATGGTGTGGGATGGTGGGTATGTTCCAGGGTTTTTGGGCGCAATGAATTCAGAAAAAATGGAGGAGAAAATTGGTAATAGACTTGCTGTTGGTGGTGCTATGTGGGTAACTGAGGATTCTAGCAGCATTAGCACTCGTCCAGATGAAGCTCCCAGTTCCAGTTCTGTACTTGTACACGCCGCAAGGACGCCGTTCGATTGAGGAGAGCACAGATGAGTCCGGCCAGTAGCACCGGGTCACATCTGAAGAAACACCACTGACACGCTCGGCTCTCGATGAAAGAGGGCAGTCCTGGATGGCCTTCGCGGAGGTTTGGACTGTGAGGTACTTTGCTGGAGCGCCTAGCCATGGCTGGCTGATGGAGGTTCCTGACCTGGATGTTGGGAAAGAGTGGGCGATGCTGGTGAAGACCAATCATGGAGTCGCACTTTTTAGTTCCCATGCGGATAAGATAAGATCGACGGTGCCAGTCAGAGCATGGCCGCCCAGAGGGAGGCCCGATCACGTAGTTGGTGTCTTGGTCGTCTTGTGCCGACCTCACCTTTCATGCTTCCTGCCTGGGGGAGGTGACATCGTCACCCAGCAGTCCGCTTGCCAAAGCCAATGGCGGGCGGCCCGCAAACGTCGAGGAGAACCGATGGCTGGAGATCAAGATGGCCGCAAAAAGGCCACCCGTTCCTGCTTGAGACCCGCCTGGGTGAGGCGCATCATTGGAGGCGGAGGGGGTCGGAAAGGCCTGCATTGCAGTAGACTGCCTGGCGCATGCATCGATTTGATGAGCAGCGAGAGCAATAGTTCCCAACCAAGCCACCTATGATGGCACATGGCGGGCAGTTGTGATACCCGGGCTGCAGGGCCAACGCAGGAATGTGTTCTTTGCTGGCTCTGCCTGGGTGCGTTTTTGCAGGCGGTTTGCTTGGTCTCATGACCCCAAAACTGGCCGACGCTAGCCATCCATGGATGGGCTCAAGGTCCTTCACTACCTTGTACCATTCGGCATACGATACAGGTACGGGGCAGCATAGTCGAGCAAGGTGAAAGTAAAGGTATTACCACACAACCACTCTCCACACAGCAAGTCGCTTTCTGGGCCTTGGGCAGACTTGGAAGAGGAATTGCGGGACCTGACGCGCCAATCTCACACACCCTTGCGTGAAGAGCTCCTCATTGCGCCCAGCAGACCAATCCCAGAGCTGGCAATTGAGCTCTTTCATTGGCCCGTGGGACCCAGACTGAGCCTCTTGAATGAGCGAGCATTGAGCGAGCCTCTCAAGTCTGGCGGCACTAGTAGGGGAGGTGGCTGTTGCGTGCTACCAAGTACCTAGTCTCTTGCAACCTCGATGCTGTCATGCCAAGCTGCCTGATCACCGACCTAGCCGACTGACCTGCCGACTACTTGTACATTGCCTCCCTATGAGCTATGTAGTCAAAGAGATGAGAGTCGACGAAACGATGCAAACGGCCATAGGAGAGCTCTTCACTCCATGTCCGTCCGGGCCTAGCTAGCCTGTCCATGACAATGCTTGCTCACTTCAACACTTTTCCGGGCCACAATTAGGCCAAACCCTAACTGCAGGCTACTTGTATGCAGGTAGGCACTTGGGTGCAGAAAGGCTGACACCTCCGGGTTCAAATAAAGTACCTCGATCCTTGTACGAAGCCTGGCTCTCGCTGGTCAGCATTCGCTCCGAACCGCCAGCTAGCGGCAAAGCTAGCATCACCACGTGAGTGACTTTTCCACAGATGGGCCCCTGCGGTCCTGCAACCCATGATGCAGTGGACAACAACTGGGATTCTTGGGGACCGGGGAGCCCAGGCCCTTGATCTGTCAGTCCTGGCTTCAGAGCACTCGAGGCTGGACAACAGCTAGGTAAGCTGCTTAATCATGATCATTGATGCGGCGCTTCTCCCTTTGCCATTAGGCGCGAGTTTCTCCTTTGACGCACACCAGGAATGCCGCGCCAAGCTGGTCTCCATTCTCCATTCTCGGGTCCGTAGCCGACTTGGCTGAACGACGGACAGTATCCTCTCTGGATGCATGTGATGAATAGGAGTTGCTACTCACTTTCTCTTGTGCCTCAATACGGTGGTGTCTGGTCCGTCATGCGACATGATATGTGGTGCGTAGCGATCCATGCCCCTTGTCGTGGGCTGCGATAGGTATCAAACGCACGGGTAAGGGTCCCGTTGGCTGGCATGGCTGGCTAGGTCTTTGACAAGGATAGGGGATGAGATCCCATCAGACCCTGGCATCCTGGGCTGCATCTTGCTGGATCCCAGTGCAGCCTCACGATGCCACCAGGGCACACAGCCTGCATGGAAGCGGTGACGGAGAGCTAAAGCACAGACACCAACCAAACCCGGCCCTTGTCATTCTTCGTCGAATTTGTTGATATCTTTTATTCTCTTGAAATTGTCATCCTCGAGATGCAGGATTGCCATGTGATTCCGACCTGATGTGCTCGTTGTCGACCATGTCCTCCGGCCCCTGCATGAGTTTCGGTGAGCACCATTTCACCTTGCGATCCCAAGGCTCGGACCGTCGGTGAGGGTGCAAATTAAATGTCTCGCCCCTCCCTACTTCGTGCATGCAGCCCGCAAGCCTCCCGAGCAGGAAGAGCATCTTCCGCGCCTTGTCGATTCTAGACCGTGTCCTCGCCATACTGGCAGCTGATAAGCTTTGATCGATACTCGCATGCGGGCACCCAGACATGGCATGGCGTAAGCAACCAGGCAGCCTCACTTTGCTGCAAGACACGAAAACCCGAGACATGGTCAATCCTACCAAAAGTCTATTATCATAAGTGCCAATGCCACAATATCCTATCTATCTATCTACCTACCGCTCTTTGGTAGATGAGCAGGTGCGGGTCCCAGAGCCTGGTTGCTTCTCACCACCTCCTCTCTCGTTCCGAATCTTCACCTTACCGGTTTCCAAGCGACTGGTATCCCACTGCGGCCTGTCACATATCACCCGCCGCAGACTGCGGCCTGTCTCCCTCTTGACGTATAGGAAACATCCATGCAATTTCGTACAGTCTGTGGCAGTAGGGCATGCAGCCGATCCGCACGATTGCATTGGCTACCTCCTTTTGTCAAGGGGGAACAAGAAGGGTATGCCAACTCGTCACTGAGCGCCGCCGCCTCTGTCTCTCGATCCTCATGCCTCTGTGTGAATTTCTCTCTCCAGAGACAACAGACCAATCCCAGCCCACCAAAATTTCGCGCAGCACCACGTAGACTTGCTTCACCCACTCCCCCCCCTTTCCATGCATCCATGCATACATAGCTTCTCCCGCTGTCAGCGGCTCCTGCATTCCGGAATTCGCGGTACCCTTTTTCTTTGCCGGAAAACACGCAAGCAATTCTGCCCAAGTCGCCGCCAAGCTTTGGGTCCCAAGGAACCAGGAACTTCCCAACAAAAGCCCAGCCAGTGGAAAAAGGCTGTCTGGTCTTGTCTTGTCTTCCGTTGCCGTCTGCTCGTCGTTTTGAGACGGGGTCCCAAAAGTCAGGGGGTCATCTTTGATGGACCTCATACCACTCCTGGATATTCGTCGCCCAGGGAGGCAATCGCGCCGGAGAAATTCTACGCCATCGTGGCACATGCCCTGCGGCTTGGAAGTTCGCAAATGGGAGGGAGACCAGACCTGATGCTGTCGTGCTACCCCTGCCTGTTTGGGCGACTTGCAGCGTGAACCTACATTGGACCGCACTTCAGACATGTCAGATCGTCTGCTGCGGCCGGCCCCGTGCAGCTTATGGAAAAAGAGAAAGAGTAAAAGAGTGTTAGTAATAGATCATCCTGATCTAATACCAATATCTCTTCCGCCTTTCACAACCCGGGATTAGGCTATGGGAGATCAGCCTTTCTCAAGTAGAGCTATGAATTGGAGGTAGAGTATGAGTAGTGCGATGTTCCTGTCACTACCTCCTACGAAATGAATTCAATTCGGTCACAGCGTTGCAGGGAGAATACCTGGCTCTTGCCCCCTCCGATCGGTTGGGACATTTGTCTCGAACACATGTTGAATCACGGTCTCACATGGGGCCATGCCAGACGTAGCCGAAAGGGGATATTGCACGCGGTATCTACCCAGGTGCATAAAAATAGACCATATGTCATAAACAATCGACACACACCTTGCGTTCTCGCCGTCCAGAAACAACGGACCTTTCCAGCCTCGCTGCTTTTATCCCAGCACCTTTCAGCTGTAGACTACTGCAGGCCTCTTCCCCGCTCGTACTTGCTCATGTCGTCTTTGTCAACATCTTTCAGGGGGCAATGAATCGCATGTCGTACAAGCTCGAAAGTCAGTCGACCAGGCGTTATCAGGCCACCGTTGTTCCGGAAGCTATGAGGTAGTCTCAGAGCTGTGCTGCCACACTCGGGTCCTCCACGAAACATGGCTGCCAGGCTGGCTCCAGCTCTGCAACCAGCGTTCATGACTAGAGACTGGATATCGCTCGTCTTGAAGATCAGTATTATGAAAACGATGGCGTGATCGGCATCGCGAGTTTGTAGGTAGTTCTTCAATCGAGTTTGAGTCTATCCGAGGGGGTTCACGAGAACTTGCCTGGGTTATGCAGAGCTGCCTTGAAAGAAACCATTTGCTGAGGTAGCTCGACAGTGAAATTCCAGAATTCGCCTAGATGTAATGCTTGATGATATTATACAAACGCAAGACCCGCTCAATCAGTGCCATGAACTTCCCGGCCCATTCCCAACTTTCCTCCATTCAAGACCCCAAGACCGAACCGCAGCATCCGACATACAAGAGAGCCTTGTCAAACCTGTCGCCCCGTCCAATCCCAGCCTCGCAACCAGAGAAGCCGTTTCACCGCTCACAGCGCAAGGTTGTAAGAGTATTCGTCCTCCATGTTCTGGCTGATCCAGAGCACGACGGAGCTATGAAGACGGAAAATTAGCAGCTGTGCCACCGGATATTAGGATAGACCATAGATATAATAGATCCCTTACCTCAGACCAACCAGCCCGTTGGCGACCACGTTCTCGACGCCCATGCCCATCATCGGCCAGCCGACGCCGGGCACCACAAACTTGAGCACAAAGATGCACACGCCGCCCGCCATGCCGCCCGCCAGGCTCGCGAAGCCGAGGAAGAGCACCACGCGCGCCTTCCACGCCACGCCGGACCCGGAGTAGCTGAAGCTGTCGGCCGAGAGGCGCGCCTTCTCGACGCTGTTGATGATGAGCATGCCCAGCGACGAGAAGATGAGGGGCAGCCAGTCGACAAAGGTGACGTGCACGTCGGAGCCGTTGAGCGGCGACTTGGACCAGACGGCCGAGTCGAGGAGGACGTAGAAGGCGAGCGAGAACTGTTTTCAACAAGACAAGAGAGCCTAGAGGTTAGCTGAGGTTGCTGCGGATGCGGAGCGGGACTGCGCAGGGCCGGAAGCGAAGGGAGTGAGACCCGCGCTGCACAGTCGTGAACAAAATCCCTTCAACGTACCAGTGCACCAGCAGCATAGACGCCGCTGTTGCGCGCCCAGACACTGTTGAGCCACTGCGGCTTGCTGAACTTCCAGAGGCGCTCTTCAGACATGGTCCGACGAGTTCGGGTTGAGTAGCGATATAGAGGCTCGAAAGATGCGCAGGGAAGAGTGTCCAAAGCGTCACGATGCAGACAACTAAGAGCGGACAGTCGAAGCTCTAGTTCAGAGACGATGCAGAGGTCGGGTTGTTTGATAGTGGGTGGAAGTTGGGGCTGACGGATGACGATGGTGTCTGAGCTCGGTCGGTGCCTTGACCAGCGAGCTCTCCGTGCACCAAGCCGGGGAGGCGGGTGGCCCCACTGCACGTGATTCCTACTTCCATGATAACGGGCAGAGCTCACTACAGGGGGTGGTGTCTTCTCTAGGTATCCTGGCCAAGCTCTCGAGCTGCAAAGTCAAAAACAAAAACAAAGTCAAAATGGCATGAATTAAGTCGCTTCCAAGTACGTTATGATTTGTTTCTACTCTAATGCCCATCACCTCATTTGAGTGATATATGTATGCCGGGTACCGTTCCGAAACGCCTTCAATTGAACGATGGAAGAGGCGCAAAAAGGAGCCCCTCGAACCCTGCAACTCCGTGTCCGCCACTCCGCTGAAGAACAAGAAAGCATACAAATTACTTGGTACTGTCGGACAGGATCGCCTGACCCCAAAGACAGTCCGTTTGTCATGTGTTGTCTCGGATTTCCAAAGCCAACCACGACTGCAAAGGTCAAGATAGACCGGTTCCATATCATCCATGGCATTGTTCGTCATCCGTCAAAGAAAAAACCAGGAAATACTTTTACAGTGCGGGAATCGAGACCGAGGCGAAGAGCTCGGCCTCGCTCCGTCGTCTCCCAATCAAGGGGTAAAGTCTCGACTATTCGCGACCGTGTCGGATGCCGGCCCGTAACTGAACGAGAGAGCGTGTGAGATTAAGTGAGTGAATCGAGCGTAGTGAACAAGTGCGCCGTAAGATCGCGGGTTGAAGCAGTGGGAGCCTCCCCTTTTCGAAAAGGGGCATGCCGCACGAGAAAAGAATAACGCCACCTATCCAGGGGTAAAGCGTCTCATACGTTGCTTGCATTGCAAGGCTTCGTGACAGGTCGTGACCGCGCATCTCTATATCTCGATCGTCTTCATTGCATCCTCCTTGGCCTCTGGCTCTTTGGCAATTGCCTTGGTGGTGGGCACATCAGGCTCATCCGAGTGATTTTCGCCATTCGTGTTGGCAGTGCCATTCGCAAGTGCGTTGAGCCTTGGTGTGAAGCTGCCGTCGCCGCTAGCTCTTGGCGTGTCCAAGTCGACCAGCTTCTCGCGGGCCTTGCCAGTTGGAATCTCAAGCTCGGGAAGCGATGCCTCCTCGTTGACGCGGGCTAGAGGACTCGGTTTCCCATAGCCAGGTCGATTGGGGCTGGCGAGGGGGCTGCTTGCACTGAGGCGCTGCAGAGGTCGGCCGCGGGGCTCTGCGCTGGGTTCAGTCGGGCTGGCGTAGGGGGATCCAGGTGTAGTCGGCGAGCCAGGGCCAGGAACCACCGATTTACGCTTGTTGACACGACGTCCATACTTCTGGTCCAGTCTCCACCTCAGAATATCAAAGTATGACGGCTCGACGCGAGTGGTCTTGAACTCGCGCAATTTCAGCTCATTGGTGTCTTCGTCAATGAACCACTTGCCGCTGTTCAGGTCATCGGCCACGACGCCCAGGAAGGCAGCCCACGACTTGGCCACCACATACTTTGTGTCGTAATCGCGGCCAAAGAGGATGATCTGGCCCCATCGACCAGCAGGTCCGGGGGCCAGGTCGACGGCGAGGTTGTTTCCTCCCCAGTCGCGGACAAGAGGGATCCAGGCAGGGTGTGCATAAGCCTTCCTCACAGCATTGGGGGGAACACAGTCCTGGCGGGCCAGCAAGTTCTCCCGCCACATCGCATTTCGAGACGAGGGAGAGGCACTTCCAGCGGCCCTGGAAGATGATGCTTCGCTGCTGCTGCCGCCGAGGGCTTTGGAGGGCGCGGCCGGTTTGGCAACTGCCGTCTCCAGTAGAAATTCCTGGTTGACCTTCCTCCAGTTGTCCCATTCCTGCACCATTTCCTCGCAGTCGAGCAACATGGAACTAAAGATGATGCCAGTTGGTATGCCACCGCGTTCCTGTCCATCGTGAATCTGCAGCGACTCGCGAACGTCCTGAGGGAGGGAGCAATCAAGCTGGTGCTCGAGTTCATTGATGTCGTTGGTAGTGCAACCCTCGCAAATCTGGTCAAACAATTCCGGGTAATTTTCTTCTGCCCATTGATCGATCCTGGACCAGGAATGCTCCACTGGAGGGGGTGGGGGAAGACCGTCTTCGAAAGACTGCATAGGGATTTCGCCGGCAGGACTCTGCGTCTCGAATCCATCTGTCTGGCTGTGGCGCCGCGCGTTCTCGGATCGAAGACCTGGGGAGTAAGGGCGACCGGGTCCGGGACTCATAAGCGCAGGTGATGGCATTGCGCCTTGGTAGGATGTATCATTCGCCCCGGCAGTGGAAAGCCGCCTCTGCTCATCGGTGTAGGGTGAAGTAATGTCGGCGCGGGATTCTGACGCAGTAGCGATGGATGTGAGGCCCATTCGCCCTCCCTGGTTGAGAGGCACATGGCGACCACTTCGGTATGGGGATTCGGTGGTTGAATCTGGCCTGTGTTAGCGACTGGACGTTCTCCTCTCGAGTCATCTAATGGGTGCGACATACGTCGGTCATAGCTGGTCATAGTATGCCAGAATGACTTGAAGGCGTTTCCGATCCCGAATCTGGAGATGGCAGAATTAGTCGATTAGTTTTGTTTCATGATGTCCCTTGGCGGGTGCATCCTGGGCACAGGGACCTGGAAAGACAAGCAAACACCATCAGGAAAAGCAACTTACGATGAAGCCATGCTGGGCGGTCGGACTCCAGCGATCGACGCGTTAGGCCGAGCTGCGAGGGTGACGAGAACGCGATTGATGTGTTCGTGTTCAAAGGGTTGGATCGTAGAAAGGGGTTGCGGCGGTGGGTGTTGGACGTGGTAGTGGGCCTTCCAGCGAAGTTAGGAGGTGCCGAATGGCGCCTTCCGGGGGGGAACAGGCGTAAGGTAAACGATAGTGATCGTCAAGCCACGGTGAGACGACGGAGAAACAGCGAAAGGCAGAGAGAATTCACAGGCGCGAGCCGCCGTAGAAGTCAAGCGCGCATAGAAAGTGGTTTCGTGATCCTGCGCAAAAACGTGCCCGGTTCTCCAACGTACGTGTTTATGTTTGGCTGCTGGAATTTTGGGAGGTGGCTCTGCCAGTAGCGCCGAGGGGGGGGACACACTGTCCGCCGTACGTTTTTAGCGGTTGCGTTGGCTTTGTCCTTTTTTTTCCCTCTTCCGCTGCTCGTTGGACCCCGTGTCAGAGAGATACGAGCTGCTTGGCGAAGTACCGATTTCCCCTCTCTGACCTGCTGCACGTAGTTGATAGCGAAAGACACGCGACTCCTCGGGATTATATGTCGGGAGGAGAGAGAAACGAGCGATGAACCTTCCAAGGTGAAGAAAGGAGGTTGAGGAGAACCTTGGGTTAAAAGCGGCGATGACGACGTTACAGTGGTCTGGAAACGGGTGGACAGACGGGGCAAGGCAGGGAACATGAAAGGAAGAGACACAAGACAAGGCCTAGTTACTTGGGCGGTAGTTTTATTAATTTTCCAAGGCCCATCCATCCTCATTCGAATTGGCAGGCCAAGCAGCGGACGGGACCTGGGAGAGAGAATCCACGTTGGGACAGGGACTCGATCTGTCCAAGCTGCCCCGAGGTAGCTACTTTCATTTACACAGGCCGGGGCTGGCAGTGACGGGTACCTACCAGATCATATTCCCCAAAAATCCCATCGCCCACGCCGACCATGGAATGGCCACGCATCTCTGCCCACATCCTGGACCACTTTGCGCGCTCTCACAAACCCCCAAGACACGCCGGGGGGGCTCCATTCAAGTCGCCTTAATTTTTCAATGCTCTGGTTTAATGGGCCGGAGGAGAAAAAGCGTGAGCTGGGGGACCCGCTCTTCAGACTACTTGTACCTGGACCCGATGCTCAATTCGCCCCCCCTCTCGTCCGTCCCCTATCGAGGTACCTATTTTGTTTGGAGTATTCAGTCGAGGATGGATTACGTCCAGCCCAGTCCCTCCCATCCATCCAACTCTACAGGTACAAGTATTAGCCACCCCTGGCGCGTTCGGCCTTACTGAATCTGCCGATATGAAGTCGCATGCAAATGTCAGAAGGGGAGTGCCCAGGCTCTTTTTACCATGCCACACCTTATGAATTGCCCGTCCTCTAGAGCTTCTCCCTCGCTACTCGTCCCCAAGATAAATCATGCATTGTACCTACGTTGTACCTAAATCGAGATGGGAAGAGCAAAGACCTCGGACCTGCACGAGATAAGTGGTCAGCAAAGCTGCATGTTCCCCCTGTAAAGTGTTTAGGGGCGGCGTGGAGTTCAAAATAGAATTGCGAGCATCTGCGACATTGGGCCCAGGATCACAACGCATGCAATTTGACACCATGAAAGGCCTCTATTTTCGCTAAAGCCCCCTAATGTTATTAAGCATTCATGTCGCTTCCTTGGCATCACTGGGCGACACCTTTTTTTCTCTCCCCAAAACCCCAAAAGATTCATTGCAAAATGTTCATACTCGACGTCGGCTCACGGTGAACAAGCGTTCGACCAAGTCTCCGCGGTTTGGCTTGGAGATGGCACGTCATGTTGCAGACAGGCCCAGGCGCCCTGGCCAATAGCCCGAAGGAGTTTCATGCGGAGGCGTAGAGACGGCGTCGATTCGCAACGCCTCGCCCGTCGCACCTTTTTGATGTGTGGCTTGGAACCTGCGTCCAAGCCTGTCTGCTCTGGACTCCTTACCCCAGCTTGCCAAGTCGACTGTCCAGTTACGGGGTGCATGCGGCACTCAAACCGCTACCACTTGCCGCCTCTTTGCCGCTGTCCGGCGTCGCACGCATACTGGTGACAAGCGTTCTGACGGATGTTTGCAGGCTCGGATTTTGACGCTCAGCCAGGGAGGGTGTCAATCTCACAAGCCGGTTCGGTCGAGGCTTCTCAACGATGCCGGGCCAACTGTTGATCTGTACCTACAGTCGGCTCACCTGCCAGTCACTGGTGAAGGCTCTAACCTCAAACGGGCGTAGAGATCGTCCCGGCATTGTCCCCAGGCGCAAGCAACAATGCTATTAAAAGCAATCGCCACTGGAAGTAGTCAGGAACCCGGGTTGCAGGTGACAACGAACGGCACTCTTTCTTTCCCCCGGCTCTCTGAAGGTAAGAGGCGAAATGTCGTGGCTGGTCGCGCAAAACCCAGTGACGCCAATGATCTGTCATGAGACGGCAGATGGCATGCCATCCTGGCGCTGCCAATGACACAACGATCCTACCCCGCAGTTTCAAAGGATCAGCACGACAGATCCCAAGCAAAGGCGAATGATCAATCCATCTGCAGCAAGGTCCTTGGGCCGAAGAAGTGCGTGCTCCCGTAGAAGATCGACAGCAGAACAACCCAGCCCCAGGTCTCACTTCCGGCCGGCCTCCCGTCTCGTCTCGGCCCTTGCCTTTGAGGCGTCCCGTGGTTCAGATAAACTTGCACCGCCTTGCTGTGAACTCTATTCGACGCCACACCATGACGAACACGACTCGCGAGAGAAGCTCCGGCCCACGAACAGTGCTAGCCAACCATCAGCTCTTCTACTACCAACGTGAGGCTTTCAGGGGGGTCCAGCTGTGTCCTAAATCTATTTATGCGTATGCATATCACAGGCTCCAAGAAGCTGCCTTCTGCCGCTATTATTCATGCCTCGCGTTGATATAGGTACTTCGCTTCAATTGTAGTAACAGCCGCGATTTAATATGAGGCTCAAGTGGAACACACACCGGTGGCAAATGCAGCTTTCGTCGACCATTCATTGATCGAAGGCTTTGCACCTGACGATTACTCGTTGGAAGCAATGTAGATCATGTTGATATCACCTCTCTGTCCCAAATACTTGAACTGCAACACCATCATTTGCCACGTAACGGAACATTCACATTGCCCATGCACGGCTCGGAAGCCCATCCGTAAACGCCAAAGAACGACTCCCGCTCCAAGGTCTCGACCTGGTTACAAATGATATCGCCTTTCAGCTTTGCCACATGTGCTCGCTCAGCCCCAGCAGCTTGTCCGCCATTTGCCTCCTCGCGGCATTCTCAATGCCCCTCTCCGGATTCGACAGCTGCTCCGAGTAGTACAACTCGACCAGGGCTTTCAGCTCGTCGTACGTAAACTTCTCGGCGTCATCGCCGCTTGCGTCCTTCTCACCGCTCGCCGCGGCGGCGGCGTCAGCCTTTGCCTTCTCCACGATGGCATCGGGGCCCTGGTCAAACAGCGCGTAGTAGTTAGCCGCGCGCGCGAGATTGACCCCTTCCTCGATGTTCTTGAGGTTCTGCTGCAGGACCAGAATGTTGAGCTGCATGCGGCTGCAGCCCTTATTGTTCATGGGCGATGTCATGGGCGCGTTGGTGACGAGGTAGGTGTTGATGAGGAGGCCCAGACCGGTGCGGATGAAGGCCACCTCGCGGTCTCGGAGGTAGCTCGTAACTGTCTCGTCATACACTACCAGCTCAGAGTTGAGCGACAGGATCTCCGGGTCCGGCTCGCTCACGTCCTGGTCGAGTAAGTAGGGTGCTGTCTCCGGGTCTAGTGCGACGCGGAGCGAGTAGGCTATCCGGCATCGAATCTCCATGTGGAGGGTGAGGAGTGATGTAGCCGCGAGTTCTTCGTACGAGGATACGATACTATCAAAGGACCTGGGCGACGTCAGTGAATTGTTTCGAGGGTAATAAGCTAAGGGTACTTACTGCACTGTCTCCTGAGTCATAGGCAGATAGACAGGTCCTTGCTCAGTCGCCTTGTTGGGGTCGTTCAGCAGCGTCCAACGTCTCTTTTCTGGCTTGGACAAGCTAGATCGCGAGGAGTCGGTATCCTGACGCGTGATGTGGCGCAAGCTGGAGATCTTGACAGCAAGCCACTTCATGCTGGTATAGAGCAAACAGAGCGAGGAGATTGTATCGCGGTCCGAGATAACATCGGACATGCCAAGCCGCTTCTCGTTGGTTTGCACTATGAGGAGCCCAATTTCTTTGTCAAGAAGCTCTCTGTCCAGGTTCTCTGATGTCCATAGATTCTTGATCGTCTCGAGCATCTCGCCAGGTTCCGTCGCAAAGAGCGCAGATGCCCTCAACGTCTGCGTGTCCGATGCCTCCTCTTGAGTCTTGGTAACTAGTGCCTTAAACCAGCCAAAACAACGATCGTAATACCGCATCATCTGTGTGATGATAAGGGAGCTTAGAGCTTGATCGTGAGGAATCGTGCCTAACATCCGGCAGAACGCCGTAACGACAGCAAAAAAGGCGGTTGACCCCTTGAACACAGGCCTGCGGGCGAGTTGACTCCAGTTCGAGTCCTGCTGGAAGGCATCCGCCTCGCCAAACACTGTGTCGCTGAGCTTGCCCAGTGTCTCGTCCAATTGCGGCTGAAACACATTAACGAGGAAATTATCCAGAAAGCTAGTCAAAGTGCTCGTCGCCAGATCTGAGCCAGGTGGTACAATGTTTTTGAGTCTCTGGAGGAAGACGAGAGTAGGGGGGAGGAGAAGACTCATGTTGAACACACTGGGCTCGACAAGGGACTTGTAGATGTCACTGTTCTGCCTCGTGCTCTCGAACGCTATAGCGCTCTTGCGCGAGTTGTCTAGGGAGGCCCGACTTCCGGCTTGGGATGCTTTCTTATCAGCACCTGCCTTCCTTGAATTGCTAGTCAAGCCGGGCACGGCGGCACGAATGATGCCGTCAAGGGCCTCGTACTCGGTTGCCATTTCGACGGATTTGGCGTCTGCCTCGGCAAACTTGAATAGATGCTCCCTAGACGTCGATATCTTGCCATTGCCATTAGCGCCCGTCCTCTGCGAGTTGTATTGGTAGACGTCGGCGTCCGTCGTGACGTAGTTGTGCAAAAGAGACCGGATCTCGTTCTGGTAGAGGTTCCACAACTCTTTGAAGCTGCCTAGAAGGGCGATGTTGTTTCCGGAACCCTCCCGGCGTATAAGTGCTTTGATGTATTCGTGGAACACACGGTGGCCTTCGGCAATAGCTTCGAATTTGCCATAAAGTGACCAGAGCAGGTCGTATATGACGTCTGCTCGCATCTGAGTCTCTCGACTGCCGTACACGTGCAGGCCCTGTGAGCCGGCCATATCTCCCCTGAGCGAGCTTGGATGCTTTTGGTCAATCTCATTGACGGTCTCACTGACGATGCCAAAAAGCTCAACCGGAAGTCTCTGCTTCAGCTGCTCGACAGCACTTTCCAGACGGCCCAGCTTGTTTAGTGATTCGACAAGCAGAGTGACGTAGTAGAAAGTGTCCGCTTCTGGATTTCGACCCGGGTCTTCCTGCACTGCCTGTTCGAAGTCCATCGAGTCCATGGCCATGTGAAATGGCATAACAGCTACAGAATCTGAGAAGTTCTCGCTGTATGCCCCCTGATTCTTCGCCAAGTTTTGCCATCTTTCCTGGCAGTAAGGAGACTTCAGATACAAGTGCTCGTGAAGCTCCTCCACCAGGATATCCATCAGTGCGGTCTCTTGATTCGCCAAATAACTCCTCAGCTCGGTCAATGCGCCGATGTTGTCAAGTTCGGGTTTCCGCAACCTTCGCAGCGCGTTTTGCAGCACCTCGACAGCCGTGAGGAAGCGCTTCTCCGATATCCTCGCCTCGAGTTGATCAGGCACCTGCCGCAGCTCCTCCAGCTCGCCCAGTGTTTGGAGCAAGTCATCGTACATCTGAGAGGTAGTGTAAAGCTTCTTGAGCTCGGGATCCGTTGTGCAAAGCGCAGTCTTGGATGAAGCCAACGACTCCTTGAGCTGGCGGACCTTCTTCTGCGACGCCTGTATGCTGCCTTGGATCTTGTGGAACGTGCCGATAGAGCTATTGAAACCCTGGTGATAGTCGTGCACAATGTTTTTCAGCGAGTCTTGGAGGTACTGGTGAGTCTGCTGGAAAGCGCGGTACTCGTGGGCGCGTCCAACGGAGCTGGGGTCGAGCAGCTGTAGCGCCAGTTGCACGGGAATGCAATCGTTCTCGCACATGGCGGGCCATTCCGCCTTGATATGCTCCAAAACTTGGCCGATTTGCTTCTCGGCACTCGTCTCGTAGCCCCTTGACGCCTGCAGTTGTTGCTGCTGTTGCTGCTGCTGACGCCGGGAGCTCTGGGCGGGAGGAGGGCCCCGAGAAGCCACCTCCCGTGGGGCCGAGGAGCCATATCGGTCGCTTCTGTATTCATCGCCGTACGGATCGTAATCGCCATCATCCTGCTGTCTGTCCTGCTGTCGACCAAAGTTGCCGTACCCATTCCCGTTGCGGAAAGATGCGCCGTAACGATTCGCCATGTTGGCGCATTTGTGTTGAGTCGATTAGTTCGATATCTAGTGCATGGCAGCTCGACGCGACGCGTGGCGAGCTGGCTGCAAGGCTGACGCCTTGAGACTAGGTACGGCTTTGGAACAGCTTCGGGCTTCTTTTTTGGCAGGTCTGACTACACAATTGCGAGTTGGTTGGCTTGGATGCGCAGCGTAATGGTTGGAGGTTGGGATAGAGGGTGAAATCAATGTACGGGGCATGGATACGGATGTCGGAGGTTCTGGTTGATCAAGGGCCGTGCGCCTAATACGCCCAGGTGGGGGGGGGGGGGGTCATTGCAACACAACCTTAATGCTATGACTGCTCTCGCGAGAAGCCCCTGAATTTGGGCATTATTCCCTCCCTCAGCCCTGCCATATTGGACGTTTCGATTTCATTTCAAGTACACAGTCCGGGAATAGTCGTCAAGCTCTTGACGCTTCTGGCACAAAAATGCGGAACAAGCCAGCGTGGAAAGTAATATTGATGATTTAGGGGTATATTAGGTCCCAAGATCTACCCTCCGGGAGCTACTCTAGACTCTTCAGCTTCTTAATCATCCCCAAGCTTGTTGACACGCTTCTTAACTTTTGCCTTCTTTGGTCCTCCTTTGAAGTGCTTTTTACTCGACGCGAATTGCATCTCCTTCGGGTCCAGTCCATTCTCCAGGGCGAACATGGCCTTGGCCTTCCTCCCAGTAAGCTGCTTCCTGTCCGCACTCCCCTGCTCTGTGTACTTGTAGTTGAAGGGCCTATTCAGATGGCCTCCGCTTCTACTACCACTCGCGAAGAATGTCTTGTCCAGTGTCTGTGACTTCGGGCCAGCCGGCAAGGGAATGAAGTCAGAGTCTGCTACAGATGTCGCATCATCTCCAGCAACGGACATTGTCTCCATTGCATGGGAAAGCGCGCCCCGCCGCTTTTCTGGCAAATGGGCATCGTCGTACAGCTCGCTGTTGAAATCGTCCGGATCGACATCGCCTGGCGGCGGGTGGCAGTACAGCAGCTTGCCATTGACATAGTCCTTCAGGATGTATCGCGCAGCTCTTGACTCATCTGGTTGACCCAGTCCAGTCTTGGTGAAACCACGAGCGCGTGCATAAGACGACAACAATTCTTCGGCTGTTGGAATACCGGTACCGCCCTCTTCGAATGGCCGAATGCGGATTTGTATGCCGTAGACGGCTTCGAGAAAATGTTGCGGTATCCTTAGGGCAACGAGGCCAGCAGGACCGGTGAACTCTCTCAGCTGGTCGATTGGAAGAACGCCATTGCAGACCAAATCGGCCTTGGTTGTTGCGAAATTGGGGAAGACTAGGCCGGGGCAATCACAAAGAATCACCTTCTCGCTCAGGTGTATGGTCTGGAAATGCTTCGTCTTTCCAGGCGTTGAAGATACGGAGACCTTCTTCGCTCCGATGAGGGCGTTGATTGTAGACGATTTACCGACATTTGGATAACCGACAAGGCCAATCTGAAGCTTATGGTTGGGGTCTAAGATGAGTGTCAGCGGCGATTTTCACGCAACGAGGTTTTTTTGGTCTTTGCTGCATACCTGCGTTCTCCGGTGCGTGCGACAGGAACAAATCCTCCAGCTCGTCGACAGTGAGAATAGTTGTGTCAAGGTCATCCTCGTCTGCTCTGCGACTGCGGCTGCTCTCTGGTGCAGGACCCTGGACGTCATAATCGTCTTCTTCCTCGGCGTCAGAGTCCGGCTCGCTCTCCTGGTCCAGCTGTGCGCCTCCGTCCCGGGCCTCATCGCCATCTTGGGACTCTTCATCCGTCTGCTCATCTTCAAACTGCCTCGCCTCGTTCGCTTCTTTCGCCAGATGAGCAGAAAAGAACTTATAAGAAATTTTGGCGTCTTTGAGATACCGCGCCCATGCCTCTCTTTGTCGATCAGTCATCATGTCAGCCTTGTTGATCAGTAGGAGATTTTCCTTCCGTGGGTCCACGTCCTTGACATAGAGCTCGAGGTCTTCGGATCTGAAGAGGAGTGGGTTCCTGGCGTCTACAATCTGGACAACCAAGTCCGATCGTTCGATGACTCTCCAGAGCTGTCTCCACACCTCAAGGTTTCGTTCAAAAGGAGTCATGAGCAAGTCCTGATTCTCTTGCAGCTCCGCCAGCCCTCGCCTCCAATTGAGAAAGCTCTCTCTTTCTAGGTGGTCCAGTTGCTCTGGTGATGTCGACGAATCCCAGTGAGGACGTCTCGGAACAGTCAAGTTCGACTTGAGGTCCTTGTGCTTTCTGATCGCGACTCGTTCCTCTTTAGCAGAGAGCAGGTACGGGTTCTTTTGGTCGACATGAATGATCTTGACATTGTTCATCTTCTCGGCGGTAAAATCGGTCCCGGCGAGCTCTGCAGTAGCAAGAAATTCGTCTAGCGCACCCTGCTCGGTGACTGAGCGCATCTTTACCCAGCCAGCCTCTTCTTTGGCATTGGTGACATACTATTTGGATCCGACGTTAGCTGCATTGCAGGAGATACATAGTATGGAGAAATGCATACCTGTTCGCCCGTAGTATGATTCGTACGGGTGATGGCTCCTCCTCTCCTCCTGTCGGACCCTTTGCCTTTGCCAAAGCGATCGTTCATCAACGTGTTGCCGAGCCCGACGGCATTCTTGGATTTGGCGAGAACCATCTTGCCAGGCAGGCTATCGACGTAGCCGTGGAATGTGCAACAGAGTATCGAATATAGAACAGTGTGTTGGTTTCACTGACGCCGCGGTCGCCAGATACGAAAATGTTTTCCCTCTTCCCTGGGACGTGTGATGCTGGAAGTTGAAAAGGAAGTTGGGAAGTTGAATGCACCAATGCGATCCAAGACTTCGATCGCTACTAGTGAATAGATAAATTCAGGCGGGCGCAACAGTCGCTGATTAATGGCGGGGCAAAATTCTCACCAAAACCTGGAATTTTGGTGGTACTACGCTGGCAAAATCCACTACCAAACAGCATTTCTGAGGGCTAGACTGGGCCGATAAGATAACGATAGCATTAGTCCCCGCAGAATTATTTTTTATCGCAAGGATGCCCGCACTCGCCGCCTCTGGGCGACACCGTCAGATGTGCGATTTGATATCTTTGATCTTTCTATTCAGCAACAGGAAAAACGAAGACTCGAGACCTGTCACTACTCATATAACTCAATACCCCCGTCCACTGCACTGATCCCTTCGACTTCCTTCAAGGTACTGCATCATCATGGCGCGCCGCAAGTGGATGTGAGTAGTTCCCTACTATCTCTTTCATGCAACTAAAGCCCTTTATTGACTTCTCCATCCAGTGATAAGAAGAACGCTTCACACTTCACGCTTGTCCACCGACCTCAGAACGATCCTCTCATCCACGATGAATCGGCGCCTTCTATGGTGCTCAACCCCACCCAGCTGGGAAATGCATCCAAAGTCAAGAAACTAGGCGACCTAGCCTCGGAGCTCGGCTCTGAGGCGGAAGAGATCCGCGAGAACGAGGGCGAGGCAGCCAACTATGGCGTCTACTTTGATGACACCGAGTATGACTACATGCAACATCTCCGGGAACTTGGTACGGGCTCAGGAGAAGTGGTCTTCGTTGAATCGACCGCGAACCAAAACAAGGGCAAGGGTAAGGCGAAACAGTCGCTCGAAGACGCCCTCCGCGAGATGGAGCTGAAGGATAAATCCGAGGATCTGCTCGATGAGGATATACTACCCTCCAAGAACCTGCAAAGAGCGACCTATCAGGCCCAACAAGATGTGCCCGATGCCATCGCTGGACTCCAGCCGGATATGGATCCGCGGTTACGAGAGGTCCTGGAAGCGTTGGAGGATGAGGCATACGTAGACGACGATGATGATGTCTTCCAGGAACTGGCTAAGGATGGGACCGAGATCGACGAATATGAGTTTGACGCATCACACCCTGATTTCGAGGACGATGGCTGGGAGTCTGACGACACAGCAAAACCGGCGAAGGAGTACAGGGACAGCAACGAGGTGCCAGATCTCGTTGATACGAGTGCTACTGCCCAGCCATCTCAAGGCCCATCTGAGGACTGGCTGGAAGATTTCAAAAAATTCAAGAAAGATCAAAAGACTGTGAGCAGAGCAGCCGCGCCTTCACATTCAGAGCTTCAGTCGTCGATCTGGACCACTACTACCAATGGCGGGCGGCGCAAGAAGAGGAAGGGTGCGCTCACCAACCAGTCCGGCTACTCGATGACATCCTCATCCCTAGTGCGCACCGAGCAGCTCGGTATTCTCGATGCGAGATTCGACAAGATCGAAGAGGAGTACAATGCAGACATGGACGATGTTGGATCTGTATCGGCCGTTTCCTCGGTGTCTAGCGTTCAAGGCCCGCTGAGGGCGGACTTTGACAACATCCTAGATGACTTCTTGGGAAACTACTCGGCTTCGGGTAAGAAGCACATCAAAAAGGGGAAATACCAGACCGGCCTGGAGCAGCTGGCAGAAATCAGGAAGGGGTTAGGCCCGGCTAGGATACCCAGCCGCTACAAGTCGTAAGAGGAAAATAGAGACAGTCTCTGATAGTTTGTGGACCCGATCGGTCCATATACAAGATTTCATGAATTCATACATAGATACCCGCTACTTGCAGCATGTTCGCCCTTGGCTGGTCGTGTCATAGGCATGTATGTGTGACTGGGTGCCTGCGTTGGTCCATCGCGGCCAATGAGTTATGATAGACGGCACAGACTGTACAGCGCCGAGATAGGTATTTCTCCTCATTTCACTCATTACTTGGCTCATCGAGTAAACGGATTTCCCTTTACTTGCTTGCCTGCTTCCACCTTGCCTGCCAGGTCGCAGGATCAAGTGGGGTCAGCTGAGTGAAGCTTGGGCCACCCTAGGTTCTGACCGCCTGCGCTAGCATGGGCGGTAAGACGCGGCAAAATACCGCATGCGGCCCCAGCTTGGTACTTCGTCGCGATGCAGTTGTTCGCTCTCAACACCAAGAGCCGTGATCTCGCACGCCGTGATAATCGCCATACCGCCGCCAAAGTCGACTGCAACACTCGATAATTACTTGCTATTGAACCATTACGGGTCTCTCGATCATTATGAGTTATAACTTTGGCTATATACGACAACCGACTCAATAGCGCGCTGCCCAATGGTCAGCCCCGACAATAGCCACAATGGCATTTTCTGGCGGTAGCAATGGGGTCACGTCCTCTGTCCGAAGTCAGAGTCCATTCAGCAAACTGAGCCGTAAGTGAATTGAAGTTGATTTCTATTCAGATATTGCCCTCACCAGCTTCTTTAAACCCCATCCTCCTTCACACTCTCTCTCAATCTCCTTGCACACTCTCTTTCAATCTGCTTGACTCTCTCTCTCTCTTCCTCTCATCCTCTTCCAAACTTGTCTTGTTTCCGCAAACAACAAGTAAGTCTTGCATCAACCCTCAAGTTGTCAAGTTGAACTTCGAGATGGCCCCGTTACTTCTGCTCAACGTCGTCACGCGAGATGGCCAAGTCTTCCAGCCAATCAATAAGAGCGCCTTCGCCGACGATGGCTGGGACAAGCAACCAGACACTCGTGACGAGCAGCAACCGCAAGGTCCCGCACAGAAGAGGAAGCTGACGGGAACGGCCTCGTCATCCTCCTTGCCCTCCTCTCCCCTGGCTTCCTCTACCTCTTCTTCTTTGGCCGCATCTACCACTTCGGTTGCCTCGTCGTTCTCTTCGTCCGCAACATCTACCAGTTCCGGCACCACCTCCTCCTCCTCCTCCTCTTTTTCTTTCTCCTCACCTTCCTCTGCTTCTTCAACCTCCTCACCACCCGCCGCACCTCTGTTCCATTTCATACATTGGCGTGAGCCAGTTGATCAGACTGGATGGAGCGGAGCAGAGCTCAACTTTGTGGATGAGCTACTACTGGCCAACGACCAGGACTGGGATATTACCCAGATCTCGGCTCGGATGGTGGCTGACGAACCGGAGGTTGAGAGGATCCAAATTGCCATGGATCAACTAACAATCCACACCCCAGATGCCGAGATGTCAGACAATCCCGCACCAGCCACGGCTCCGGCCCCGAACCCTTTCGCGTCGGCTGCCCAATCCGCACCTTCCAACCCGTTCGGCGGCTTCGGCCAGCCCACTGGCGTGGTGCCACAATCGGCAGCCACGCCGGCAAACCCATTCGCAGCACTGACACAGAATCCTGTGAATCCTTTTGCTGCATCATCTCAGCCCCCGAGTGCGGCAAACCCATTTGCATCGGTGGCTCCTTCGACTGCGTCAAACCAGCCAGCAACCATGGATACCATCGGGCAGCAGTCTATTCTGCCAAGCGCCCAGATCAAACCTTTCACCGGGTTTGGTACTCCAAGCTCACTGCAGAGTTCACCTGCACCTCAGATGACGACGTCCAACCCGTTCACTGCCGCATCACTATTTCCTACACAAAGCACACCCTCTACTCCCTCGCAATTGCCGCTACCAAGCGCTCCGCTGTCAAACGGTGGACTTTCTTCCAACCCGTTTACTCAACCAACGAGTAAGGCTACCCTATCAGCCGCGATGAACGGTTCGGCCATGCAAGCAAAGCCATCCTTTGGTCAACCTACCCAACCTGCCGGTCCTTCACCTGCTACACAGAGCAAGTCCATGACTTCAGGGTTTGCAGTGCCCACACCACAGGCAGCCGACAGCGGCACCTCTGCTTCGCACACAGTTGACGGTGCGCGCAAACGAAAGAACATCTTTGCCCAGCGCGATGACACTGCGACGAAGAAGTCGACGGGGACGCCCTTCTCAACAATCGCTCCTCCAAACCCTGCTCTTCCAGCGGCAGTTGACTCGGAGCTGAGCGACTATGCCAAGAAAATCTACGAGCATCTTCGTAAAGACGGCATCATACCTATGACTTGTCCAAACCATCTGGGCAACCCATCCAAACGGAACGATGCTGAAAAGTTCCGCGAAGCTTTCAAGCAGCACCGCGAGGCTGTCCGCGCCTCACTCATTCGTGCCAAGCTGATCGACGACCCAGATGTCAAGAAAACCCTCAAGGAGGCCATTGTCTTCAAGGGCATCTGCGAAGAAATGTGCCCGGAGTTCGAGAAGATCACACGTATCGTTCAGCACGACGTCAAGATGCCGGAAAAGGAAGCTGCCGCCGATGGTACTCTCTGTGCATCAATGCCTCTCATGGTGAAGGCATTGGCCCGTTCTGCTGCGGGTCAGGAAGCTCCGCTACCAATGGATGTTCGTTCGACAGCTGCACTACGGCGTACCTTGGACTATCTCATTGACCGCATGATTGACGACGATGAGAAGCTTCCCGCTATGCACAATTTTCTCTGGGACCGAACTCGAGCCATCCGCAGAGATTTTGTTTTCCATTCCATGATGTCTCCAAAGGACATGAAAAACATGGTCTACTGTCTGGAAAACATCTCTCGCTTTCATATCACCGCATTGCACCTCCTTTCCCAGAAAGACTTCGCGGCGGATGATTTCTCCGAAGCTCAGGAGAAAGAGCAATTCACCAAGTCCCTGTTGTCTCTTATGGAGGCATATGATGACTGCAGAGTGAAGGGCATCAAATGCGAGAACGAGGCAGAGTTCCGCGCCTACTTCGTCCTCCAGCATCTCTCCGATCCCAACATTGAACAGAAGTCAATGGAATGGAACCAGGATCTGTGGGTCTCTTCCAATGACTTGCATTTGGCTACGTCCATGTCGCAAGCGTTGAAGACTGCCCGGGATCGTACTGGCCCACTACGACCTGGAGAGCCGCAAGCTTCTGCTCTTGATGCGTATGTCACCTTCTTTCGCATTGTCGAGGGGCCGGATGTGTCGTACACTATGGCCTGCCTAGCCGAAACCCATTTCCTCAAAGTCCGTCGAAACATCCTCAACAACCTGATCCGCGCATATTCAAGAAGTCGGGATGCGCCAAAGGATGTCACTGTCGCCGCAGTCCACGAGCTACTCAGATTCGACACTACTGAGGAGACTATCGAGTTCGTGAATCAACACGGCCTCTCGTGGTCTTCGGATGGGCACGACAACTCTTATCTACTGCTCGAGAGACAGAGCGAGATTGCTGAGCCGACCGTTCGACAATCCTTCTCTCATAACCTAGTTGAGAAGAAGCGAGGCAACCATAGTCTTCCAGAAATCATTCACACCACTGTTTTCGAGGAATCAGTAGCGTCTGAGAAAGAAGAAGCTGCTGCTGTTAAGGAAGTCAGTGAGCCCATTAGTCAAGACGAGGAGAGCCTTTTTATTCCGCAGGACGGAAAGCAGCATACATCGAACAAACCTCACGTGAGCGCAAACCCCTTTTCCAAGTCGTCTCACACCCAACCATCCACCTCCACGAAGCCGTCTCTCGATGCCCCCTTGGCTGGGAAGAATACCACACAGCCGCCCAAGATCCAGATATCGCCTCCTATCACCACTGCCGGCCCCGCGTCCGCGCCGTCAATATCGACAACAAAGGCAACGGATTCTATACCCCGTGCGCAGCAGCCCGGCCCTCCTGCAAATGACTCTCAGATGGGTATCTTTGCACCACGAGAACCTGGCTCAATTGGCGGACCCAAGCCTACCAGTATACTCAGTGCAAGTTCTTCACTTGCGAACAAAGGCATCTCTTCTGCAGCTCCAACAGCCGGGAGCGAGAACGTTTCTGGCGGTCGCAAATCTCTACAAGCTCAAAGCAGCCCTACCCTTGCTAGTGACGCTTCTAAGCCGCCGCCTACCGTCAATAAAGCTTCGTCCGATATTGAGGCTAGTCAACCGAAGGTGCCAGCTGCTTCGCCGACGACGACAGCCGACTCGACAAAACAACTGTCTGGTCTTTCCGCAGCTCGAACAGGCGAAGATCGCCCTCCCCAGGAGCCGGCTGCCCAATCTGCCAACTCAGAGCAGCATGAACCACAAAATGACCCTCCGAAGCAAGCCTTGGCAAAACCCACCAAGATCTCAGCGCCGACAAAGAAATCTGATGCCATGGGTAGCTTTACCGAATGGTTTGTCAACGGGGATGACGGTCTGTTGCAAGATTTCCAGGGGGCATTGGTTCAGCATATCCTCAAGGATGCCTACGAGAGCTTCATCGAACAAGAGGAGAAGAACCGTCGCGAGAAAGAAGAGGCCGAGTCGTTGGCAAAGGCGATGCAGTGGCGACATCACAATCTTGGGCTCAAATTCTTCTACCGTTGGCGTGAGAATGCCAGGGAACGACGTCTGCAGCGACGAGCGGTCGAGGTTCGCGAGACCACCAAAGCATGGCGGGAATCGAAGGCCGCTGAGCGCCGGGCCGCACGTGAGCAAGAAGCTGCGAAGCTACGTCTTTCCGGAAATAGCTTCACTGAGGATCTTCGAGCTTCTGTGGACTCGAGAGCGAGTCTCCGGCGTAGCCGATTGAGTTCTGCTGAGACGATGCTCGCTACGGGCGTACTCAAAGGTGTTCGGGACGAGCAGGCAGCGGCAGCTCGAGCGGTCCGCACCGAAACCCCCACATCGGAAGTAGAGTCCATCCCCTCGACACCTGTGCTAAAGCGACAGTCTGTCAACACGCGGGAGGACTATAAGCCTATCACTCTGGCCAAGACGAAGTTGACTCTCAGGATGGCAGCAAACCGAGCCGCTGCGAAGCGAGCTCTTAGCATGAGTCCGCCAGCATCCGAGCCTTCGAGGAATCGGTCATATTCACCAACCGGGTCAGCCTCTAACTTCCGCCATTCCTTTTCTGCGAGAACTACGAACTTCTCTCGCACCTACAAGAACACCCCGCCCGCTCGTGAGACTACTGAGCGACGGTCCAACATCCGGTCCAACCATTGGCGCTTGCGTGCCATGGGCTTGGTCCATACTCCGGATGGCGGTTACGTCCCCGAAGCTCTAGTCAACAGCAACAGCATGCCTCTCTTGACCCACAGCAGGTCCCTGTCTCTACAGAATGGAGATGTTGCAGAGAACCTGCAGGGACGGGCAAGCCTCTCAGATCGCCTGAGGAGGAGCATTTCTTCGAGCAAACAGCCACCGCCGACGTCGTCGTCATCTCCCCAAGGTAGCAAGAGGAAGCGATCAATGGATGCAGAAGATGAATCGGATGATGCCGGCCGCGGAGAGGGCTCTCCGACGGGCCTGAAGAAGCAGAAGAAGGCCTGGGATCCTGCCGAGGCAGAGCGTATCCTGGGCGACTTGAGAGAGACTATCAAGGCTCTAGATGAAGGTGCTCAATGGTACCATGAGCAGAATGAGCGGATGAAGGAGTCATCGACATCGATCTACGATGGGTGAGAACAGGGAGACGGGGAGGGCTTTTTTTACCTGCATAAAGAAGAGGCAGGCATATTTAGGGGGGTGAGCAAGATGTCCATTGCGAATATGGGACATAAACGAAGACAATGTCTATTTGCTTTTTTTCTGATTTATTTTCCGGCTCTGTCGAAAATGATGCATGGCAATGGCGTTCATGGAGGAAAGGGGAGAGATGTTTTCTCTGCTCGTCTTTGAGGGTTTTCGACGACCTTTCAGATATACCCCATCATGGCATATGTGTGTTTGGGAGGAGCGCCGCGGCACGAATATGGCGTCGGCACATTGATAGCGATGTTTGCTATATCTGCAGCAAATACTTTGTTGCAGAAGATCTTGAGGTTGTCATAAGTTTTCATGATAGACCTTGGGATTGTTTTGTTCTTTGTCTTGGGAGACGGACTGGTTTATTCCGTACAAAACGGGTGGTTAGACAAATCAATACATTCGCCGATCTGGTGGAGGCGATACGAACTACATGCGTGCATTACTGAAACAGTGATCTGTGCAGAAAGGCTTTCAATAAGCAGCGACTCTCGACATTAAACCCAGTGAGCGGTTGGACAACGCAGCTTGGGGACTAATTAACTCCTTTTGAACGCCGTTGAAACCTCGATACCGGACTTTCCATCCTCGCTGTCCCAGATAAAGACTGAAAACTTGACAGAAAAATATATACATAAGGAAAAAAAAAGGCAAAAAGGCCTGGAAGCTGCAACAGACTAAGAAAAAGAATCACCTCCTCGTTGCGGCGGGAGGCCCAGCAAACGCAATCTGGATCTGCCTACTCTCTATAGGGCTCCCAGACTCCCTACTCTTCTTCTTGATTTGCCCTACTCCTCCTGTACCGCCACCGCCGCTGACAGGAGTCGCCGTGCCCCATGCCGTCGCCTTGGGAGGCGGTGGCGGCGGCACGGGACTGCTGCCAGTCCACCCCGTCGGCGCCTTCCGCGTGACGGGCAACGCGGCGCTGCCGACCTTTGGGCTACCGCCGCCGCCGCGGCGGTACTCGGCGGGGTTGTACGGCGCAATGACGTTACCCTGCGGCGGCGGGAGGAGCTGCGTGGCGGACGTGGGCGTGGCGAACAGCGACTCCGGGGACATGGGGCTCCCGCGGGCGGCGCCGATCACGGGCGAGGAAGAGTGCGCCGCGGCGGGCATGGCGGGCAGCGAGGTAGTGAGCTGGTGCAGGGGCACGACGGCTGCGGCTGCAGGAGCGGGCTTGGGAGCAGAAACCATGGAGGAGAGGCTCGAGGTCCCGGTGCCGTAGGTGTTAGTAGTGTTGGGCCGCCACACGGCCGGGCGGGAGGACGTGATGTGCCGCGTCTCCGGGTGGTGATTGTGGTGGTGGCTATCGACCTCGTCGAGAGCGTCTTCCGAAGGGAAGAAGCGCGGGCTGACGGGACTGAGGTGTGCGCGGCAGGCAAAGGAGAGGGACGACTTGGGCCGGTGCTGCGGGGCCCAGCCGCCGTCGGACGAGGAGAGTGACTCGGCGGTGCCCTTGGGCGAGTTGCCGCTGAGTCTGCGGGCACGCCGCTTGCGGTAGCAGATGAAGATGAAGCCGGCGACAGCGGCGATGACTACGACAGCACCGACTGCGATACCGACGATGGCAGTGGTCGCCAAGGCAGGTGGCTTAGCTGGCTCGGCCGGCTTGGTCATGGTCGCCGGGTCGACTATGGTGATGACGCTGGAGGAGAAGACGCTTCCACTCAGGCCAAGGATCTCACCGGGGTTGGGCTTCTGAAGACAGCCGGCTTCAAGGGCAACGAGTGCTGGTAAAATCAAATCAGATGGATGTCCTCTGGCTCATGAGGTTGACGTAGCTTACCGTTGGCCACATAGATCTCGTCGCCAGTAGCTCTGACACAGTCCAAGCATTTCGAATAAAACTCTCCCGTCATTGCTTGTCTGTCCACATCACAAAAGTCGAGCTGCCCGGCAGCATTTGGCTCCAGATTCCCATGCTTCAATGCGTCTCCAAGTTGCCCACAAGCGGTGGACGTGGTGCATGGTGTCGAGCGTGCTGTTGAGGAATTGGGAAATCCGAAGATACAAAAATCAAAATTATATCTAAGATTGTCTATAGGGGATCTCGTTAGAGTTTCGATTCATTTAAGGGGCATGTTTGTACTTCACGACTTACATAGGAACCAGCCCTGATCGTTCTCCGTGCCCTGGGCGTAGGTGCTGTTTTGCAAGCATGTGAGACAATTCTGCCACTTCACACCAGCAGTCGACTTTGGATACAACCGATCCTCGCATGTCATGTCTGAGTTTTTTGTTGACGAAGAGTTCGGATCGGAAAGATCAAGATCTGAACGGTCCACGCAAACAGATGCACAGGGCGAATTGGGTGTGACCTGTATGGCTACGCCATAGGCAAGGAAGAGGGTCAAGAAAAGGAATGTTCTGGCCGCCATAATTGCAATGCAAAACAACGAATCCTTGAAACAAATTGTGCTGGTACCGTAGTTGTTTCCGAGAGTGAGGGAAGAGGTTTCTTAAAAGACCGTCATGGAGCCAAGAAGCGAAGCGTTTTCAAAACAGTCGAGAGTTGATGTCGAGATACTGGACTTGCTACCAGAGCTTTGGTTTGCATTAAACGACGTAGGGTATCAAAATGAAACAAAGCTCAGAACACCTAAGGAAAGGAGAAGGATGGGAACAGAGGGGGAAAAAAGGGAAAGAGAATATCAATTGGACAGTCAATGTCGAGGACTCACGATGCAGCACACTCGATCAAGGTGGGAGAGAGGAGGCAGAGGAGAGCGATAGATATCAATGTTTCACAGAGCTCTCCGCACTTCGATGAACAGATGCACGTCCCCTGCCGGCCATTCAATATCCAGCCGCCCACGGCCTTGGAGGATGAGATGAGCATGGCCACTTGGCCTGCTAGATGGGCCGGCTCGCTCGCATCTGTATGGCTGCAGATCTGCATCTGAGCTGGTGCAGTGCCCAAGTAGGAAAGGTAGGTAGCCCGTCATGGGGACCAGGGTGTTCTTCCTGGGTGTCGAAGCCGGCCAGAGCGCGCGGCCCGTGGAGGGTCTGAGCAGAACGGGAATGTGGAGATGAGCCAACGACCACTCGGGGATTTTGCTTGGACGCCATTGGATCTGCATGTGGAGGTATGGGATTGATAGAGCTCTCGTCACACGGGCTCCCGAGCGTGTCCAACCGCCATTGATGGTGGTGATGGTGTGTGCCGAACCGAGTCTGTGTGCATGCGGGCGGCGGCTGCGAGCGCAATAGCAACCTCGCTTTCAGCAGGCAATGTCACGGTGTCCCGTGCAGACTGGCACCAGACCAGACACACACACACACACACAAGACACGAACTCGCTCATGAATTTGGTGTGAATGAAGTTTGGCTGTGGCGCCCACTGAGAGATGCTTCACTGGGCTTCCAGGATTGGCCAGGCAGGAGACAGAGCCTTGATCTGGCGGAGAGTCATTACGCTGAACGGACAAGAAATATGGCTTCAGGCCGGCCAGTCATGGGCAGTCATCGCTCCATGACATCTAGTGTCTGACCTTGCGCAGTGTGACACTCGTATCATGTATGTCACGACTCGACAGTGCCGTGAGCTCATGGCAGGCGCTTACGAAGGAAGAAGTCTGTCAGACGCAAAGAAATTCCGGAAAGCTGGGGAAGAAAAGGGCATCATGGTCAGCTCCGAGCACGTCTGGGCACCCCCATTGGGACGAAAAGAGTTCAGGATTCGCCGCATGGGTCGGTTCCTTGCATGATGGCTGGCAGCCAGGCGCTTCGAGGGCAGCACTGCAAGTTAGTCGAGCGAATGTGGTTGGAGAAGTGTTCGATTGGGAGGTGGTTGTCCCCTTGCGCTAACCTGTTCCAAGGCTGATCAGAGCCCCCAGTGGCTCGCAGTGGGCCAGGTGGTGATCTCGCTAGCGAGCACGCCAGCACTAGCGGGCGCTTACAGCAAGCCCCTCAGCGGGCGCCATTCACTAGCCTTCCCGTCCTCACAGGGCGAGACTGCAGCTGAGAATCTCGGATCTCGGGTTTCGGATCCATCATTCATCACTTGCATTGAACCTCATCGAAAGCATCTAGACTTTCGATCGTTCATCGAGTGGGTCGAGCCAGCTGTCGTGCATCTACCCGGGGGCCAAAACTCGACACTCGAGATACTCAAGAGCAGATCCGGCAAGATGGGACGCCCCATTCGAAGACAGGCAAGACGAGGGCCCCAAAAGACCATGGTGCATATTCCAAAACAATGACAAAGATATGTACACGAAGCCACCCGCTTTCTCAATTTATCCAAGGTAGGACATTTCTCTCTCTAGACCTTTCAAGACAACACTCACCCAAGCCATCTCATACGAGCCGAATGAGTGGCCACACAAACACCACAGTCCCACCTAGCTGACCGTGATCTTGCCATTGCTCCACGTCCACTTGACGCCGTACATGCACCGGCCGCTCCCGCCGGCGTCGCAGTTGGCGTGCAGCACCATGTAGCCGCCGCCGACGATGCTCGTCCCGCCGCCGGGGCTGCTCATGCCCAGCGAGCCCGTCTTGAGCAGCGTGCCCGCGCGCTTGTAGGGGCCCCTGATGTCCGCCGCCGTCGCGTATTTCACGTCGTAGTTGGCCGAGTTGAAGCAGTGGCTGCTGTAGAAGAGGATGTAGGTGCCGTCGGCGACGCGCACGATCTGCGGCGCCTCGATCAGCGGGCCGTCCTCGGCGATCCGGTCCAGCAGCTGCACCGGCGCGCCGATCTTGGTGAAGCCGTCGGCCGTCGAGACCTCCTGCAGCATCAGCGGCGTCGGCACGATGGGCTCGTCGCCGTTGCCGCACTCGCCGCCCGTGCCGATCGCGCTGCCGTCCACCTTGTACGTGATGTACCGCCGGCCGTTGCGGTCGTCGTTGATGCCCGACGGGTCGATGGCGCCGCCCTTGTCCTCCGGGCAGGCGATCGGCTGGGCCTGCGGCGTGTAAGGGCCCAGGATGCTCGTGGCCGTGGCCGCGCCGACGCAGTGCCGCTTGGTCTTGCCCGAGTAGTATAGCACGTACTTGTTCTTGCCCAGCACCCGCAGGTCCGGCGCCCACGTGTTCTTGCCCGTCGTCCACGGGCCCGGGTCCGGCAGCAGGTCCCGGTCGAGGTAGGTCCAGGGCCCCTCGGGCTTCGGCGCGCTGGCCACCTGCACCTGCTTGTTGCCCGACGCCGTGGCCACCGCGTACCACGTCCCGTCCCCTGCCGTGTCCTGGATGATGGACGGGTCCGGGAAGTCGCGGTGGAGCAACGGGGCCCTATCCGCGCGTGAGTTCAGCGCCGCCATGAAGTCATCGGCCGGTGCTGCGACAGCGAGCTGGGGCAGCAGCAGGCCAAGCAGGCCGGCATTGAGGAGGGATGCAAGCGAACGCATCGTAAAAATGTTGCTCTCTGTGTTGGAACGGGCTAATAAAGCTAAGAAAAGCTGCTGTGTTCCTGTTCACCGTGAGAGAGAATCAGGAGTGCTGACAGCTCGAGTCTTGGTTTCCAAGTGGTGCAGTTGGATCCGGGATGCCGCTATTTTATATAACAATCGTCACCGTGAGAAAGATCTCCAGCCGGAGTGAGCTCTATGGAGTAGGTAGACGTGGACCAAGGCATATGAACAGGGGACTGGCAGCAAAGCACAGCCCTTGGCAGGGTCTTCTCCGTAAGCAAGATCGTCATCGACGGAGCGACATCCTCGATCCCGGTCCCCCCGTCATCTGCCCGAGGTTACAAGCCTTGGACAGAGTTGTGCGCAGGGGTCTGTCGTGTCCGCCAATCCTATCATATACAAGCATGTCAACACTCTCGATCAAGTTTCAGTACATGGTCGTTGGGTGTACACTTTGGTCAAGGTTCCGCTTCCATTGGGCGTAGACGTCGGCCTTGGCTCGATCGTAGCGTGCCGCCGCCCACACCGCGTTGCAAGATGTGATCCTACCTACCGAATTAAGAAGTAGTTAACTGACGGAGCGACCCGAGAGCTACGAGAGAAGGCCATCTCGCTCCTTTCCAAGCCGACCCGAATAGAGAAAGGAAGGCAGCATACGAGTGCCACTCGGCCGATCTGGCTAGAGGTACCATAAACCCCATGACGTAGAGCCGAGATAGCAACGACGACAGGTCGCCGAGAGCAAAGACGGAGCAATGTTAGGCTGGCGGACAACGGCGGCCGGTGATCTTTGTCGATCATGGTAAGATCCGATGAGCTACGGCTGTACAACTCCCAGGCAGGCTGTGTTCAATTGCAGCTCAAAAGAAACATCATGCACCCAGTGTGTTTCTTTAATCTATTTTGAGATAGACCAAGTATCCTAGAACCCTGTTCAGTGCCATTTCCACGATACACTATTCGGCTGGTTTCAGCTTCGGACGAATCCCCGTGTAAGACAGACGCATAGCTCCGGAGAAGAGGATGAACTTCGCCCCATCAGCACCAAGCCACCAACCCTGGCCTCATTGAACATCAGATTATCTTACAAAGCTAGATACCGACGGCCCATGCATGCCACACTGTGAAGTACCTGTAATTTCCTTTTGCTCTGCAATATGTACGTCCAGATCGCGGGGAAGGAGACCGGGGTTTGCAGGATATCGCTTCGAGATCCGACATTTTGTCTCGGAGAGTGTAAGCATAACTTTCAGTGCCATCTCCAACACAGTCAGCACTATCAGAGGTGACCTGCTTGATCTGGCATTGACTCTGTATGACACTTTCACTCACGACCTTTACAGTTACACAACGCCCGCGAGAAAGAACTTGATCCGTCCCAAGTTCACAGAAATGGACATCTTTACACTGTTCGCACCAGCGACACATCGTGATTTCAATACTGGCCGTAGTCGAACAATGAAATGCCAACGCATGTGTCAATATTTCAAATTGCCAGGAGCGGACAACAAAGCAGTATGCCACGAACTTCAAGTTGAAATGCTCTTGTTTGCATTGTCCTAACGCCTTTTCCAGTCCTTTTGCAAAAGTACAGAAGCCAACTCCGGTTTCGAATCAAAATGAGCAACACTTCAAGACGTCAGGCCGTGGTATCAAAACCCCTCACCTCACACACACACCCTTCAATCGCTATCCTCGTCGCTCTCCGCGGCCTTCTTGGCGGCCTTCTTCTCCTTCTTCTCCTTCTTCCTCCTCTTCCTCTCGGCCTTCTCCTCCGCCGTCTCGCCGTCGTGCTTTCGGCTCTTCTTCTTCTTCTCCGGGCTGTCCTCCTCCATGGGCTCAGCGGCAGACGCCTCAGCGGGCTTGGCGGGCGATGATACTGCAGCAGGAGCAGCGGCAGGCGCAGCGGCCTCGTCACCGGCACCAGGAGAGTAGTCAGTGTAACCCTCGGTCCACTTCGCGGGGGTCGCAGCGTTGGGTCGGCCGAACTTGTCGAGCTTGCCGTCAGCCTTCAGCTTCTTCTTCTCGACGGCGACAGGGCCGAGACCCCAGCGACGCGGGTACAGGTCGCGCTCCATGATGCAACGCTTGACCTTGGCAACAACACCGTGCTAATAAATGGTCAGCTGAGATTCTTCAGGTAATTCTCCAACGGGAATGTGACTTACATCGCACGAGGACATCTCAACAGTAGACATCTGTGCAATGCCAATGGCAATGGCCTCGCCCTTGGTAGTCATCAGGACAACCTCCTCGTGCAGTTCTAAACAATGTTAGTGACATGCCGCCAAAGCAAGATGTGAGGGACCTATAGAAACGCACCAATGCCAGCCTCGTAGCGCAGCAGACCGGGAAGCATAAGCTTAGCGCCATAGCAGACAGCGTTGACAGCGCTGTCCTTGACCACCAATCTCTTGTAGGAGGTCAGAAGGGTCTCCAGAGGCTGGATCACCCTTCGGAGGTATGACTCGTCGCGGGTGTTGTCCATCAGCCACTGAGCGTCCAATACATCGTGCAGCGTGACCAGGTCCTTGGTCTCATCCATAGCACCGCTGCGAACACGACGAAGCTCCTGCATGTGAGCTCCAACACCCAGCAGAAGACCCATGTGGACGCAGAGAGTTCGAATGTAGGTACCGGCCTTGAACAGCACGTTAGCCGACGGGTTTCTCCACTACTTGGGCGCCAGCATGTGGTCAAAAAACTCACCTCGCAGCTGACCCAGAAAACACCGAGGTGGCGCTCGTTGTCGAACTCAATAACCTTGCTCTCGTGAATGGTTCGGATACGAAGTTGACGCTTGACGGCAGAGATCAGAGGAGGTCTCTGGAAGAGGGCGCCGGTGAGAGTCTCAAGGGCACGCGCAAACTCGGCCTCGCCGCCGGGGACCTTGTCGTGGAGTCGGATGACGCAGACATACTCCTTACCAGCACCCTGCTGGGACTTGACGAGACGCGTAGCTCGGTCGACACTATAGAACTGTCAGTCCTGGTCTGCCGTACCCCAAGGCCCCCAAAGGCCCAATTTTTATTACGAATGCCTTACCAGACGATCAAGCATCCCGTCACCTTGGGATCAAGAGTACCACTGTGGCCGGTCTTCTCAACGCGGAGCATGCGCTTGACCCACGCGACGACCTCGTGACTGGACGGGTTGGAAGGCTTGTCAAGGTTGATCACGCCGGACGAGATGTAGGACTTGATGTCACGCTTCAGCGGCGAGCAACCGTGGGGGATCGGGGTGAAGTGGCCAGTGCGGATGAGGACTGCGAGAAGGAATCAGTCAGCGACACTGCGAGTTCAAACATGCCGTTCAGAATGTAGGCAGAACATACGTTTGTCGTAGTTCTTGAGCAGGAGCGGCCAATTGCTCGCGTCCAGAGCTGGAGTGACAGCCTGGGGCTTGATGGAGTAGTCCTCCTCTGCCTTGGTCTTGTCTGCCATTTTGATGATTTTTCCCTCGGTAAATATGCAAATAAATATGCAAGGTCGGGGGGATTGGGAACAGCGACGAGGGTGTACCCGGCGCGTGGCAGTCGAACACTGTAACGATGTTCAAACTGTGCTTGGTGTTTTTTCCCGTCAATTGAAAAGCTTCCACTCCCAAATTTTTTTTGCACCTGCTTTGGTAGACTCGCTTGTGGGGATGGGCTAGAAATGTTCGCGGCTAGTCCTGTATTGGGCTAGCGTGTGTGTGGCTCAAGCTCTGTCAGCCACCTCTGCCGCCACACTCATGCCTTCCCAGAAAACAAGCTCTGCACAGCAAGGCGACACAGAAGCACCACAACACAATGGAGCTGCAAAGCGGTTTCACAACACATATCAATATCAGTATTTACTTGACACCCTTAACCCAAGTTGAAAGCGTACGCTTGACGACTTCGATCGGCAAATTCACACCTGCCCTTGTTCAGGGGCAGCCCACTCATCTACACACATTATGCAGGATTGCATTGATCCGTCCACTACCCAGCGGTCGAATGATGGTATCGCCCAAAAAGGACTCCAGGGAAACTCCTTGCTAGATGAACACCCACAGGTAAGGGTGAGAGAAAGACACTGAAAACAAAAAACGAGAATCATTTCACACGGCATGTCCCCGTCTAGCATCATCCTCGGTCAGCCCCCCATAGTCATAGCGCGCTTGTTGGCCGTTGTGATACCGCCCATAGCCAGGATGCTGCAAGACTGGCGGGTGTGGAGGCGGAGGAGGCACCTCATAGAGCTCATACTCCTCTCCCCTATCCTTGCCCTTGGAGTCGCTGGCTTCGTAGCCCTGTGTGTAGCCCTGTGCGTAGCCCTGTGACTGGATGCTCTGGTTCGAGGGCTTGGACCGGATGCTCGGGTCATCGCCGCCCAGGGCGAGGCCGATCTGTATCTCCGTGGGAGAGCGCGTGGACTGCTGCTGTTGCTCGTGTGCAATCTGAGCTAGCTTCTCCTCTTGAGTGCTTGGCCATGCGCCAGCAGGCCACTGCATGCTGGACGCTTCAACGGCGCTAACCGGGCTGTTGTACTGGCTACTGTATGGTGAGAAGTACCGTGTGTAGGGCTTCTCCGTCGACTCGGTCTGGGCGGACACAGGAGATTCCTCCCATCCTCGGAGGGGCTTCTGAGAGACGGGGGTCTCAAACATGTCCGTATTCTGCTGCGGATGAGGCCAGCCTTGGGCGCCATGGCGTTGCTCGAGTCGTCGAAGAAAAGCCTTGCGCCGACGCTTCCCATTGCAAACAACACCGCAGCCGGCAAGAGCAAGTATGAGGACGATCCCGCCCACGGCGATGCCAACCTTGGCGCCCAAGGAAAGCGGGCCGCTGTCATATTTGAACTGCGAAAGGGAGGTTGGTGTCGGCGTCGTGATATTCATCGGCACCGTGGAGAATGGAGTGCCGTCAACCGAGATGGTACTTCCGACTTCGGGCTTCTGCATGCATGCCGCGTCGAGTATCGTCATATAGTTTGCAAGAAAGTCGTTGCCAGCTCTCAGACAAGCTGTACACTTCGGAACCTGTATTTCATCCCATACTTGACAATAGTCGTATCCTCCCCCGGACTTTGTAAGATTGTTCCACTGGAATGCATCTCGGAGAGGACCGCAGGCAGTACTGAACCAAAGTTAGGAAGGCTTCTCAGAGTTAAATATCGCGTGTCCCACTGACCTCGTCATGCATGGAGAGCTGTTGACATCCTTGTTATCTGGGAAGCCAAAGAGACACCATGATATAGAGTAGCGGAGGTTATCTGGGAGAAACGGTCAGTTCATCGAAGTTCAAGTGGGGACCGAGAGCGCAACTAACACAGCATCCATTGCAGGTCCGTCTGGCCTTGGCTCGAGTATGTGCTTGTCAACTCGCAGGTTGTGCAGGTCTGGAATACAACACCGGCAGCAGTACTCGTGAAGCTGTTCTCGTTGCATTGCATATCTGCGCCCGTCGTTGTCTGAAGAACATTGCCGCAGTTCTTCGCGCAAGGCGAGTCCGGCGCAACCAGGATTGCCCAAGCCGAGGAGACCAGCTGGCCGAGAATGTAGGCGTGCATGGCCATCTTCATCATTTCGTCGCCAACGCGCAGCGAAGTCGCTCAGAAGTAAAGTGAGGACTGGTGCTGTCAATCTCTTGATTCTCGAAAGTTGTTAAAGCGGTGTAAGCGGGGAAGGCGTCAAGCAGTCGAGTCGCACATCACACCCTTCACGTAGTCTGGGTGGCGCAAACGTTGCGTTACACGATGGCTTGTGATCTTCGTCTGGATGACTCGAAGGCGCCGAGGCCGAAGCTCAGCATGCCGCGCTATATATGCACTGATGTTCGGGATTCGCTTGGCCGGGAAAATTGAAGCAACGAGCGCTTACACGAACCCGATCGGCAGATTCCACACGTCGGACGAGAAAGAAGAGGTGAGATTGAAACCACAATCACACGTTTTATGATTGTGACTTCACGCACATTGTTATCAGTGGCATTGTGACTGGGGTTGAAGGATGTTGGCTGTAGGATTCAGCGAGGAGCAAAGCATGATTGGGGTTGGGCCTGGTGAACACCACAACGCCCCCCATCCGGTCTCCTCGGTCACGGGCCGTTGCGACTGGCCGGCAGAGGGACTTCTCCCATCCATGTCTTCCCACCACCCAGCACATATCACCATGCGATGTGAAGAAGGCGGTTGGTGGTTGAAAAGCAGGATGGACAGGGATCCGTTGCTCAGCTCCAGTTACTACTGGTCGGGAAGCCCACCCAAGTGTGAATCAGCGGGGCCGCATATGCAGGCCACCAGGTTCCAGCACAGCATTGACCAGTGAGCGTCTCGAGGAAGTGTGATATCTGTGCACTAACACCATGCAACCCCGCAACCATTCACCTTCAGGTCACATCCATGGGGGCGATTGGGGGCCAACCGGGCCTAGAGAGCACTGAGGCCCACGGAGCCCTGGTTCGTGGTCAACGAGAAACAGACCATGGCAGTTGCTTATTGGGCCTTGGCATTTTGCCGGCGCACTTCGTGCCGCCAAGGACCACCTCCTCCTTGTCTAGGCTGAAGTTCGAGCTCGCCCAATAGACGATCCGGACTGAGGCAAACCCGCTTTTGCCTGCACATCAGGGTTACATGCGGCGCCAAATCCCGAGCAGGTGAGAAGACGTACCTAGTAGATACGTTGATCCTTCCGAGGCATGAACTCAGTATGATCCTACGCATAGTTCGAGCAAGACTTCAGATCACCCAATCCTTGGTCTGTGGCGCCTAGAGCAAGTCCCCAAGGGGTTCAGAGAATACCGACAGTCTGGTCCCGGCGTCTACTCAGGCAGACTACAGCCCGTGATTCCCAGTTCAAGCGGCCGCCAAGCTAGGCCTTGCATAGGTGCAAAATGATGAAGCGGCTACTAGTGAAAGGCTCTCATCCTGACCAAGACGTCACGGTATACAAATACGACGTCCATCAGCATTCAACCCTCTGAGGTGACCAGCCTAAGCTATGACGGTGCGGAGTGACTCCTCATCATATCTCGGCCGAGCTTCTGCAGTCGCGGTCGAGCAGCTGCGAGTGCTGATCCACCTACTCCCCCCATTCTGTTCTTCGAATCCATGCACTTTTCGTCTCCGGTTTGCTCCTTGCAGAAATTCGCGATTGCCATTCAACGGAGTGCCCTACAATCCCCTGGCTCTGAGTGACACTGCATCGTGCAAGTGTACCTTGGAGCTCTTCTTCCCACATCTGCAATTCAGACCAACCCGATTGCCCGCCATGATTGCATGGAGAAGCGTGGTAATGTCAGCTCCAAACTGAACTTGTTGGAGTCGCGTACTGTGGCTCTCATCCCGCTGCCATATTTGTGTCGCTCATGACTGGAAGCACGGAGGCAATAGCTTCCTGCTCGGAAAGACACCAGCTGAGACGAGATCTTCGTCGTGATTGTGGCGAGCTTGAGCCTCCGGGAGTTGACGGAGAAAGTACTGGGTTCTGTAGCGCAATGCTTGACCTAGGACTCGGACAGACTGGTGACGGGTACTTAGGGATGTCGGTTCCTGCATTGACGACTTGTTGCTCCGACTTGGTGGTTGCGGCAATGTTGAGGTCTTCTTTTTCAATGGTCGTCATCAGTCCATCTGAGATGATATTGTTATCATCTGCCCTGTGCTCAGCATCACCGGTATTGCCCCTATACAGGGGATCTTCAGAGTGCGCTGAAGGATCTCGGCTGTCATCCCCATCATCAGTCGCCTCCTGGGCTTCCCGTTCCGCATTATCAGGTGCTGAGCCTCTGTCGTTTGCCACGCTGTCAGCTTCATCTTCGGGGAGCTTGACGAGCTTGGCAAATGGAGGACGATCGGTGTCGACCACTAAGAGCTCTTCTTCACCGCGACCGAGAATGCCATAGAGCTTGACCTCTCCATGGTGAATACCAATCACGGTGCTGGTGCCAGCATAAACAGCGTCGTCCTCAACTCCGCATCTGTTGCAAAACACAACGATGATTTCTTCCTCCGTTTCGGCTCGTATCACTGGTTCAAGGCGCTGGATCCAATAGGTAACGGTCTCCATATCCGGGTCCTGTCCAAATCGACTGAAGACTTCAGCTTCCTCCCGGGTCAGCCAGGCCATCGAGATGATGACCAAGCTCGCTTCGACCTCCAAGATATGGAACGCAAATTCAAAGGCATGCCAGGGTGCCTCGAACTTATAGGGGCTATGAGCAGGTCAGTACATGCAGCGAGAGAGATGCAATGCTCCCACTCACTTAATGTCCATACCTACATGGCCACGTTAGTTTGACAGTTTCAGGTCAGGGGCATGGGCAACTCACAAATCCCCATGGCAACACTGCCTAGCCCTGGTATAATCTCATCATAGAAGCCGCTGCCTTCCAAAGCCCACGTCTCATCGGTGTAGTAGAGGAAGGTCTTTCTATAGTTTGCCACGGTTTCTCCGTCGTCGTTGACGACCACGAGAGAATTATAGTACCGCGGAGAGGTGGGCCAGTCGGTGGAAACGTCAACCTTCTCTGGATAGCCCACAGCGACGGTGCAACCATATTTGAGCGCGACCGTTCGCGCCCACAGACCACTGATCCCGGAAGTCGTCGGCTCCAGGAAGTCGCTGATATGCTGCAAGGACTTGAAATTGTACCCTGAATCCTTGGTCAGTAGCTGCCCAACTCCTCCCATCATATACACGACTATTCAAAGAATTTACCAGAGAAAGCCAGCTCGGGCAGGACGATCATGTCGAGATTGTACAGGTCATCCTGTTTTGCACGGCTCAGGACTTGGTCGGCGCGGCGAATATTATTGTCGACATCGCCAACATTGGGGGCGAACTGAAGACAACCTATTCTCATGTTGAGGTCTCTTGAATCGTTCTCGGTCGATCAATGGTTGTTGTCCGTCGTGCCGGGATGAAGCCGTCACTCGGCAGTGGGGGTTGCGGGGTCTCCGCACATGCGCGATCTCCGAGAGAGTTCAAGGAAAAGCGTCACCGCAATGGCAAGACGCCCAGCATCAATCCCGGCAATTGCCAAGTAGCACAAGCTCCAGATTCAGTACGCTTGTCTGCACGAAGTTTTGGGGACTGAGCCTCTATTAAGTGTCATGATGTCTGCAGCAGAGGGAAAGGTGGAACTTGATGGGTTGAACAGTGGGTTGAAGAAAGAAGAGCTCCGGGAGCTGTGTGGGGGGAAATGGCGTGGCCTTGTACTGAATCGGATGACGCCGCGTTACATTGAACATTTTATACCGGTGAAGATTTGCGGAACGGATCGAACGGAATAGAGTCGTGACCCAACAACGAAACCCTCAAATCCTGAGAGATTTATGAAGCCTAGAAACAATCGGTTTTCCATCACCAAGAGTATTCTGGACGGGTGTTGCGACAGTGCAGAACTAGCCTTCGGTACTTGACGAGGGTGGCACCAGTCGCACATCGACGGAGTACAGATTGCATCCTGCAGTGTCTCCCCAGCGCACGCCTGGCCCAATCAGACAAGGCGAGCAGCCGCCGTCCCCTGCATCCACGGGGTGTTGGCCCCTCGCCTCGTGGACCAACAGCACCTTGCAGAAAGGGACTCAACTCCCTCGTGGCTTAGCCCAACGACGACACCTTGCACAGATGGAAGCATCTTGGCCCCCCGCTCATCAAGCGGCTTGCCACCTTGGGTAGGTGGCTGGTAGGTCAAACCTCGCACGATTTGCGGAGGGCGAGCGCCTCGCAGTTCCGCGGTCATGGGAAGACCGGCATGATCTGCGGGCCAACCAGGTCAGTAGCTGGGCGTACGCGGATGACATGCAATGCTCTTCTACTGTATCACGGGATCCCTGAGATAGATCATGTCGTTGCGCTAACACAGGATATGACATCGCGCTGTGATACATATCAACGTCTCAGCGAACGTAAAAGATGGAAATATGGGTTGTGCTCACGCGTTAATCGAAGGCAACCAGCCATGGTCTCACGTGAACAAGTCCGTTTCCCATGTGCGATGTGCAAAGGCACAGAGGAAGCGCAGATTGAATTGCCTGCAACCAGCATGGAACCCATCCCGTCTACGGTCACCACCACTGATTGGATATCTTTGGCTACATTAAAGGCGGTGAAGGTCATACAACCTGTCCCTCGAAAACCACCGGCTCGAACTTACTTCTCTTAGGGGGTGTTCATAAGACTCGTCACCATGGCCAGTCCGGGGACCTGTGACATTGACTTGGCTAAGACCCTCCGCCAATAACCAAAGTTTTGCCGGGAGGATCTGCCCGGATTCATATTAGGATACGTACGGTCGAAGTGAACAAGAAAGGGAAGTACCACGCCGTAGCTACACAGCATCTTGGTAAAAAGGGCGGTCTCCCGGCGTTGCTACCGCAGGGCGCCCAGTAAGAGCCTTTTGCCCTGGAAGCGCTAGAGTCTGCCTACCAGACAGTACCTCTGCATGCTGCAGATTGATAACGCGATCTTTGTCCCGTCTGACCTCATGTCTACTTGAAGATGATTCGCAGTGTTCACAGCGCCACAAGCTGGAAGTGTCGTTGCACCAGTATCACACACAGTCATGTTGGACGTAAGTGTGGACATCTAGGAGAGAGTCCTGTACGTACCAGTCACTATCTCGTAGTGATTCCATAACTGGAGCGGCATACCAGACATTTCGTCATTGAGCCTGTCAGGGCAAGCTTGATATCAACACCAGTACTACCTTGGTGTATCTGAAAAGAGCGAGGCTGAAGCAGAATTGTTAATTAGGCTACAGAGACATGTTGCTGGCTTGTGAGCAAGATACGTACGGTCGGTAACAACGCGGCCGTTTCAGACCGACCAAGTCACAACAAGCCCGGGACGGATCGTAGGGGTACCATCGCCATAGAGCAGCTTAGGCACAACTACATCACAGTTGCAGCGTGGTACTTACCGCTGCGGTTCTGAGGCCAAAATACCTTGCTAACAGAACCATTTTGGCGCCTCCTTGCACAAAAGTTTCGAGGGCCAAACGTCTTTATACATGGTAGATCCTTCTAGGCGTAGGCAGCCTTCTACGGCGAGACAAGCAACGCATGGGTTCCAGGTACACTACCAAGATAACCATCCGTCACACGCGGGCTTTTCTACCCACAGGCGGTTTATTTTCACGTCTTGTGACCATATTTCCTTGATCGGTGAGGTGGTGATTTGATTACTCAAGCCCGGGAGGACTCCTCGCGGGGAACATCACACTCTCCCTCTACGAGGCACAATAAGTCCTGGGAAATTTTTACATTTCGAAGGTGCAATATTGCACGAGACACTCGGTTCAATGCGCAACCATGCCAGTTTGCATAAATATCTTGCGATGCCGGAGACTGTATGGAGTACGTTGGCGTTGTTGCTGGCTTTGCTCTTGGCTTGGCTGTTGGCTTTGCTGTTGGTCTGAGCACGACCCCTGAGGATCAATCAGACAGCGGTGTCGATGTTATTCAAACAGGTGTCTCGAAATAAAATCGGTAACCTAGCTTTATGAAGACAGCATGGGAGCGGAGTTAAGGGAATGGCTTCCGGGATGGAACCGGCCATTGCATCCATTCCATGGTGATCAATTCTTCCCGTTGCATATGCACGCTTGATCACATTCAGCACTAGTCAAGGCCCAATCTTTTGAACATGGCCTGAATAACCGCCGAGCGCGGCTAAAGCTTGAAACTGATGAATTGGGCTGGACCGGCGGTGATCCACCACTGTAGCCTATATGCTCCAGTGACTGTGTAGTGTGCTGTTGGACATGACGAATCGACGATGGAGCAAAGTGGGAATGTTCCCGGGTCGTTAAGGATCGTGGAGGATTCGCCGTCATCATCCATGGGAAGCGTCCTGTCCAAACGCCGTGGCGGCCAGTCGAGGAGGCCTAGACGGCAGAGAGTCCAGGCCCGGTTTTCTTTGGTCTGACCGATTGGCTCGCGCAAGGGGGGTGCGGCCGGATTCTAGGCCGGCGTCTGCAAGACCGCTGAGGGCGCTTCTTTGTCCTGGGTCATCTCCGCGCGACTCTGACAGGAGCCTTTCTCCCACCATCAGCGCGCTTTGTCTGACTGCCTCCCCGACCGCCATTGGCCACGACTCTGGCTGTTTCCCGCCAAGCTGCGGAGGGTGGTGGGTAAACAACTGTGCTATTGGCTCGGACTCTGATGGGTGCTGCAAGTGCAGGGGTCGTCCCGTTTCTATTGTTGCCTGCCTCGAAAATGGATCCCTGACCTCTCATCTTGTGCCCTTCATTTGGCTGCCGCAATGAGCAGCTGTACGGAGTACTAGCAAGACTCCTCCATGAGGTGGCTGACTAGCTGCATTCATCTGCGGCTGTCTGCAAGACACCACAAGAAGCCTGGTCAGGCTGACTAGAACTAGGAAGACGAAAGGATGGTATAATTATACAGATGCCCAGGCTACCACCCGGGGGGCATTACCTTCACGCTTGCTCACGCCCTTCCCATATCTCTTGAACCTCTGCATTCGAGGCTGGTACTCATATCGCAGCTTTTCGGCGGCGTTGCCGTATCTGATGCGAGATTTCCGCTATTTGCTTGCAATGTATGCTTTATTCAAGTGAATTCCTCCCAAACATCTTCCTTCTCCCCCATCAAGGGCATACCGGACCTTTCTTCGCCCCTCTTCTCCTTCGAAATCCCCCACGATGACTTCCTCAAGCTTTATCACGAGGATCACGATCTTCTTGCTCTTCCTCTTCGCCCCGGTCCATGCTCTCCGTGTCACTCCAGGGTCAAGCTGTGCATCGGTCTGTCTCGACCAGAACGATGGAGATGACCCGGACCCAAAGAACTCAACGACACGTCCCTCAGACATAGTCTGTAAGGACGTCGAGTACTATTCGACCCATGCCGGCGTCAAGTTTCGAAAGTGCATGGACTGCCTGCAAAAAAGTCCCCGTGTGGACGGGGAGGTGAACGATATCGCTTGGTTCTTGTGTACGAGGAGTCCCAGTGATCAATCCATCGTTTCATTTTATTGACAGACAGCAAAAGATAATGTACGATATGCCGTCAACGTTTGTCTGTTCGGGTTTCCGAATGCAACACAGGGGACTTCCTCCCCCTGCAACATGGACCTTACTTGCCGCCCACTACAGACTCCTCTCAAGGCAGGCATCTCGGAGCCGAGTAGGAGCACGGAATTCCAGTATTGTGGTGCAGACCACGCTCTCTATGGGGGAAACACTATCAGTAGCTGCGAGCAATGCCTCCAGATGGGTAATGAGAAGACCTACCTATCCAACTGTGAGACTTCCCGCCTTTATTATGAACGACATGGTTCGGACTAACAGTAAAACAGTCATCACCGCGCTCCATGCGGGCTGCCAGCAACAACCTGTCCCCGGTACACTCTTAGGACTGAGTGGCAGTCTATTCTCGAATGATCCCGTCAACATCACTGCTCCGCCCGTGGCCGAGCCTCCTCTCGGACCAAGTGACAAGGGCACTGGAATGACCGTCGGTGCTGTCGTCGGAATCGCCGTCGGAGCTGCACTCGTCTTCCTCGGTGGGGTGGCCCTCTTCATCGTACACTGGCGGCGGCAACGAAGGAGCTCAAAGTACGAAGATATCGATCACGGTTCCCACTATCCGCCCAAGAGTAACAGGTCGTCGTCGTCGGCCACGCACCGCGGCGGTGAGCCTTATCCCATGTCGGATTACAAGTCCCAGATCGGGGTTTACGAGTCGACAATGGATCCTCCTGTGTATAAGGGCATCACCAGCCACCGAAGCAACCAGCCTAGTCAGCAGCATGACTTCTCAAATAATGGGGAGTACTACGACCAGGTAGACAGAGACTACCAAGCGCGCCAGCGCCCGACTGGAGCGGTAACCGCCGCCAGCGCACCCACGTTCGGACAGACCAGAGACGGGACTTCCCTTCCCACGCATCCAGCATATGTGCCGCGAGCCATCACATCCAGTAGCCGCATAGGCTCGTCACAACCTCCAATAGCCAGTCCTCCGCCAGCTCACAAGGCCGAAAGATCCAAGTCCCACGCCGTACAAGCGTACTTAGATTCGCTCGACCAGGCCGGATCGACGAATGTCCCTCCACCTCCAGCACAGGTACCGCCCGTGTCACAGTCTGGGTTCAACTTCGGCGTGCCGCCTCCCCCTCCACCACCTCGCCGGGAGAAAGTCCCCTCCCTTGCATTGCCGTCGGTACCACGAATGAAAGTACCAAAGAAATATAACCCTCCAAGGATACAAATCCAGGAAGCCTCACCAGTCACTGGCCCGAGAGACAATATCTCACTACCAATCCCACGAGTGGACGAAGATCGCTTCCGACAGGGCAGGGGCAGGAGCTCAAGCAGGGAGAGAGACGGCCCATCAAACAGCTCGCAAGACCGTATCGTGCAGCACTTTTTCAGGGTAGATGAATCCAAGGGCACCCGGGAGATGCCAATCCAAAGTGGGAAGAGTCAGCTATATGGTTGAAGCTGGAGAACCCCAAGTGTAACAATATTTTGGAGTTTAAGAGGCGAGGCTGGAGCCTGGACTGGTTATAGAACGCGCAACAGTGATTTAAAAAAAAAAGGGAACAATATATCAAGATCAACGCTTGCATTGCATTTCTCGATGATTTATCATAGTTCTGATGCTTACTCTACCCCAGACGCTGTCCTTTACCTCTCGTCCTCCATGAGTCCGGCAGAGGCCCGCTACCAGCACCTGAGCCGGAACCAGTTGGGCGGATGGCCGTGCCAAACGTCCGCTCCTGAATCCTCGCTGTCGATCCTGCCAGCCTGGTGATGAACGCAGGAGTAGCGATCCAGTTCGTGCCACCTCCAAACTCGGGCCAGATGCGTGATAGGAAATCATACATATGCGCAGAAAATAAGCCCGCGAGCTGGATTGGAACCGCCCCAGGGCCTTGGGTAAGAATCGTCATGAGCATCATCGTATAGGGGATGAGCTGAGCAGGGATGGTGACGAAGAAGTAATTGACTTTGACACCCCTCTGGTCTTGTGTGCCGGTATAGGCCAGAGCCAGAATCAGGCCTTGTAGGCAAAAGCCCGTGTTGAGGCCGAAGACGCCATCAATGGTCTAGTCTTGTTAGCTTACCGTTCTTTGAAAGGCACAAAGCGGATGCATAACAAGATCGGAACGTGTTGTGATGTAGGGAGCAAAAAAACCACCCGAGGACAATTGAGATATGTCGCCCGAGTCATCCATTAAGACATCCCACCATGCCTACACCCCAGACCGCCCTTTTTGACAGTTTGCGAATGACGGACGGCCTGGCATGCAGGGGTAATCTTCCTCATTTCCAGGAACCGCGATAGTAGTAGAGCACGACACTATCCGGGCAGATATATGAGGTGCAGCGAAGCACAAGACAAGGGAGAACGTGGGGGTAGACACCAAAAGGGAAGGCAGTATATCCTTACCAAAATCAGAGAGCAAACAAAGATCAGATACCATACGCAGTCCTCTCTCCTCGGGAACCTGGGGTTGGACATCTCCATCTGCGACAGGTAGGAGTAGACTGTGGCCATCAATGTGAGTGGCTGCTCCGGGATCGTCAAGGATGTCGGCAAGGCAAGGACCTACGGAAGTATGGATCGAGGATGACGCCCAGTTTAGGGCCAGATATCAAGAAGTTTGCAACCGGCCGCCACAGATGCGGCGGTACGGTAAACAAGAGCATGTAGTGGTGATAGAACCACGACCCGCTAAGCAGTCCAGTGTAGACACCGACGGAGGAGACGAAGACACCAAGGGCGAGAGTTCTGTTTGCGAATGTTGTTAGCATTGAGCTACTAAGCGGCATTGCCGGATGACCATAAATCGAATAACTCACCTTGCCAGAGGCGGCGCCTGCCAGTAACCGTCCATGATTTCAGCCATCGTGCTGGTGTGTTCGAGATCCCAGAGAGCTCGTCACCGTGATGATCCTGAATGTACAAAACCAAACCTTGAGAGAGACGGGCAATAATGAATTCCAGGGGCAGTCCAGCTGGTGCAAGCTTCTCCCTTCCTCAAGGTACTGAAAAGATGCTCAGCGTGGAAGGCGGGAAATGGTGACAACGGCAGGCAGCCGCGTCGATGATATTTGCATGCCTTTTTGGATGCGTGGCTTTTTAGCTAAGCTGTGTGGAAGGAAGGAGAAATTCGTTCCTGAAAGCTGGGGCCTTTTTCAATGCCTGGTTCGGTTTTTTCTCGGTTGATTGGACGACTGCTCCGCCTCTTGTCAGCATGGAAGCCCCCACAATTGGCACTTGTTTGCACTGTCAACTGCTAATTCCACGGGCTACAGCTGGCATATGGATTCTCTCAAACAGCGAGTATGGATGTGAAAGCAAGCAATTTGTACCAAGAGCGGAAAAAGTCAAGGACGAATGATCGAAGAGCAAATAGCTTCAATAGTCTAGAGAATCGGACTGTCGAGATGGACTGAATGATCTCGTGGTATTTCAGCAATCTCTCGGCGTGTAAATCATAAATCTGCTCCGGTCTCGCCCCTAGGCCATTTTTCACTCTCAGTAGTCGGTCAGTCATATCAACAGGCCTGTGCTGTTTTTGACTCACCGCGCGCCCTTTGCCCGTGGATACATAAGTACAAGCGCAAGCATAGCTTGAGCTCTCACCTTCACTCTCGCCCGCCAGTTCGAGAATATCTTGGCAACATGGCTTCCAAACGACCCTCTGGCCGGTTTTGGAACCAATTGAAGCAGTCTCGAGCTCAATTGACCCGGAGTTACTCAGCACCAGTCTCCGGCTCCATCCCGGCGGCCAAGAAGAAGTATGTTCCTACAACCGGCACCTATCCTCAGGGTTTCCGAGCCTCGGGCACCGTGGTCGGCGTGAAGCCCGGCAACACCACCAAGCCCGACCTAGCTTTTATCACCTCGGACACGCCTTGTGCGGCTGCGGCTGTGTTCACCAAGAACAAGTTCCAGGCCGCGCCAGTTGTCTTCAGCCGGGACCTTCTGAAGAAGAGAAAGAACCAGGGCGTTCAGAGTGTCATCATCAACTCGGGCTGTGCCAATGCCGTCACGGGCAAGGGCGGTCTCGAGGATGCCGAGAAGATGGCGAAAGGAGCAGACTCATGCGTTGGCAGCGAGGAAGCTACCTTGGTTATGAGCACGGGCGTCATCGGTCAGCGGTATGTTACTCGTAGTAGGTAGTGGCAGTCAACCAGGACTTTGCTGACTTGAAGTGCCCAGGTTGCCAATCAAGAAGATCGTGGACAACATCCCCGTCGCACACAGAGCTTTAGGCTCATCTCATGACCACTGGATGGCTTGTGCCAAAGCCATCTGCACGACGGATACGTTCCCCAAGCTCATCTCTAGATCTTTCAACCTGCCGTCATCGCCGTCCATCGAGTATCGCATTGCGGGCATGACGAAAGGCGCTGGCATGATCCACCCGAACATGGCCACGCTGCTTGGTGTCATTGCAACTGATGCTCCCATCTCATCCGATGTGCTGCCAGCCCTCTTGAAGCAGGCTGTCGATCGCTCGTTCAACAGCATTACCATTGACGGGGACACCTCTACCAATGATACTGTTGCCCTCTTTGCCAACGGCGCTGCTGGTGGAAAGGAAATTGCCCCGGGATCACAGGACTATGAGAAATTCCAGTCAATTCTGACCGAATTCGCGGAGGATCTTGCCAAGCTCGTCGTCCGTGACGGCGAGGGTGCCACCAAATTTGTCACCATCCGCGTGACCGAGTCCGCCACTGAGGAGGGCGCCCGCAAGATCGCGAGCACCATCGCCCGGTCCCCGCTTGTCAAGACTGCGCTCTACGGCAAGGATGCCAACTGGGGCCGCATTCTGTGCGCCACTGGCTATTCTCTTATCACCGAGCCTGGTGTTCCTTCTGCAGATGTCCCCGAGGTTGCTCCGGAGAAGACTAATGTGTCGTTCGTTCCTACCGACGGATCTGCCGAACTGAAGCTTCTGGTCAACGGTGAACCTGAACTGGTTGATGAGGCTAGGGCTGCAGAGATTCTTGAGCTTGAGGATCTCGAGATCCTTGTGAGACTCGGTACTGGCGACAAGGAGGCTACGTACTGGACCTGCGACTTCAGCCATGAATATGTGTAAGTGATGGACCCCATTTAACTTTTAACTCTGCTGACAAGAGATAGTACTATCAATGGAGACTATCGGACATGATCCAGATCATCTCTAGTTAGGCCACTGCCCTGTCTTCTGGTGACTTAGACAAGCGTGATTAGAAGGGATATCTGTTCAAGGCCGGACTATTGGGCAGACCTGCCTATAGATAGACCTTGTAAAGCCTTAAGTAGCAAATATGTACAAAAAATATTGACCAAAGATATCAAGCCATTCCCAAAAAAGAAAAAGAAAACGAGACTTGTGATCCCTTTTCAATGATTTGACTTGTCGACATCATGTTAAGGTGAGTGACCAGAGAGCTTGGGAGACCAAGACCCCACCCCCACTAGCCCTTGCCATTTGTCTGCCTGAGCTTCACGCGTCGCGCTTCCAACCGCGTAAAGTGCTTCACCATCACAAATTCCGCTGCACTTCTCCCACCAACCGGGCGCAACCACCGGATTCCCGATCGTGACAAGACAGCAATCAGGAACAATGCCAGCCGCAAAGGCAGAGGAGAAGGGCGAATCCTCGACAGCGGCAGTAAAGGGTGCCCTCAGCGCTGCCACGAATGGCTCCCCAAACTATGAGCTGCCCTGGTCAGTCAAAATCGGCGATTGTCCACGGCTCTAGCCAATGCTAATTCTGTTGACGAACGCAGGGTCGAGAAGTACAGACCAGTCTTCCTGGATGATGTCGTCGGAAACACGGAAACGATAGAGCGCCTCAAGATCATCGCAAAGGACGGCAACATGCCCCATGTCATCATCTCTGGCATGCCCGGTATCGGAAAGACGACCAGTGTCCTCTGCCTGGCCCGGCAACTGCTCGGCGACTCGTACAAGGAGGCTGTTCTGGAGCTCAATGCCAGTGATGAGAGAGGTGAGCAACGAACGAACAATGCCTCGTGCAGAGTGACGAGGCGACTAACAGACCTTCTCATACAGGTATCGACGTGGTGCGGAACCGCATCAAGGGTTTCGCGCAGAAAAAGGTGACCCTGCCACCTGGCCGACACAAGCTTGTCATCCTCGATGAGGCGGACAGCATGACCTCGGGCGCACAGCAAGCCCTCCGACGGACGATGGAGATCTACTCCAACACCACCCGCTTCGCGTTTGCCTGCAACCAGTCCAACAAGATCATCGAGCCGCTGCAGTCCCGTTGCGCCATCCTCCGATACGCCCGTCTGACCGACGCACAGGTCGTCAAGCGCCTCTTGCAGATCATCGAGGCCGAGAAGGTCGAATACAGCGACGACGGGCTCGCGGCGCTCGTCTTCAGCGCCGAGGGCGACATGCGCCAGGCCATCAACAATCTCCAGTCGACATATGCCGGCTTCGGCTTTGTGTCGGGCGACAACGTCTTCAAGGTCGTTGACTCTCCGCACCCGATCAAGGTGCAGGCCATGCTCAAGGCGTGCTACGAGGGTAATGTCGACTCGGCGCTCGACACCCTTCGCGAGCTGTGGAACCTTGGCTACTCGAGCCACGATATCATCTCCACCATGTTCAAGGTGACCAAGACCATCCCGACCTTGAGCGAGAATGCCAAGCTCGAGTTCATCAAGGAGATTGGCTTCACGCACATGAAGATCCTCGAAGGTGTCCAGACACTACTACAGCTCAGCGGCTGTGTGGTGAGGTTGTGCAAGCTGAACATGGACCCTAAGAAGTTCGAGGTGTCCAAGAAGTAAGCGATGATGGGGACAGCAGGTCATCTAATACTTGAAGATGATGGTCGGGGTAGTTCAGGAGCTGGCATGGCTATGGCGTTTTCGGATCACAGGCACAGTCAATGGATGTACACAAAAAGAAGCATGGCCGGTAGATATGGTCTCAAGAGTCGCTGGTGTTGTTACATGGGCTCCTTGGGATCTTTCGGTACCCAGTTTGCCTAATGGATGAGTCTATACATGAATATCATGAAACTTGCGCTTTTGCCTCCCGCTACCCAAATAGAAAAGACAAACACCGATTCGAATGCACCCTACTCCTCCTCCGGTCCGTACTCCTCGTCCAGGGCCTTTTGCAGCATGGCGTTCCGCGCTGCCTTGTGCTGCAGCTTCATCATGTTGCGGTACGCGCTCATCCTGTTCTCCGCCTCCAGGGCGGCACCGAACGCAATGCCGGACATGGCGATATATCTATTCAATCTCGTGAGCATGCCAGTCTGTGGAGAGCAGCGGCCTCAAGGCCTCAAGGGAGGGCGGGCAGCAACTCTACATACGTCTTGAACTGAATCGTGAAACTCCTGAACAGCGGCGACACGGCATAACCCACGCCGCAGAGGACGCCCACGGCAGCGCCCCATTTGACCGTGCCGTAGAAGGCGCCCTTCATGGCCTCCCTCGCGGCTTGGTTCGTCTCCTCATCCTTGTTCATTACGTTGGTGTGGCGCATCTTTGGTCGATTGTGCGTGGTCTCCTGGACCACTCCTTTCCACAGAAGAACTAACAAAAAAAAGAGTGCGCGCGCGAAGTTGTTCAATTGACTGGAATCGCAATTGAGAAGGGTGAAAGTTTTCCGTCCCAAGTTGACCGGGATTGTGCTTTCTCTGTACCGTGAAATTGACAAGGCCCGGGTGTCTCCGATGCTGGATAATAAATATACTGGGAGGGACGATCGCGTGGAGATAAGCGTCCTGTCAATTGAGTCCAGAACAAGCTTCGTGGGTCGCGTGCGCAAAACGGAGAGCAAGAGTGCTGCAAGTGAGGATGGACGGGGAAGTATTTTCCTGCCACAGGAGAAGTATGGGTAATATATGACACAGATGAGAAAAGTCGCTCAGATCTTATTACCTAGGTTGTAGTCAAATCAAGCATTACACGAAAAAAAGAGAAAAAGTTTTGTTTGGCCAAGGCTGTCTTGGTTTATGGGGAATTCCCATGCAACTCGTTTTTGCCCACGGTTTTGGCGGCAACTTCGACTCGCTAGAGCGCTGAGCTCGTATGATTGATCCCGACCTCGCTGGCCTGGACCCCCGGGAGGGAGAAAGCTCGGCGACCACCACGAGTTGCTCTGCGCGTCATGGCCCGAAGTGTGGAGCATCATCATTCCGAGTGGGCACCACGGCCTAAAAGCGTTTTAGGGGACCACGGGACCTGCCTGTAAGGCTAGCGATCCTTCCGGACGCTGAGTGTATCAACCAGCTCTGTCGTGTGTCGTTTGCGGTCAGCAAAGCTAGACGCCGTACAGATATCCATTGTGTTGTCTCGGGGTGGCCGCATCGGTTATCCAGCCTAATAAGTGCCTGCATGGAACTTGCTCAATGATGTACTCCGCAGTGGAATCCCTCTCAATGGGTCTTTTTACCCCAGTCATCTTTAAGGCTGTCACAGAAGCGCACGTTCGATTATCGGGAGATTTCGGTATCTTGCTGGGTTGCTATCATGAACTCCAACACCATGCAGCATTCGATCTCCTCCTCTGTTATCCTGAAAATACATCGGACTATATATGCATTCTCGACATCGATGACTCCAATTCAATGCCGACGTGTGTCTATAGGGACCCTGCCCCATCCGTCACTCTATGATTCCGCTCCATGACGCCTTTTGACACATCATCCCCGTCTCGAGCACCTAAGCACTCAGCGTGCCCTTCGTGCTCGGCACCTCGCCCTCCTTGCCCGCCACCTTGGACGTTGCTTGTCTGACCGCCACCGCCAGCGCCTTGAAGGCACTCTCGGCGCGGTGGTGGTCGTTCTCGCCCCGTAGGCAGTCGACGTGGAGGGTGATGCGGGCCGCCTGGGCGAAGCTCTGGAGGCAGTGCGGGATCATCTCGCAGCTGAGGTCGCCAATCTTCTCCCGTCGCAGGCCCAGGTCGATGACGCTGTACGGCCGATTGCTGATGTCGACGACGGCGCGCGACAGGGCCTCGTCCAGCGGGCAGTAGGCGGAGCCGAAGCGGGCGATGCCGGCGGCGCTGCCGAGGGCTTTGTTGAAGGCGGTGCCGAGGGCAATACAGACGTCTTCTGCGGTGTGGTGGTCGTCGACTGGACGGGGGGTCTAGTTAGAACATTGCGAATATTGTTTGGAAACCCAGGTAGCCCAGGGTTTCAAGGAGGTGAGCAATGGTAAGATGTCTGACTCACTGTGGAGGTCGCCCTTGCAGTTGAGCGTCAAGCTCCAGCCGGCATGCTTGGAAAGCGCATGCAGCATGTGATCAAGGAATCCAATACCGGTGTGTATGCTGATGGTTTGTGACTTGCTGGACTGCGAGGCGTGGCTGTCGGCACCGTTTGCGAGCAATCGCGAGTCCGTGTCTGTGGGGAATGATCCGCCGTCGAGGTTGAGCGCCAGTTGGATGCTGGTCTCGTTGGTGTCGCGAGCAATTGCAGCCCAGCGAGGGCTCGACTTCGTAGAGGACATGGTCTGATCTATCCGGTATGATCTTGCGCTCAAGCGTTTCTCGAATGTCTCGGCTGTTCCAAGCACATACGTGACAATGGTCTATCCGGTTGCTTGGAAAGTGGCAGTAAGTCATTGGTCGTCCGGAAAATTTGGGCCAATTTGTTAGTGATCGCATCCATGGCTGGCCGATAACGATAAGCTGCCCCGCAGGCGACCCAGGCATGTTCCAGCCACCGGTTTAGCACCACTGAACACCATTACCGCCCCTCTATCAGCGGATATCAGTGGGTAGCTTTCCATCTTATCGCCAAAAATTTCTTTCTCGAATCGCTAATCCTACCATCACGAGTATCGGATTCAGGTGCGACATCGTGAACTGCCCCTGCATACAGCAAAGATGGCGCCCACACGGACAAGAACCGTCAAGAACAAGCATGCTGCCAACAAGTCTGGCATCAAAAGCAGCAGGAGCTCCAAAAACCCGGATATCGACCCAGTCTCCAAGTCCAAGAAGCCCAAGGGAAAGAACGCTATCCAAACGCCCCTGAAGGGCAGGCCGTCAATATCAGACTTGCTCAAGAAGCGCAAGAAGAAGGTTTACTCTGAAAAGGAACTGGACATCCCCAAGCTCAACATGATCACCCCTGTGGGCGTGGAGAAGCCGAAGGGCAAGAAGAAGGGCAAGGTTTTCGTGGACGACAGGGTACGTTCTCTGCATCCACCAATGCGCCACAGGTTCTTCGGTGCTAACTTTTGGCCGTTGACAGGAGAGCATGTCTACGATTCTTGCGATGGTCCAGGCTGAGAAGGAGGGCCAGATCGAGTCAAAGATCATGAAGGCGCGCCAGATGGAGGAGATCCGTGAAGCGAGAAAGGCCGAGGCGGAGAAGAAGGAAGCTGAGCGCAAGGCGAAGTTCGACGAAACCAAAGAGTCTCTACGGAGGAAACGAAAGCGAACAAAGAAGGGCGGGGAGGACGACAGCAATATCAACGAGTTTGCATCGGCAGGAACCAAGGCTGCCAAGCCTAAGAAGAGGAAGAGTGTGTCTTTTGCAGACGAGTAAAGATCTTTAACCGCTAGCATGGCGTGGAGTACGGCGCATTGGGGTTTACAATGTATTTCGCGGTCATTAAAAGGGGGCTATTCGAAGGATTTGGCGAGCCAGTAAGCTCCTGTCCAGATAATCTATATGCGATACCCAGTCCGAACCAGTCTATTAGATCCATCCTCCCACTCCGAAAAGTTCTCTTCACTGTCTTGCTCTCTAATCTAGAACAATTTCCATCTTTCGCCTCATCGGGTCGAACTCGGCCCCTTGGAAGAAGTTTCCGTCAGCCTTGCCATTCGCTGGTTTATGTATACTGCTGAGATCGACCTTTGTCGCCATGTTTTTGAGGAAATTGGAGATCTACCATCGATTAGATTTCTGTCCGAATGAAAGATTAGAGCTCCGAGTACGTACCGGGTGTGCGTGCCATCTACCACCACCAAATTCAAACCATGACAAGTGCCCTCCCAGGGAGGTTGTGCATAGGACGGTCCATGGGTTCTGCTTGAATTCCTGGTAAGGCACTGCTTCCTTGACCGCAATCTGGGAAGAAATATTAGCTACATTCATCTGAGACATATTGCAGAAGAGCACTTACCGGGTCATCCTCCGCGCTGATGGCGAAGAACGGGATTCGAATTGCAAGTACCGAATCAGACGAGGAAGCATCGCGATAGTATGCTTCCTCGGTGGGATAACCCCATGTTGCGCATCTGGAGGTGCGGCTGGTCAGTGTCTTGGCCTAAATCAAAAGCCGGCAACTTCTACATGATACTTACTGAACCTCGCGATCAAACTCGAAAAGATAGGTGATATTTTGAATGCCTTGGAAATCAAGGTTGGTCCACTTCTCGATTGATTCCTTGTGACGTTGGATCAACTTCTTCATGTTCGCTAAGAGAGCAAAGTTTTGTCAGTTTCGTTTCGGACCACTGGAAATGCATAACATGATGGCTCTTCGACATACTGCCCATGAATCGCTGATACACTTCCTTTCCAAGCCAGGTGCGCTGCAGGGCCTTGCTTGACAGCTGCAAGTCGAAGGGATTGCCTACCACCACGGCGGCTGTGAGAGGGCAATTCTCCCCTTCCTCGCCCACATACTAGCCCTTGATGTCAGCACCAGGCACCACCAAGCGCCGTCAAGACGTTGCACATACATTGGTGAGAATGTTGGCTCCAAGAGAAAAGCCGAGGCCAAAGAGAGGCCGGTTAGGGAAAGTCTCTCTCGCCCAATTGACGACCTGCCGGACATCCCAAGTAGCCCGCGCGTTGAATAAGACGCCGCTGGTGATGGCGCTGTGCGCACATCCACGGGCATTGACAACACAAACGTCCCAGTCCCCGCCGCCGTCACGAAGGAGGGGCTCGATCGCATGCCGCAGGTACACCTCGTGGGAGCCCCCAGATAGTCCGTGGAGGACAATGAGCATGGGCCTTTCATCGTCGGACCCGATACTGGCGAAAGCCTCGTCTGAGAAATAGGCGGTACGGGGCGGCAGCGGCTCATCGTGGTCAGTGTGCGGATCGACGGCAAAGTCGACGGCAAAGGTTCCGGTGTAAGTCTTGTGGCTGGCATCGAAGATCTTCCTTCGATAATAGACCTGGGGGCCGTGAGGCTGTGTCACCGTCCACATCGTCTGGATGTGTCCATTGAAGAGCAACGGGTTGAGACGGCATGGCGGTGTACTCTGCTCGCAGATCTTGAGCAAATCTGTTTGCAACCCATCCTTCCCCTTCAGACTCAAGGGGTTAGGGGCATGAGTGAATGCCACCCGGGCCCGACCGAACCAATCCATCCCGCCCCGTCTCTGCGCGCCGGTGATTGCACTACGCCGCAACAGCTTGTTGTTGGAGGTCGATACGCTTTGGGCTCAAACGCAAGTCTCTGCCCTGTTATTCCGTACTCGGTGTAGGGAAGTAGAGCAACCCGGATTGGGCGTCACCAGTGAAGTTTTATATGAACGGCTTGGACAGATCGATTTGCTGATGGGAATCAACGGAAGAAGAGGACATAAACTACAGACTCGCTCAGCGAATCAATTCACTGATGATCGAATCACAAGAGGATAGTTGGGACGTGCAGACGTCACATAGAAGCGATGAAAGACTTTCCTAAGCAAAGACGTCCAGACTATTTTCTTCTTCCAAATAAACGAGTCGTCTGGTTCCTGAGTCTGTTCATATTTGGCCCACTTGCCGAGGCAGGCAGGTCGTGCATCAACTGATGGTTGGGTGGAGCTTCAAACCCAGACTCTACGGAGTAGGTACAGATCAAGGTAACTAACTACGGAGTACGTCAAGTGCATAAAGTACCTATGTATGCATCATATCGATGATATGGTAATGCGCCGTCCCACACTTGCACCTTGGACTTCAATCAAGTCAATTCAAGCCATACAAGTAGAAGCGGGCCCGTTTGGCCTGTCTCCAGCTGGCAATTGCCTCTGGCGCCCGGCTTTCGTGGCTTAGTCACGTGGGGCCTGCAGCTCCTCCCCCCAGCTTGCACGCGCAGGCGGTGCAAGCGTGCCACTTGCGCGTATTGAGTCAGGCGCTGGCTGGAGGTGCAAGTACCTACGTACCGTATCCACCCTCAACTCCTCCACTTCCACGGTCCCCAAGCGCAGGGTATCGTGTCGAATAACTAACCAACCGCGACCGTCTTGCCCATGATGCGCCGAATACACGACTGAAAGAGCTTCACGACCACGCAGCTACGAACCGCGACTCCCCAAATGAGATGACATATCGTGCACATCTGCCCCCGGGGCAGGCCTACAACGGCCAGCAGCCGATGCAGCACCAGCAGCATGGCTACCCAGCTTACGGCAATGGCAGCCAGCAAACACATATGCCATACCAGAACGCCGGGTACCTGCCTCACCAACAACAGCTGCCACAGCAGCACCAACATCTGCAGCACCAGCAACAGCAGCATCAACAGCAGCAGCAGCAGCAGCAGCAGCACATGCCTCCACAAACACACCCTCAGTTTCATATGAGCGCACAACAGCGGGCTCTGCACGCACAGCAGCAAGCCGTGCCAAATCACAATCTACAACCTCAACAGCTCTATTCGTCCTGGGATGGATCTTATCTGGGCCATGGTGTCCCTATGCCTTCTCCCGTGCCCGCACCTTCAGAGCTGCAGTTCCCTCCACGACAGCAATATCAGCCGCATCCAACAACACAAGGGTTCCAACCGTACCAACAATCCCACCAGCCCTCACCGCAGCTGGCACCGCAACCCTCACCGCAACTGGCACCGCAGCCCTCACCGCAACTGGCACCGCAGCCCTCACCGCAGCCGGCACCACGACCCTCGCCGCAGCCAGCAGCGTCGCCAATACTGCCCCAACAGATGCCGCCACCGCCGCAACGGCCATCGCAAGAGCGATCTGCGCAACATACACCCCTAGTCCACAGTCCGATTGTCGACCAGGGTCGCAGGCTAGCATCCGAGGGGTCAGTCAAAAGTACATCTGGGAAGCAGTCGCGCAAGTCAAGTTCTAGCTCCATCGGGAAGTCGCCTAAACCAGCCGCCACCTCGCTCGTCGACGCCGCAGCCCTCCTTGTCTGCACTGCGAATGACTGTTTCTCCCAAGCGCAGGTGGCAGTTGAACAGGTTGCGGCGGCGATGGACGGCGCAATGTTGCAAGAGTACCACAAGCTTATAGCAACTGGGCTGGCGTGCCTAGAGGCTGCCCTCAATACAAATAAGCTACAGCCCAGGGCCGAGGCCAAGGTCAGGCTCCGATACGGTGCCACTCTCAATGAGGAGACGGAAAATCTCATGCAAGCCGAGACTGCCCTCAGCAAAGGCATCACTGTTTGCGAGAAGGTATGGTCACGGCCTAGTATCTATAATGAAGCGACACGCTGACCCTTGGTAGCACCGGTTCGCGGATTTGAAACTTTATACCCAATACCATTTCTTGAGGGTTCTGTTCCGCAGAAATCGCAAGGCGGCTCTCATTGCCGTAGACAAGCATATCTCGGACTGCACAACGTACGTACTGCAGCTGTACATGCCAGACTGCTCGGTCTAACTATTGCTCATAGGTACAAGCAAGTCTACTGGATCTACGCATTTAGGTTTCTCAAAGCAGCTTTCTATGTACAGGGCGGCTCGCAAGCCGATGCTCATGCCCTAGAAAACCTGAGGAGTATCACTATTCTCGCCGGCGAGAGAGGCGACAATGCAATCTGCGTCTTGGGTTATCTTTTGGAGGGCCTGACCTTGCTCAAGACCATGAAAGACGACGCCATCGTACGGATTCAGACCTGCATCGCGCAGGCGTCGAAATATCAGCTAGATGCCACTGTACACATCCCACAGCTCGATATCTTGACCTTGTTGCTCGATCTGGCTTGCAGTCTACATCAGAAGGTCCCGTCCGATGTGATGAAGAAGCTCACAGCACTGCAGAGTCGGATGGACGATCTAGTCCATGTCCCATCTTGGAAGGAGCACACAACCGAACTGCTCCTACCGATGCGCAAGCAGGGCACATCCAGTCAGACTATCAGTGGCGACACGGGTGATATATTGCGCCCCGGCGATGGAGACTGTGATTTTCTAGTTCTGTCAAGCTTCAGCAAGATGGAAGTCTATGTACTTGCGTAAGTGGCACCCTGGCACCTCTGATGACCAGCGGGGAGATGCAAAACTGACATACGGATTCAGATATACTATCAGCGGATTAGGGCTTTTGTACAAGCCTACGGGCAGTAGCGAAAAGAGTTTGGAATTCTGGAATGAGGCACAGAGGATGCTTCCGTCTTGTAAGTTGACTCTTTGTGACCCTGGTGTGGATTCTGTTGCTTACGAGCTTGGTATCTAGGCACGAAGGTTGTTCCTCCGTCTCCATCTTCTCTTCCTGATGCTATCGATCGTGCTCGATGGCGAAAAGAGATGGAATGCTACATTCACATCATGATAGGACTGCACTCGGCAACTCATAGTGACTGGGCCAGGGTGAAGAGTTCTGTCCACGTGGTTGAGAAGCTGCTGAAGCATCAGCGGGATACTTCTCTTGAGACGATGGCCATGTATCTCTCTGGGATATATCAACAAGGTGTGGGCGAGCTGGATAGCGCGTTGCGGCTCTTTGAACACCAGCGCTTCTCCTTGATAGAGGACGGGACCCATGCCACGAGAAAGACGGAGAAGGATCTCTCGATACTGGCGGCTCTCAACCGGCTCTGCATCCTCCAGGCGCCGAGCCAGGCTCGAGGGAATGAAGGAAAGACGGACGAGCTCATTGAGCAGCTGACTCAGATCTGCCCCGACCACCCAGACCCCGAGATTAAGACGGCCTTCAACTTGGTCATGGCTACCGTCGAAACTAATCCGCCCATGTCGATCAACCAGGCCAAGCGCCACATTCACTTGGGACTGAAAGGTGCCCAAACAGCGAACAATACGCATTGCCTGTCTATTGCGCTCAATATCATGCGATTCAAGCTGTTTGAGAACGTAGTTGGGGAACAGGCCCTCAAGAGCGCAAAAGCGGGTGCTACTCAGGCCAAGAAGAGTGGTAACCTGTTGTGGATGAGCGTCGCTGATGGTATGTTGGCGCAGTCGTATGAGGTGCAGGGTGCGTTATCAGAGGCGAGGGAAGCACAACAGTCGGCCACCCGATATGCGAATGAAGCCTTTGAGAAGACCCAGTAGGGTACTCCCGAGACAGGCGGCGTGTATTGCTCTTTTCTTTTTCTACGATGGGAGGAGGGCCAGGAGGGCGTTTTAGGCACAAGGTGCTGATCTGATACTGTGGCGCATGTCGGTGATTTTGTGAACAAATGTATACCCCAATTTTGCGCTTTTGCATTGGCGGCCGGATGAGGCTGGGCACACTATCGGCAATCATCCACGGCATCGGTAGGACGGGCTACGGGCAAGGGATCATGGTATGAATGGACTGGTTCGGCATTAGCACCTGCATGATGACTTGGTAATACGTTGTTGTAAAAAGATGACAGAAAATGTTGAGGAAAGTAACCTCGAGCAATGTCGACCAGACGTTGTATCTAGCTGGTCTGTTCGGTCCAATTGCATCACAGAGTATGCTTGCGCCTTATCGGGATGCGATAAGCAGCTGCATGGGGAAACGGGAAAAAATAAGGGGCATCGCGCGTTGGATGATCAATTTTTAGTTCCAACCCGCGTCTCTTCAGACTCTGGCTTTGCCTAGAGAAAAAACAACCACCAAAAAGCTTGCCGGAGATCCCAACACTGTAAACCCGACAATAGTATCCCAGACGAATATCTCCCAATGCTTCAATTGGGTGCGTCGGGCGCTCGCATTGTCCGCCCATCGTACATATGTACCTCGTGTCGTGTTGCGGCAACCCAGAGCACGAGCTCGCCGAAGCCATGGACTACCCCAGCTAGCTGCCGGTCGTATGCGACGGAAGACTCTACTTCGAAAAAACCCAAAGGAGGAGAGAACAAGGCAAAGGAAGGCAAAACTCAGCCAAGGAGGTCCACGAGGCGAAACAAAACACGGGCGGGTCACCCTGCTTCGGGTTCCAAAGTACAACTGAAGATCTGGCAGGAGACATTGGATGTTCTGAAAAACTTGCAGCAGGCAGGCGGCCTGCCAGGCATTCCAGCGACGACGAGCAAGCCTGCCGAAGTGGAAGAGCTTCGACGAGATGGAGCATCTCCAACCGCAGCGCCAGGTTCGGCAAAACGGGCTACCAAACACACCAAACCCCCGAAGGGTCAAGTTGAGGCGTCGGGGAAGCAGCCGCTGGATCAGGGATCAAGCAAGCGCCAGATCGAAGTGCTCACTGGAGCACTCGAACTATTGAAGGATGTGCTCAGTTCTCAGAAGCCTCCATCTGAGAAGCCTTCGTCCGGAAAGTCTTCGACACCGAAAGCCAAGAGATCCCCCGCAAAAAAGGATACAACCCCAGCGCACGAATCCAATGTTATCACGCCCGCCAGGCCGATTGCAAAACAAGATACAGATGCGACTAGCGATCTACCTCAAGCTTCGACAGACGAAGCCGTACCCCATGAGCAGGATGATGCTGTCACTGCAGCCAAAAAGAAGACCAAGACCAGGTCCAAGAAGGCAGCCTCGCCAACAGCGCCATCAGCAGCTCCAACAGTCGTTGCTAGCAACCCGCTGAGATCGCGGTTCAAGGTCCAAAAGGTCAATTCCAACAATCTCAAGTTGACGCCCGTTCCCAGTCCTCAGCCCCCCGTCCCGCGTCTTCAGTACGGCTTGGACAGAGCTTTGTTCAACCCTGGTGTTTATCACCTCCAGGATCCTAGGTCGAGGGTGTACAACTTTGATCCATACCTTGCCACTATCATGCCAATACATGAATTCGACTTCAAAGCCCTCAAGGAGTATATCACGTCGTCCAAGGACAACACCCTCATTTCCATTGCTGCCGAGCACAAAAAAAAGTACACTGGGTCAACTTCTAGCATGACTTCTACCCTTGCACATTTCCATTATCTGCTCTCCGCCTGGAGGCCCATCAATCCAGCGCACACTTCTCGGTCGTTCGAGCCAGAGTCATACAACTTCACCAACATCATGCGCGCTCCGTCTGCCGCTTTTCTTCATTGGAAAGATGGCACCTACGCCATCGATGCAGACAAGGAGTACGACTCAGCCAACATCCTTAGCATGCTAGGAAAGTCCATGGAGAAGCTCCTGACTTTGCCGAAGGAGGACTTCGAAAAGTACCGGATCAGCAAGTCCCACGAGTTGTCCGACGAGGAGAAAAATGCCGAAGAGGCCTACCATTACACAACACTGGGAGACTTCATGATGCGGTCGCAACTTGATGCCCATGACCCTAGAGTCCTGGGGTCGGGAATGTTTGATCTGAAGACGAGGGCTGTTGTGTCCATCCGCATGGACGCCAAAGACTTCCACAAGGGCCTCGGCTACGAGATTCGCAATCGCATTGGTCAGTGGGAGTCGTTCGAGCGTGAATATTACGACATGATCCGCTCAGCGTTCTTGAAGTACTCGCTCCAGGTTCGCATGGGTCGTATGGACGGCATCTTTGTGGCTTTCCACAACACGCAGCGCATCTTTGGCTTCCAGTACATCAGCATCAACGAGATGGATTTGGCATTGCACGGCACTGATGACCGCAGTCTCGGCGATCGTGAGTTCAAATTGAGTCTCCATCTGCTCAATCAAGTGCTCGATAGAGCAACGGCAAAGTATCCAGGCCGTTCGCTCCGACTGCACATTGAGACCCGGCCATCTGTGGACAGTCCATTCATGTACATCTTTGCCAAACCTGTCACTACTGAGGAGATCTCGGAGATCCAAAATGCAAACAAGGCAGAGATTGAGGCATTCGAGCAGAACCTGATGGGCCTGGCCCCACAAGTCGAGAACGACGTGTCGGAAGAGGCAGACCCCTCTCCCGAGTCAGAGGAGGTTGTCGAGCCCGAGGTTGAGGAAGATGACTTGCAGAGCCAAGATGTCTGGGAGGAGATCAGGCTCAAGGTCGAAGAGGCGACGGAGAACGAGGCCCTTGGTGTGACCCTGGTGCGTGAGACGATTGAAGATGCTCTGGAGCACAGTGGCCTGCTGGTCGCAAGATCCCCAGAAGAGACGAATTATTACGTGGATGCCCTACTGGAAGCCGTCACCAGTCCGGACACCGCTATTGCAGCCGAGAACATCCACAATAACTCGATCGATGGGGACGAGGGCGTGGTTGAGGACAACGAAGAGACGGAGCGCGAAATGGCCCCTGCAGAGACTTCAGAGACTGGTGCTGAGGCATCTCAGCCAGCATCTTCCGCTTCCGATGAAGTTGCCGGCGATACAGCAACCTCGCCCGCCGAAGCCGCGGAGGAGAACCTCACTGCCATTGAGGACAAGGCTTCAGAGGACGAGACAGTTGCCTCGGCCAAGGAGAATATTGAGGAAGTGATCGCTCGAGCTTCCTCCAAGGCTTCGGCTACCAAGCTGTCGCTCAAGGATCTCATCCTCAAGCTCGCAGCGCAGGTGGAGGCCTCGCCGCAGGACAAGACCGGCGAGGGCGAGGACGAAAAGTGGACTCTGGACACGCAGACGGATTCGCCAAAGAATAAGCGGTTCGAGCGCATCCTCTCTCAGCTGATGGCCACCTCCAAAGTGGACTCGGCCGAGGGCAGCAGCGCCGCAGTCGAGGAAACGAGTGACAAGGCGGCGGATGAGGAGGGCGTCACTACGGCGGAGGAGCCGGCCGCCAGCACCACCGACGAGCAGCCATCCGAGACTGACACGGCTGCCGCCACTTCTTCTTCCTCCTCCGCCTCTGCCCCCGCCCCCGCCGAGGAGGAGCAGCCCAAGAAGGAAGAAGAGCTCCTGGGCATGATCCTCACCATCCGCAACAAGGTCAACGGCGCCTACGTCCAGCGGCCCGAGGGCCTCACCAAGGGCTCCTCGTGGGTCGTCGAGTACGCCATCGAGGAGCTCGAGGCCGGGCGCGCCGCCCTGCTCTACGAGCGCATCAAGGCCCGCCGGCGGCAGCACCTCGGGCCCGACCGCAAGCCCGCCGGCGGCGGCAACAATAACAACAACAACGGCAAGCCGGCCTGGGACCGCGTCTTCATGCGCAAGCTGCAGGACTTCAGCCGCAGGGGCGTGCAGTTCCGGCGGCGCGAGAACGCGGCCGCCAGGAGCAAGCCCGTGCTGGTGTACGGCCTCGACCGGCCGCTCGAGTGGGACGACGTCTTCAAGAACGAGCCCAAGGCGCCCTTCCCGCTGCAGGTCAACGACCCGAGCAAGGCGCCGGCGCGCATTAGGTTCTGGTCGCCCAAGACTTGGCCCGGCACGTCGTGAGATTGGGGGGTGGGCTGGTTGGTGTCGCGTTGCGCGCCGGGGGGTACCAGGTTGAACTAGGCGTAATAAAGGAATATGTCAAGACGGATAGTCGTCAAGACATGTGGGCAGAGCACGGTCGAGCTGGGAGTTTGTGTAACAATGAATGTATTTATATCTATTTTCTGCAGAAATACGCAGGATCATGAAAAACAAAAGCGTGTAACACTAGACATTTCACTCATCAATGATGATCAACACCCAAGACTTGCATCTGAATGATCAAGCAACGGACATTTGGTAATTAAAACCTCGTGTGCTTCATTAAAACCATGATTGCTATGTATGCTCAGGAAGCCACCCTTCATCCTAGAACTTTGGTTCCAACTTTTTCATCTCGACTGCTCTCCCATCCAGGCATGACGCTTTTGTTGTGCCCAAATCTCTATCTGATACCACACACAACCTAGCTTATTGGGTTGCTCATCCTCTGCAGAAGCCTCAAGGGGTATGAAGAAAGGCCACACAGCACGCGTATCCCGGCGAGTCTCAACTGTCTGCGTCCATCTCCCGCCACGACAGCCTCGCCACCCTTTTCGTTCTGAACCCATTGGCCTTACAAAGGCCAGATTAGGCTCCCATTAAAACGCGGGAAAAAAAAAGAAACTATCGATGCCTCATCCTTCGAGATGCAGCACTCTTCTAGATGTGGGCATGAGGGCGGGCCTCGGGGAAGGGGTCGTAAATGCGATGCTTGATGAACTTGGTCAGGGCAACGTCTCCCCACTCTTCCCACTCCTGCCATTGCGCCTCGGGAAGCTCGCTGACGCCGTCCCTCCTCGCCGCCTTCATGACCTCCCTGGCGACGATCACGCTGGCCTCGCGCACGCGCTCGATGCGGGGGTAGATCAGACCCTTGTGGATCTCCTCGGCGTTGAGGCAGTTGGCAAGGGCCTCGGCCGAGGTGTAGATCATGTCATCCGTGACCCGGGAGGCCTTGGCGAGGATAGCGCCGAGGCCAATACCCGGGAAGACGTAGACGTTGTTGCCCTGGTTGGGGTGGTAGGTGATGGCCTGGTCGGCGGCCTTGACGGTGTAAGGTGAGAAGGGAGAGCCAGAGGCAAAGATGGCGGTGCCCTCAGTCCAGTTGATGGCCTGCTCAAAGGTGCACTCGGCCTTGATCAGGGGATTGCTGAGGGGGAAGAGGATAGGGCGGCGGCCGAGACCACCGGCATCGACAGATGCCTTGAGAGCGCGGACCACCGACTCGGTGAAGACACCGAAGGTGGCAGTGAGACCCACCAGGGCAGAAGGCTTGACGTACTCAATGACCTCCTCCAGGGTGCGGAATTGGCGGCCGTTGTTGTCTGTCCGAGCAAAGTACTTCTTGTGCTCGGCCAGCTTGTCGCCACGGTCCCTTGTTACGAGACCCTTGGTGTCGACCAGCCAGAACTTGTCCTTGGCGGCTTGTTCTGACAGTCCTCGTCGGGTGTAGTACTCGACGAGCTGCTTGGCGACACCGACACCTGCGGATCCAGCACCCATGAAGACAAGACGTTGCTCCTCGAGAGGAACGCCAGACAGGTTGACAGCGCCGATGTAACTGCAACGTGTTAGTGAACTTGTCAAAAGGGCTCAAGCAATGTCTCCCGCTTACCCTCCCAGAACGACGGCACCAGTACCCTGGATGTCATCGTTGAAGCACTTGTAGCTGTTGCGATACTTGTCGAGGTAGTTGAAAGCCTTTTCGCTCTCAAAGTCCTCGAACTGGACGACCATGTTGGGGAAGACGTCAACGGCTGCCTCCATGAACTCGTCCATGAATTCCTCCTGCTCAGCCACGGAAATGCGCTTAGAGCGCAGACCCAGGTAGAGAGGATCCTTCAGGTTGGCCTCGTTGGCCGTGCCACAGTCCAGGACAATGGGCAGGGTCTTCTCAGGGTGGATACCAGCAGCCGCAGTGTACAAGGCCAGCTTGCCAATCTAGGGAAGATATCAGTATTCGTTGCGACGAATTTCAGGGGCTGTTCATCGGAACCAAGACTTACGGGAATGCCAACGCCGTTCACACCCAGGTCACCCAGACCCAGGATTCGAGAGCCGTCCGTGACGACACAGATCTCCGGGGCAGGGTGGGGCCAATTCCTCAGAATAGTGCGGATGCTCTTGCGCTGCTTGATGGAGATGTAGAGAGCCTCTGGGCGGGTGTAGAGGGTGGAGTATTGGAGGCAGACATCTCCAATGGTCGGGGTGTAGACCAAGGGCATCAGCTCGCGGGCGTTGTCCATGAGCAGGCGGTAGAAGAGATCCACGTTCTCATGCTTGATGGACGAGAGGTAGAGGTACTTGTCAATGTTTGTCTGACGAGTCCTGATCATCTTCATGGAGCGCTCGCACTGCGTGTTGAGGTTCTCCATGACGTGAGGCAGCAGACCCGTGAGGTTCTTGGTGACACGCTCCTCAGGAGTGAAGGCAAGGCCTATATGGACGGCGGTGTTAGTTGATCATCATCAACAAGGGCCATCGAGAGAGTCGTGGACACTAAGAGAAACCGAGTCATGTGCACATGGTACAACGGTTGCAGTTTAGAGCAGGCAGAGAGGATTAAAAAAGAAGAAAAAAAGTAATTATTGAAAGATAGATATGAAAGCACAGAGCAGCAGGAGAAAACAAGGCAAGACTCGAGATGTAGAAGAAAAGAATATGAAAGACCATGAAATCAGATTCAGAGCAAGAGCTAGACCAACCTTTGTTCCAAAGAGGTTCCCGAAGGACCTGGTAGCCCAGGGCCTGGTGCTTGGGGACGTACTCAGTAGTAGACATTTGTTGTACTTCTGCGTAGGAGTTCTGAGCGTAACCGCGAAGCTGGTCGAGGGACTGGGCCTTCATGGCTTCCTCAATGGCGAAGATGTCGACGGAGGACATTGGGTTGAAGCTAGAAATGCGGCGGCTCGAGGAAATGGACATGCGCTTGTTAGATATAGACGTCTGCGATGAACGGCCGGACGCTACTGAGGCGGATGGGGAGGTAGACCGAGGAGTAGACACGTCAGAACTGCTAGTGCTGAATGAATAGGCCGACGCCATTGGCACCGTCGATTGTGGAATGGAGAAAGATGGGGTAGATGAGGGTGCGGAGGAAGACGGGAGAGGCGAGCAGCACGAGGAATTGCAATTAGTCAAGCACCATGTACTAGTGGAGAATGGTGGTTGCGGCGAGGAGGAACGGCGGCGGCGGCTGTTGAGGGGGCTTTTATGATGATGGGAAAGGGAACGGGAGGGAATCTGACTGGAACCAGCAGCAGCAGTACAAGTAGGAGCGGGAAGAGATGAGGAAGACGAAGAAGAAAGATGGGGATCAGCAGCTTCGACGACGCCGGCAGACGAGGAACGAGGTGGATGATAAGTAGCAGCGCCAGAAAACGACGAGGAAGCAGGGATGTCGCCAGGCGAAACAGGAGAGGCAGAGACGGGATCAGATGCCAACGACGAGTAACAACGTGATGGCGATATTGCAGCCGCTGCCGTTGCGACGACTGCTGAGATGGAGATGCGAGGAGGGCGAATGGCAGAGCTGCAAAGCGACTTAGACGCAGGCGGGGCCACACGAGCCTGAACCGGACCCGGTCTGCCACTAGCGGGCCCTCCTAGCGTCCTTAGTACGTTGCGGAGAGCAGGAGCAGGGGCCCCTGCAAGGGACGCCGACCGGGCCCAGGTACTGAGACTTTTCCCCATCAAGAAATACTTTTGGGGGTAGGAGACGCTTTGCCGTTGTATCGTCGTCCTCGTCCTTCGGGACCTTTCTTCGGACGGTCCTCTGTGTGCTTGTCGGAAGTCGGATTGTGCCCCCTCGGGAACGTCCCCGAAGATCGTACGCGAATGCTGCAACAGGAAAGGGAAAAAAAAAACAAAACCCTGTTAGTCCTGCCCTGCTTCGTTAGGCTTCTTCTGTAACATCAGGGGGCGGCTCTCTTGTCTCTTACAGGCAGTTTCGGCGCCCGTTTCATAAACGAGGCAGCCCAGAAAAAGTTCCAAGCAAGGTCCCTTGTCGCCCTTTTTCCTGTGATAGAGCTGGACAGGACAGGAGGGGGATGCGTGCCGAAAACTCCCGTAAGATGTACCACTACCTCAACACCGCAATTGGTCAACCCTGCTTTGCGCACACGACCTCTCCTTTTTGGAGTCTGCGTGTTTCGGAGGCGGAATGCAGGATAACGTAAAGCAGGCGGCCAAGGTTCTCAGTGTTGGGGAAGCTGCCGGAGTACCGTAGGCGCTGGTCACAGAGACGTGAATGAATGAATGACCTCGCACCGGGCTTTGCACCGCGCCGCACCAAGCAGGCGACACGAGTCTGGTTTTCGGGGATGATGAATGCTACTGCAACTGCAACTGCAACTGTCGCTTGAGAGAAGAAATTGAAGGATGCTTGTGGATTTACGAAATGGCCTCTCATTTCGGTTTTTTTTTTTCTCTTCCTTCTCTTTGCACCGTCCAGTCACCGCTGGATTGCCAGCTCCGTTCACGGCGCTGTTGCCCCAGCTCCGTACTTTTTTTTTCCCTCTCCTTTGATGACTCTTGCCTGAATCGTAAGCCCAGCCAGCAGGGCCTTGTTGGGGTCCGCTTTCTGCGGCGTGGAGCTGTAAGGCTCTCCATATCAACGCACTTGTACCACCGCCAACCCATACCACCAACGTGACCGTGACAGTGACAACGCATCGGGGTAAGCATCCCACATCAGGTACTTGGTCCTTCAGACGCCCACTGACCATGACCTCTTTCGCAACCCATTGTCACTCGATACGCGGGCGAGGTCCCGATCCAGGAGCTATGCGGTGGGTGAGACCTACCAGCCCTCTGTGGGTTTCCTTTTTTTTTTTTTTTGGTGTGTGCTGCGAAGTACGGACGAGACGGAGTCACTAACGCCATATCTCAAGCCATGACTTTGTTGAACCCGAGCCCTGACTTTCTGTACGGTCCACTTGAATGCCCCGACACGACCGATCTCCGGCGGCCCCAGCCCGCCGGGCGTGCGTAGGTCCAACGCCGCTGATCCACGGAAATTGCCCGGCGCATTTCCTTGTGCCTGCTGATTGGTGCTACCGGAGTCCCAGCGGTGTGAGACGGGGTGTATTTTCTTTCACGGAGTGACTCTCTGTAAACGGCATTGACTTTCTTTCCCTTGCTGATCTGATTTCCTTAGAGCATGGGCGTTCAGGTAAAGGCCGATTGGTCGTCAAATTGCATTGTTCGGACTAGGTGGTGACTCTTCCTCTCCTACCTAGAAGGAGGGGGGTCTGGAACAGCCCTCAGAGACGGGTGCAAGCCGAGCCAGAGCTAAGTTCAGGGAGTCCGCATACCTGGCGGTAGTTGTCCAATTAGCGGAACCCTAATATCATAGCGACCCTCCTTGATGGGACAGAGGCTGTGACAGCGTCCCGAACCGCGGGTACGTACTGCGTCCGAGGGCAGCTGAGAGCCAGCAAGGCTCCTTGTGCTGGTACTTTCGCGCAAACTCGTGTGAGCGTTGGGCTCCCAGGGATCGGTCTCCGGAGCGTGGGCTACTGGGATCAGGGTGCTTGGCTTCTTGGCTGACAAGTCTCCACCGTCTTCTGGACGAGGGCCCAGCCACACGTCCCGTTACATGTCCTATCGCCCCGACAAAGACCCGCAAGCAGAACGACTGGACCTAGTTAGCTGCTGATGTGCCGGCAGCTTTGCAGGGCGGCTTCTGGAACGTGGGCGATCTCGGCCGGGACAACGACGGCCCAGTAGGAGGAAGGCGTGAAATGTTGGGGTAGTTCAAGGTTTGCTATCACAAGCATCACCGTCTGGGGTATGTTGTCTTGAGCCAGAGAGAACCGGTTGGGGATGGGTCTGCTGTACTGTACTCTGTACAAGTACTATGGAGAGCACGCAAGACTGTTGACGCGCAGCTTGATCTACAAGTACAAGGACGCTCGCCCACAATACACATTGTCAAGGACAAATAGCCAAGAGGCCAAACCTTCATCAACAAAAGAAGACCCGCCCCAATCTCCTCGACGACAGGGTTTCAGATGTTACTTCTCCAAGTCGCATGGAGCTGTCGGGCAATGTCGGAAGGCTGGTCGCAAGGGTCGGCTCCACGGAAGCTGCAGCTAGGACCATTGCCCAATCGTAGCGCATCAGGACCCCAATTTGGGTAAGCGGCCTGGAAGCATGCACGCATGGCTGGGGTGGGCGGCGATCCACATCGAAAGAAGCAACTTTTTGGGGAATGAAACTTGTGGGAAAAAAGGGCAAATATTGAAACTGGTCGGGCATGAGCGAGGAGGCAAGAACAGGCACAACCCCCTGGCCTACGGCACGCTCGAGCAAGGTCTGCGATCGCCACTCCGTACACAGGATATGGGGAGATGGGTTTACCCAAGATGAAAATGAGTAAGAGAAATCAAGGGGTGCGAAATAGGGTGACAGGTCAATGTTCAAGTTGATGGGTCCTGATCGGGAAATGGGGTCGGCCCTTCCAGAATGTCCCTGGCCCCCATCATCTGTCGCCTGAAACGATGCTCCCAGCCAGTTTGCTCTTTCCGATATTGATGCAAGTGCAATAGTTAGGTAGGTAGTTACTCCTGTAAAGTACCTGCACACCGCCCCACCGGCGTTGAACTGCCCGCCCTTGTCCTGAAGAGGCAGGGTACGAGGTCAGGTAGGCAGCAGGCTCCCGAGTATCTCAACACGAGGAGGAGCGTTCAGACATCCGGAGACACGGCCAGATAAGGTAGTCATGGTTCAATGTTGTGATGCCTGAGCTGGAAGGTCAAACAGCTTGAGGTGTGTGCTTCCTCTTTCATTGAATGGTTGGGGGACGAATGCACCTGCATTATCTGTCAATCTTCATTGGCGCATTGATCTTCTGCATAACTCTGTCTTGTAGTTACATGGAGGCCCCGTCTCAACGGCACTCAGACCTACTCAGTCTCTCTCGCCTTAATCTCACGAGCATCCATGCTCGCACACCTCGAAGCTGCTTGATCTGCCAGCATCCCATCTACCCGTAGACAAGACCGTTGGACCAGTCTCATCTCTGGTAGTGCACGGGAGAGCGAGCATCTGTAGCATTGGCCCGCCCATGCATGATCTCCTCCCGCCCCACCATCTTCTTTCAACTTGGCTCAAGGCCTGTTCCGGCCGCCGTTTGAGCTTCGCCAGCATCAAGCACATGCATAGTCTTCTTGTTGGAGATCAGATCGACGTATACTCTTTCCGCAAAGTTCCTTTGGCTCGTGGCCGTGACCTCGAGGAGGCATGTGAAAGGTCACGGTTGGCCAAGACCCACGAAGCCATATATGCCTTTGCATATGACGATGTACTTTGACATGCTGATACATCTCGGCCCTCGTGCTAGTGCAAAAGACCTCTTGATGGGTTTCAGACAAACAGGTCAACTAGCTCCGCCTTTGTCATTCGTTCATCCTCTCTTTGTGAAGCTACGCGTCTCGCAGTCTACAAAGTCGGCCGGCCTACGCCATTCTGAACATTGCCGACCTCCAACGCGCTGAGCCAGCACATGCTTGACCTGGATATCCACGGCTCAACCTGTATCAACTAGTGAACTACTGGATATCAACGGCCCGAGCTCGTCTCTCAACGTTGAGGTTGAGTAGCTCCCAGCTTATACAAATACCTACCTCATGCCTGGTCATCTCCAGCGTGCTCAAATGCCCATGGACTGCCTTTCAACTTTTACATCCATGAGTGGTCCTTTTCCGCTCTCTGCACCGTGATGCCTCCTAGCCGCGGCGTGCATGTGCACGACAGCCGCCCGGTAGCATGAGTCACTAGGTCCGAACCACCACGAAAATGATACGGCTCCTGGGCATGCAAGATCATCTCTGGATCTGATCTGATCTGATCTTGGATACACATGCACTCGAATTTAACTATTGCCAAAGACGTTCCTGGTCTCCGCGGCTCCAAAACCCCGCATTGCGCTAGGGACAACGGGAGTTCTGGTCACCCCCCCGGTCGATGTTCACCTGTCATTCGGCCTCCGCCGGCTCAGTTCGGCTCCGGTTACCCGGCCCTCTGCCCATCAACGTCGTTTTCCACCACAAACGGTCTGGTCTTCCCCGGATCGTCAAGGACAGTAAAAATAGAGTCGGTGGCACCTTGTTAGATAGTTCGAGTTCTCCAAATCTCCAATTCTGTAGGGCTGGCATGTGCGTCAAGCGCGCGATTACGCTACCTTACCTCCCTCCCCCCCTCCCACCCTTTGCCCCGGCTGCAGTAGTACCGGTACCTTGCGCTCCCGCCGCGTTACTCCACATGCTCCTATTTTCGTGGTTGGTGTTAGACGGGCGGCAGCTAGATGCGTTACCTCGGATCTCGAGAGATCTGGGGTAGGTTCACACCCGTAGCCGAGATGCCCTCCGGATTGCGCCATGACTCACCCTCGACGATGCGGCTAGAGTTCAATGCCAAGACTACGGTCTGCACTCTATCCTCGTATAGTCCATGTTGTCTCTGTGGTTATCGTCTCTTTTTCGTGCTCTGAGCAATGTAATAGCAGCTGATATCATCTTGCCTTCTGACTGAGCCTAGCCGAGGCATCTCCGAAACACCGTCCCTACGTATCTACCTTGTGACTCAATATTGGTGTGAACTACTAGACAAGCATCACTAGTCTGTCCAGCTTGGGCGCCACATGTCAACAGCAGGCCATCTCAATCTGGAACCATCTGACTTGAGCTCTTTGGCAAGATTGGAAACGTTTTTTACACATGCACAAGTGATAATCCTGTGTTATGAGTGTCGAGCCGCGGCTATTTACTTGGCAAGAAAGAGATTGTGTAGACTATGTATCTTCTTTCTACACAATACCATCTTGAACTCTAACATCCATCGTCGTGGTCCTCCTTCTCCTGCTCCTCCACCTCCGCTCCTCTCCCCCCCTGCTCTTCTCCTCCTCTCCTGTTCCTCCACCATCCTACCTGACTCTCCACCACGGGCAGCTCTGCCCCTTGCCTACCCAAGGCGGGCAGCAGAGAGATAATAAGGTTTTCGTGGCGCCATCCATATGTTGCCACCAGTGTTCCGAGGGGACTCTTGCACCCTTCGTTAGGTCAGATCATGAAACTGGCTATTTCAATCTTAAGATGGCGAAACCAGCACAGGAGATGTCACTACTGGACAAAGAGAAGAGATTGACTCGCGGTGCCTTGATATTCGGTAAGACTCAGAGTGACATACACACATATAAGGGCAACTATCAAATGTAAACAGCAAGTGAAAGTGGTGGGAGAAGAAGTCGCGTCGCGGCTCCTGAGTAGCGACCCCGAGCTACAAAAGCAGACAGGTTTGGGACCGGGACAGCGATGATGGCGGCTACGAGAGGAGCGCCCGAGCAAGCCCTGGCCGGCTAACAGTTGAGGTATTCCAGCTCAACCTGGTAATCATCTGCAATAGACCTGTCCGCCGGGTTGGAATCTGCCTTGATCTCCATATCATATAGCTGGCGGCTCTCCGCAGGACAGGGAATCCCCCCCTGAGTTCGGCTTGTGCATGAAATGCTGAGGGCATAACGTAGAGCAGTCAATTTGAACGATGAAGAAAGCCTGACAGCTCGAGCTTCATCGTTGCGTAAGGCCCTGACCTGAATCCCCCCCGACAAAGTCCATTTGTGGGAGCATCTGAGGCCAATACCGATGTCTCCCTTGCCGTTCACAAGATCAGGGACTGCATGAAGGTCTCTGACTTGTGAAGTCCCATGATTCCGTTGTCCCAGTTTCCCTGAAGCTGATCCAGGTTGCCCTTCAGTACCGCACAGCAGTAATAACAAAGCCTGGTAGCCAAGACTCTATTGGCCGCGCCAGTCAACAACAATCCGACGGTGATAACTGGACCTATACCAGGTGGAAATGCAGGATAGTTCTTAGTGTTGCAGAAAGTATAGTATTGATATTGTATATGCACCAACACCTGCAAGTCTGATGGGTAAGAAGCTAGATGAAAAAGAAAATAAATTCGGGGTATTCCATGACTTGGGTTTAAAAAAAGAACAATAACAAACAAAGGCATGAATCATCAAGTATGATCCTTCTTCTGCCTCTGTCCAAAGAAGATGCCGTACTGCTGTGTGACTGACTGGCTTGCTTCCAATGCAACGCTCCTCCAAATGCTAAGAATGCTCGACAGTCTCCCCTCCCTCCGCCCCCAAGCCCTTCCGTCCAAGAACCCTTCGAAAGGCCCGCCATACATTACTCTTTTCCCCCCTTTTTTGCCCTTGTCCTCTCTCCAAGAAACTCCCCGATGCACTTTTTAGACACCGCCCTTCCGGAAAAGACGCTTGGTGCCCCCGACCTTGCCCATCTCGCCGAACCGGCCGTCGGAAACGGCGGGCGGCGGCGGCAGCGGCGGCGGCTGGTCCGACGACGTGGCGGCCTTGAGCTCGCCGCTGGCGATGCGGACCTTCTCCTTGACGCTCTCGACCCAGGCGCGGCTCTCCTCGCTCATGGCGATGTTCTTGGCCTTTGGGCCCGACATGCCCAACGAGCTGTCCTCCTCGGTCCAGCTCAGCCGCGAGCTGGACCGGGACCGGCCCGACGCGTTCGAGACGGGCGTGTCCGAGGACCGCGGGCCGCCCGCGGGCAGCGGCGTCTTGGGGAGCATCCTGCTCGAGAAGCTCTCGTCGCCCATGCTCTTCCTCGTCTTGCGCACGTTGAGCGGCGTGATGGGCGAGTCGAGGGCCGACGCCGGCCGGCTCGCAGGCCCGCCAGGGCTCGAGCCGACCTTGGAAGTCGAGAGCGGAGGCAGATCTCTTATCTCCACCTTGCCTTCTTTGCCCGTCTTGGACCGCCGGCTGTGATGGCTGGCGTACTCTTTGAGGTACTCTCCCAGGTCCGCCCAGCCGCCACCCACTCGCACCATCACGCGCTCGCCATTCTCGCCCACGAGTCTGATGAACAGCTTGATAGGCGCTTCACCTGTAGACCTCGAGAGATGGTAGAGCTTGATCTCGGAGTTGCCCTTCTGGTGACGGGATCGCGTGTTCCGAGCGTAGGCTGGAGCCAACAGAAACGAAGGGGTGCCAGCTCTGGACGACATGCTCGACTGGCTGCGTACGGATTCGGGGGCGCCAAAGCTGCTACGCTTCATCTTTGGCAGCTGCAAGTCTGGAGGATTGAGATGGTTGACGGGCGGTGGATCTGCCGAGAGTTTGATTTTGGCCGGGATAGAGCCCAGGATCTCGCTGATCTGCTGTTGCAGCTGGTCATCCTCACTGGTAACGCTATTCTTACCTGGGCTACCCAGTTGAAGTGACGTATCAGTGTCGTCCAAGAAAGAAGGCATGAGCGGTGTTCTTGGCGGGCTCTCCTCGACCACCGTAGGCATGTCAGTGAAGGTTGAAGTCGACCTTGTGCTGGACCTGAAGTCCGGTGGAGAGCTTGGAGGGCTCCCGTTATCGGACTGTGCAGCGGGCTCCTGGAATTGAGGAAGGTCGGCGGCCGTGTCCATATACTCGGCCTGGTCGCTTGAGATGTCAAAGCCACTAGGCGGCCCATGAACGACCGTTGAAGTTTCGCTCCCCACCACTGGGTCACCCATCAAGGAGGGCAAAGATGGCTGGGTTCTGAGCGATGCAAGGGAATTCCGGGAAGAAAGATCATGGTATGACTCAAGAGCTTCTTCGGAGACAGGGTCGGATTCCGAGGTGCGAGCTCCCGGGCTAGACTCGTCCGGCAGGCTGTCCTCAGGGAGAGCTACCGGCTCCTTGCCGTTGACGCTTGGCCGAGTTGATATATCAACAATATCAACATCAGGTGGGCTGGTATCTCGGCCTCCATCGAGCGTTTGCTGAACAGGTGATTGCTCCGCAGAAGTCAGGCGGATTTCGACCTCTGGCGCGACTGGGACTGGTTGTGCCGAGACGGCAGGCTTATCACTTGGTCGATCCTCATCTTTGCCCTTGGTCGGAGACAGTCTGCCCTCAGTGGCACTAGATCCCAGGCTGCTCATCTCACCGCCATTGACCCGGTTCCATAATGACTGTCGCATCTCACGCTCGCATGTCGCAACCCATTCGCCATATCGTTGTTCGACTGAGTCCATCCGATCAACCCACTCATCCGGGATAGTATCCTCGGCCCCGTCGAGCGTATCAAGCATGAAGTCGATATCACGGGCAGCTTTGGCTACCTTCTTATCTACCACAAGCTTCATGATATCGAAATCCTGGCGTGTCAGCATCGAAGAAGTAGATCCGGGATGTGTGCCCGCAGCATCGATTTCACGTCTGGTGGCGTCCCATCCTGACTGCAGGGCAACCTCAGCATCCTGCAGCGAATGCAAGGTCGATGGGATTCTATGCAATACGGAAATTCGAAGGCTCCAGGTATCCATCAGACGGACTAGTTTGGACAAGTTCGGCAACAGCTGCATCACGATCGCAGTGATTATGGCAGCCAGGTCGTCCATCTTGTTGAATCTCTGATCCAGAGAGCTCCCGGGGCGGTTCGAATCGGACATGGGCGTACTTGGCCGGGAAAGGGGTAGAATGTGGTGGTGCAAGACGTGACTTTTAATCTCTTCGACATCCAGCTCCTTCATCTCCGTCCGGATGCCGCTCACGCGCCTCTCATACTGTGTGACATCTGAAGCCGGAAGGCTTCCGAGCCATGGGGCCTCCTCTGTCTGGTGTGTTTCTTGTGCACCGCCGTTCAAAGTTGGCGTTTCATCGGACCTTGTGAAGAGCTTCCGCCTCTTCGCCGTGGGCATCTCAAAGCCGGCAGAGCCACCGCCGGCGGGCCATGGCCAGGTGGAAAGCTCTTCCAGCCACTGTGCCACAGCTCTGGAGGCCTGGGCAGCTCTCAGGGCAAAGGACTGTTCGGTAGGTGTTGCACTATCGAGACAGCGCTTGAGCGAACCCGAAGGGTGACGGAGAACATCAACGGCTGTAGAGGGCGTCAAGTTCGCAAGGATATCATCGGTATGTCGGTGTCGGGTGGGGGATCCTGAAGTTGAGCGAAGATGCTGGCCCTTTGGCACTGGCAGGAACGGTATCGTGTCGCCCATGGTATAGCGGGCCGGCTGTTGCATGTCGGAGTTAGACGTCGATGGATCGGCCCTGTGTGTAGGACATGGCGCTCTTCTTATAGAGCCATCGAGGCGGTGGTGCGCTTGTTCTGCAGGTCAAAAGTGCCCATAATGCAGAACAACGACCAACTGGGTGCGCCCAGGAGACAAAGCCGACGCCTGTTTGCCAACAGCAGTTCCTCGACGACAATGAAAGGGGCGCGCCTGGAGCTGAAGGCAGGTATCGAGTGGCCCGAGTTGACTATGCGACCATGAGGAACTATGAGTCCACAAGCAAGAGACTGATCAATCGAAGTAGGGTTTCGACGCCGTCGAAGAGGATGTCGGGTCTCGTTCGTTTGCTGTCGCCGACCAGTCAGGCGAGACGAGGTTGCTGCTGCTGGGGAAACTTGTTGTAATTAGGGGAAACAATAGCACAAGGGGATGAAGACGCGTCGGTCAAGAAACGAATATGAAGTCAAAGGAGAAAGGCTAGGCAAAGAAGTGAAAGGACCGCAAAGGGAAAAGCGAGTGACGTGTTTCACACAAAGTGCAGCGCGAAACGGGTTAATTGCAAGATGGGACAGGTGGTGGAGATGAAAGCATCGACGAGATTGATTCGTTGGTGGTCGGTGTTTGACGTCGGATATTGCCTCCAGTCGCTGCATTGGTGCGCATTCCTGCATCAGCTTTAGGGGGTTTGACACTGCTCATAGGTGCTCAAATTAAGCGCCAGCACCCTCTCCCTCGGCAAGGCTAGTGAAAGCTTCCCGCCAAATAAAACACTACTAACCCCAATATTTGGGGTAACATCCCACGAACCTCACCTCTGTTAGAGAGACATGTACGGAGTACCTACTTAGACTGCATTCTTCTCCAATCGAAGCGTAAGGAATGTTGTATAATCAGTTGGTCTCTGTAAATAGGTAGATCGATGCTGTTCGGCAAGCCGATGTACAGCGCTGCATATGCTCACATCCCCAGTGGCATGTCAACTTACCCGAGAGGCACAGCATGTAGGAGTTGTCACGAGCCCGGAACCGGTCGATCTTCCTCAAATATCTCTTCTTTTCATTGATTAAATAGCAGACACGGAGCTGTTCGCTGCCGCTCGTCTTAGTAGAAACTAGTTATATCCTGGTGAAACACAAACTGTAGACCAAGTCTTTGCTTCTAAGAGTGTGTGTTGTGCCGCTAGTCCAGCAGCTCGGGAAGAATCAAGTTTGGAATAACATCAAAATCATTTCAGACGACTTTTCTTTTTGGGTGGATGTCGTCTGGCTCATGCTCTTTTCTATGAGACTTTTCCCTGCACCCATCCCGAGATCCGTACGCCCCTTGAAATTGAGGACCACAACTCCGAGTGAAAATGCAAAAGATCACAAGACGGAAGGAAAAAGGAAAGACGAAACCAGACACACGACACTCAAGGGCAATCCAGAAAAAGATCACGCAAGGATGGGAAGTCCCGCCTGCCCATCAATGTCCATCTTGTCGTCCGCCGTCCCGGCCCACGACAGGGTCTGGGTCGGCAGAGCCTGGTGGCCGGCGTCCTCGCCGGCATCGAACATGCCCATAAAGGCATCGTCCGTGTTGTTGACGCCCTCGGCCGGGAACTGCAGCCACTGGTCAAAGTCCAGGTTGGTGCCGGACACGGCGTTCCAATCGATCGACTCCTGGCCCATGCCGAAATCGCCGTCCACCATGCCGCCTTCTGACGACCCGCTGGCCGACGGCGTCAGCCCGACCGCCGAGTCGAGGTCCTTCTCCGTCGGCGGCGGCGAGTGTCCCGCCCCGTCGGGTGCCACCGATGTCGAGCCCGTCTTCTGCATATACGAGCGGTGAGAATGGTACAGCTTGACCTCGGTCGAGTTGAGGTACGGCGCGTTCTCGGGCGGCGGCGTTGAGAGGTCCTCGGCGTTCTGTTGCTGGGCCATGAGGTTGCCGAGGTTCAGGCTCGCCGCCGCCGCGGTGGCTTGTTGGTTGTCGATGCCGGCCATGTCGATCGAGGCCTTTCGCAGCGCGGCGTCCAAGAATCCCGTGGCGAAATCGGCAGCCGCATAAATCTCTCGGAGCTGCACCATGACCTGCATGCACTGCTGGAACCCCCTGGTGGCCCTCTCCCGCGTCTCCGAGAGGGGGTTCTTCATCTCGAGCAGGTGGATGATCATTGCCGGAAGGATGACCGTCACGCCGGTTGTCGGCAGGAACTTCTCCAGGTGGTACTTGTGCAGCTCAGCAACCATGTTGGTGATCTGGTTGGCCGAGTCTCGAACCCGCATGCGAGACATCTCCTGGATCTGGCGCGAGATGCTGGGCTGCTGGAGAGGAGACGAAGGCAGGAACTGCGGGCGGTGCAGAGCCGAGATGGTCGTGTAGTAGACCATGTGGAGGAGGCTACGCTGCACCGCGAGGGCTGCCTGGCCCTTCTTGACCTCTTCTGACGTGATGGGGCGATACTTGCACGAAGGCGGCAGTGCCTCGAGCCAGCTGGTCAGCTCGAGGTCGACCATGTTCACATTGCCCACGTTCTCCAGCGTCTTGTTCGGGAAGAGCATCATGGTGCTGTTGGTCGTCTGGTCCGGCCTGGCCGGATCCCTGATGAGCACAGAGTACTGCGCCTTCAGCATCTGGCTCACCAGCACACACAGCCGCGTCTTCTGCACGCACATCTCGGCGAGCTGTTGTTGCATGCTGATATCGCGGATCGTCAGGCACTCAGCCGGAATGATCTGGTTGTCGCTGGCAAGCACTTCGATTTCGAAATCCGCCATCTCCAGCATGGGCACATCATAATCCTCGTCCTTGATCCTTGTGGGTCGGCGCATGCCCAGAGCGATCAGGCGATCACGCATAAAACATGACCACCAGATCCTCTTCCAGAGCTTTTGCTTGCGTGGAGCCATGTTGGTGTTGGCAGGGTTGCGATGCAGTCCGATTGTGTGCGCCAGAGAGATGGCAACGCCCATCCAATGCCAAGTGTCCTTCTGGTCATCGGGAGTTTCGTACCAATACGTCATCAGCAACAACGCTTGCACGAGGACGAGCCTGTCAGACTCGTAGTCGAAATCGTAGAGCAGCTACACACGAACGTTTGTCAGTTGATTTTTTTGCACAGCGGATTCATTCGCCCTGGGCTTTGTCAACAACATACCCTGGTCTTGGTAAAAAAGTCTTTCCGCGCGGCCCTGCGACTCGAGTATCCCGCTTCTTTCAGGTACTTTGTTCCGACAAAGGCCGTGGCCGAGAACATGACAGCCTGGTAAAGGAACAGGCTGACTTGGCCATGGAAGCCTTCTCGGGAATTGACAATCGCCAGGAAGTCATGCAGTTCGATGATGGGCATGTACGGATGTACAAACTCAATGTAGGCCTTCAAGAGCCCGCTCTGCAGAGACAGGCTAGGGAGGGTGAGAGCTCCCTTGGTCTTGAGGTACTTCTCATCCTCGGCTGCGATCTTGGAGGGGAGCGGCTTGATGAACGCTGGCAGTTGGGCGTCCAAGTCAGGCTCTTCTAGAGAGTTTAGGAACTGATTGGTACGCAGGTCGCCAAACAAGGATGTCTGGTTGAGCACGGGATTCGACCAGAGCAGCTGGGGGTTGCTGGCGTCGCCAAGCTTGGACAGCAAGGCCGCAGTATCCGGCTGGAATCCATTCTGGCGCTGATCTGTTACAGAAATCGAGATTGTCTCGTGGTTAGAAAGAGGCTTTCTTTTTTTTGGGGTTGCTCACTGAGTGGCTTCAATGGGCCTTGTTTTGGCATGTGATTGGGGTAAGATCCATGGCTTACAGATGAGATGGGGCATATGACCATCAATCCCGTCCATCAGGGGCGCAGCTCCACCGCCGGCGGCCGAGTTTTCAATGCCCGTCATGGAGATGGTCGTCGCGGTACTCGGTTTGCGCAGGTCAGCGCTCGTGATGCTGATTGGGTTGGCGCTGAGCGGTTTCGCCCGCAGTGCCTCGGCACCTCCGGCCACGTGCCCCGCTCCATTCGAAGCAGTAAAGATGTTTTTCCTGTGACCAGGACGGGACCGGGGTCCGCTGCATTAGCCTCTTGTGTGTGCGCGTGCCAGTGTGGTGGACAAGCTTTGGGGAAAAGAAAAAGAAGCCTGTGATTATGACGCAGGTTCTTGTGTGGGCGGAAGGGGCCAACACTCACTTGCGACGGCGGCTCTCCTGGACAATGCATTCGACATTGTCCCATCTGCAATTGCCACATGGTGCTCCCTCGACGACGTCGCAGCGGACCTTGCGAGCTCGGCAGCTGACACAGGCCCTCGCGGCGCGGCGCTTGGTGATCTTGTCCTTGTCCTTGTCTTTGTCCTTGGCGTCTCCGACCGATGATGTCGACGCCGAGCTCTTTTTCCTCAGCGGCGGTACTCCTGCGCCCTTGGAGGCGGGTGAGGCCGTCGTCGGCTTCTCTGTCGCTGCACCGGGAGCCTTCGCGGCTGAAGCCAGGGGCTTCTCGGTAGTCGTCATGGTTGGATGTGTTGTGTAGTAGGAAGAAGAATGAGTCCAGGTAGACAGGTATTCTTCCTAGTGGCTCCGGAAGACTCTTTTTGCCGGTATTGCCGTCTAGATGCTATCCGCGTAAATCAGTGCCAGGGAACTAGGAGTCTCCTCAACATCCGGTGGTCAAATCTGCCGTCAAGGTGTTGTTGTCGTCGGCGGTGATGACAGCAGTGGCGGCCAGCTTCGGCTCTTGGGTGGTGGACAGCACAACCCGAGTCTTAGTCGTGTAAGAAGCCTTGCAGCAAGTCTTCACTCATCTCACTGCTGGCGGTCATCGAAGAACAACGCAGCACCAAGAAGAGTTCAAGATGGAGGCGAGGGCAGCGAGACAAAAGGCCAAACAGCTCAAAGAGAGAATCGATTACACCCTGGGGGCCCCAGTGGGTGGGGTGTGCGGTCTATTATATCTCGACCTGGGCGACTTACACCATCCATCGACCATTCCTCCGCACCAAGCTGCCACCGCACACGAAAGCCTTGTCATGGGCGTGTTCCACACTAAGGGGCCCCCTTCCCCAGCAGAATTGTACCTCTGGACATGCCCGGTGATCGTCTGGGCTGCTTGGCATGAGTCCGCCAGGTCTCGCAACACCTGGTGGGAAAAATGGAGCAGCATTCCTACCCCTCGGGGTGCCTTGACCCATCTCCCCCAGACCACACCTTTTGCCTGCGCCCTCGTCTCTAGCAGGACTAGCCTGCGCCTCGGGGTGGGCAGGAAAAATTATATTTCAAGTCACTGGCACTGCTAGCTTGGCCTGCTTGGTGACTCCTTGGCCTCGTCAAACAGGCCAAGGTGGTCCCCTGGGCGAGAACCGGGTCCACCACACCGGCATGGGCAGTTCAAGGCCAGTGTGGCTCCCCCCATCCACCGGCTCTCCACATCCCCCTTCTTCCTGTCGTTCTGCCGTGGAGCATCCAATCATCATGATGGTAAAAGGACGCCGTTCCTTCCATCCCAGGCCACCAGCTTTTTCGCAATGCGAAGCTAGTTGTACAATCGGCACCGGCCGGCGAGTCATAAAGTGCCAAAAGACAAAGCGAGACGGGCATCGACGACGATGTCGGACTCCGCATTCCGGCACGCAAGAGACGAGGGCCTTTCGAGGGCAAGAAACCCTGATGGGCCCCTAGCTCCATTATCCATCATTGCCCGGGACTGGAGGACGGCACTGGAAATCTCTCACGGCAGGCCAGAGTCGGTTCCGGAAAGCCTGGCAGCTGTGTTCGGTTGGTTACTCATGTTTTCCGGGCCACCATCTCACTGCTCAGTCAGCGTTCCGTTTCCCGCCTTTTGTCCGAGGTCGCATGCTGAGGCATGGCAAGTGCTTGGCCTGCGCGCAGACTGGCTCCGCGTTAGGCGCACTAACATGGCAACGCGCCAATTACCTCACGAAGCTGTCAGAGCCCGTAAGATCGGAAGCTTTCGGGATCTTGGCCTGGGAGTGGACTAAAGGGAAATAGTACGGATCTGATCCTACTTGTACAAGTAGTCCCCGGGTGGGTCGAGAGGCCGCATGGATACGCTTTAATTCTTCCACGCTGCACACATGCTGAGCAAATTTGTCGCTTCCAACAGTCAACCCTGGGGCCAGCGTGCTTCGGGATCGTGATCGCGACAACAGGCCTTTTCGGACTTTCATATGCCAGGGTGTGTCTCTCCCTCTCCCCTTCTTCTCGAATGACCCTCCCGGAGCTGCTCTGGAGGCCCGTTCTATGAACCAGGCTTCCGGGAGTTAAATCTACGTCCTCTGGAGATGTATACCGGTGCTGAAAGCCCTCAACGTGGAGCGAACAAGGCCCATGAAAAGAAAAATCGTCACGAGGCTTTTATTGGGCATTGTTAGCGCCTGGAGTCATGCTGGGATAGAGTGCCTCGAGTGCTCATGAGTTCGTCGAGGCTCCATTCCAACGACCCACACGCCTGTACCTTGGAGGGCCTCCATTTTTACGGAGTATGGCATGGCTTGAGCATGAAATTTGTCCTCGCAGCTTGTACTTCGTACACTTTCCTTCAGCAGCTCAAAAGGGCAAGGCCCCCTTCAAGGGTTGCGCACGATGCGCCGCTCTTTTGCTTGTTTCTGACTGGCCTCGCTCGACAATCGGTCGTATGTACGACTGCCGGCTCGGAGCAAGATCTCTTTTGACGGCGGACGCACTCACGCGTCCGTGGATGGGCACACCCACACGCCGAGCTCTGCGTCGGGTAGGAGTCGTAATTTGTTCCCCGTTTTGGAGCCGCCGTGAACTCCTTGTCGCGATCCCCACCTCCGCGTTCGCCGTCGTGCATTTGACTCCGATTACGATTGCCTCGTCCAGCACGCGATCTCCGTGTCTTCCCGGAGGAAGCGGTGGCAGTCATGCTGCCATTGGCTGTCTGTCCCCCTCCCGATGGCCATGCTCCATGCTCGGGCCTTGCATTGTTGCAACCATGTGTTTTTAGTCTCGAGTTATTTCAAATGTCTGAGCATTTGCTTCCAACAACTCTTGATGATCATGGCCGCTTCTACCACCCTTGTGACACGGCTTGACATGTCTGGGGTAACCAGACAAGCCAAACCTGGCCATAATGGCCCCCAAATAAGGGTGACGGCGACAACCTGACTGACGCAATCCTTGCGTCCATGGCTGGGGTCCAGATCTTTCATCTACTCCTCTCCACCGTCACACTTTCCGGATCAAGGGGAAGCGACTGGAGTAATGTTCAAGGAGCGACATCTGGCGTTATACGTTTACTCCCAGGGGTTGGCTGACTCGCCTCCAACGACAGAGACACATTTTCAGCGGGAAATATTTGACACACACATGCTCCCTGTGCCAAGCAATGAGTCTGGTCCTTTTCAATTGGTGTGGATCGGGCTTGTTAGGTAGTTAGCCTTTTTTTTTTAACGCAGCTGTGCTCCTCGATCTCCTCATTACCACCTGATGGCTCCGGCACCTCGTCACGGTCTCCAACGAGACGAGACTTATTGGACAGACACCCAAAGGCAGGTCCCTCAGCCTTCGAGGGGTGACACTATGGCGTTTGGGCGGACTCGTCCCCAGTCCATCCATCACTACGGGACCTGGGGTTCGTTACTTCTACCCCAGAAACTATCAGACCACCTGCTTGCCACCAGCGCCTAATTCTTGGCTGGCATTCAAACTTTTGGGGAAACGTCTACGATCGAACTGCAAACCCTATGCGGCCGCTGATCGTCGCGTTGGGTTTGGTAGGCAGAGGTTGACATGACTACATTATCACGCATCCAAATTGTCAATGGAGCAGCCTCCATTGATTGCGTACAAGTCGTCTCGCCTGCCACAGTCCCGGATCCTGTCGGACGGCGGGAACGTACGGGATCTCCACCCACACACCGAGCTTCAGCCCTCGTCACCGCCGAGCATACTCCGTTATAGAACATTGTCCTTAGGTCGGGAAATAATCACATTGTGCTGATTGGGACGACATGGCATTCTGGACCTGCCAGCATTTTCTGCAGGTGTGCGTTGCATCATCATCATCATTATTTTCTTGGCCCTGCAATGTGATGGGAAAAAGCAGTCATGATATGATCCAACAATGCTAGAGGGTCGATCGCGTGCTTCCCCCAGACACACCCATTCCTGAAAAGGGCATGCCTCTAACTTGTCAGGTCTGGGCAGTCTGGGAGCTTGCCCAAGGGGTTTTGGCTTTTGTGAGATTCTAGCGGCCGTTGCCATGCATACGGCTAGCTGAATGCGGGTATCTTCGTACAACTTGACGAAGGATGTGATGCATGTCAAAGGTCCCATCGTCGTGGTGTGATCATTGCCACTTTGCAGATGGCCCTGTTGCTTTTTCATACGGCTACGGCGTGGCCGATCAGCGACTGGTGTTAGCAAGAAACACCTTGATGATTCCATATGCTCGTCAGACCAGAGGCTGGGCCATCGCGCATGGTGTTGCCAGTCAAGCAAGGCCACACCAGGCCATTGTAAAGGAGCTACTGGCTTGAGCATAGGTCTTTGGCAAGGCTAGTCACAATCAGTACAGAACCCTTGTAAGAGAGAAATTATTTGCTCATTTGCGCTGGGAAGATCTGCCAGGCCCATCATGGCCGTATTCCCGTCGAGACCGTCACCAAAATTGATGTAATTGGCCAGGCTCTCACTCCGCCAAGTTTTAAAGCACACCAGCCGTATTGATCTACTGTGAAAGAACTACTCTGATAAAGACTTGAGATGGTGTCGATTCTATCTGGATGCACATGTGCAAATCTCACACGTCGAGCGTTGATACTCACCGGGAACAGCCATCCCGTGGATGATCATGACAACATTGGAGAACTTTCCATAAGTCGAACCGTTGGTTGGCTGAGGCAATGTGAAATACAGGATTGAAGACCGGTCAATTCGATTCTGGAGCCCTCTGAGTCCTCCCATCGATGAGTGTCATACTCACTCAAAGAGGATCACGACTACCTCACAAGTCGAGAATGTTCTCCATCGACCCGATTCGTTGCTTTCTTACCATGGCTGGACCTTTTATAGAGCGATGGGCAAGCAATACTGACATAAGCAGGCAGTTCTCGCGTCAAGAATCTACACGAAGTCCTACTCTACCTAGGTAGTCTTCACAATGGGGAGGCCGGCAACCATTGAGTAGTGGACACTGGCAAGACCCAGCTTTAGACACCATCATAGAGGCAGGGTACTGTGTCAACCCCCCATAAAAATATCTAATACGTTCAGGAAATCTGCTAGGTATTCTGCGCTTCCACTCCGACTGTTCCGATTTTATTCATGGTGACTTGCGGCCCTGGCCTCGGCCGGGCATCTATGTCTCCAGGCTCCACGAACCGAGGCACACAGAGCATACTCTCCACATTCTGATATTTCTATGGAGATGCAATAGATTGGAACTGCAACGAGCTCTTTGAGTTTCCGCTTCGGAACGAGTCGCAAAAAGGTCAGCAAATTTCTTAAATATACAGATCGAGCCTCGAGTTGAAGTTGGCCTAAGATCAAGCTCTATCTTACGGCAGAGCAACCCGAAAGACTGTGCTACCTTGCTCATTCCCCCAAAGAATGGAACTCTACATCCTCTCCTCGCTTGTTCTCGAGAGCGTGTCTTCTGAGTAGGTTTGGATCTGGCACTTGTTGAACGACTAACCCAGCTTCGGATACCCAGCTCCGGGACACTGTACCAGAGCCAAGAGGCAAGGCTTCTGTGAGAAGCTGCCATTCTGCAAGTTATAGCTAACTGTGTTCTGTATCAACAGACTCCAGTATCGGCACTCTTCTGATATGCAGCTCCATTGGTCTTGCCGCCTTGTAGAGCAATAGCCAGATCGTCGCCGTGTCCAAGGAGTCTGTCATCTGGCTCCAGTCTCGTGGATAGCATGGATTTCGTGCTGGTGGTCTCCTGGCTATGACCACTTCCAGGAACCATGTATGCCGAGATATGGTCTTCTTGGTTCCAGCTGCAGGATTTGTCCTCGTATGCAAGTACCCTCGAGGCCTGGTGAGCGTGGTGGCTGCCGAAAGATCTCGCCGTGATCACGCCAGAAATACGTTGCGACCTATCATGGAACTCCATTTGGGGGATCGAGAACACCCTTGCGCACTTGTCAGGGACCCTTGCTGTTTGGTGTCGGGCCACAGGCAGGGGAGGTCGATGACATGCGCAAAGAAGCAATATGTCGCGAACCATGCAAGCACGCACCAAACACTACTCCACGCGAGCATGGCTATTTCAACGTCACGTCATACTCAATCTCAAGCGCACCTGCGAGGACAATGGCTACTACAATCACAAGAGGGGCTTGTCATAAACATCTGGATGGGTCGTCGTACAATCTCCCCTGTTTTATTACACGAGTCGTCCCTTTGTGGACTGCAGGCGGCGCTCCACATCGTACTGTAGGGTTATGCTCGGGAGTGTACTGACACGTACGAAGCAAGGGGTGATCCCGCTACAGTGCCGAGACGTCAGCGGACCTCCGCATTCTTGAGGTGTTCTTGACGGGAAGTGTCGCTGTGCACAATTGAGTTTTGATGCCTCGCTAGGTCGGTGTTAGTGCAACTCCCATTCTGAGCTAAGGTCGGTCATTCATCGAGCATCCCATCCAATTGTTTGAACAATGAATGGGATGAGAGAAAAGACCTGACGAAGAAGAGGGAGCCAAGCACTAAGGGAGCCACCAGCGCCACACACCACCACTATTGTAGGTGCGCAGGCGCAGTGTGGCTGACAAGGCGCGGGCGCTAGCCCCATCGGGCCCCAGCAGAGAGCCACTATCTGACGTCACGAGCCGGTTCCCTCCAGCTCAGAACAACCCAGGACAGGTTCTGCTGCAACGATGCACTCGTCATGTGTGCCCTCAAGCGGTCTCAACGTCCCTGCATGGGCCACGGTAGTGCCGATGATCTGCCTCTTGATCGATTCCTGTCTGCCGGTGGTTTAAACCATTTCGAGTTAAGCACAGCTCCAACTGCCCTGGTCCTGGCGCAATACGGCCCAGACAATCCCAATGAAAGTGATGTAACGCCCACAGGTGACGCAGCTGTTCATCTGCAAGTGCAAGTACATTGACTTTCCTTTTTGAACATTCCTTTCGGTATTAAATTCCTGCTCAGCCCCCAAGCCCTCCCTCTCTCCAGGAATCCTTCTCGAACCAGCCATCAACTACCGGGACATTTATCCTGCAGGGACCTCTTGTAGATTAGGACCCTGAAAATCGACCACACATCGACTCGACCAGTCTCCCAGTCTTGGACAAACTCACTCCATTCCAACATCTCAAAGCTCAAGCATTCCCAAGACGAGCCAGAAACCATGGGTGCCAAATCTGGGTTGGGACTGAAGTTCCTTCAGTGGTTCATTCGGGGCATCGAGTTCTGCTGCGCCGCCGTGGTCCTCGCCCTCTACTCGTACTTCCTCGCCACGCTGCACAACCACGACCTGCCCATCGCGACCTACATCCGCGCCGTCGAGGGCATCTCCGGCGCCGCTGTCCTCTACACCATCCTCGGCCTGCTGCTGCTCTGCTGCCTCGCCGGCTTCGCCCTCACCTCCTTCATCGCCATCGTGCTCGACGTCGCCTTTGCCGGCGCCTTCATCTACGTTGCTACTGCCAACCGCGGTGGAGCCAGCTCGTGCTCCGGCTACGTCGACACCCCCTTCGGCTCGGGCGACGCCGACAACCACGTCACCGACGATGGCCACGGCGGGTTCACCCATCTGCCCAGCCTCCGCACGGCGTGCAGGATGGAGACTGCTTGTCTCGCCGTCTCCATCGTAGCTGTGTAAGATACCATATTCACCTCGTGTCGTTGACATACAAAGATCCTAACGATTTTGCCACAGCATCTTCTTCCTCCTCTCGGCCCTCATGGAGGTCGCCCTCGTCCGCCACCACCGCAAGGAGAAGCGCTTCGGCCCGGGCCCCCAGAACAACTACACCTCGGGCTACGGCAGCCGCCGCAAGGGCCTGTTCGGCTGGCGCCGCCGCCGCCACGATCGCGCCGCCGCCGCCGCCAACGAGAACGCCCTGCCCGAGCACACCCACCCCAGCGCGATGCGCGACAGCTACGCCACCGAGGCGACCGCCGTGGGCGACGGCCGCGTGAGCAGCACCTACCCCAAGCACGGCGAGGCGGGCTACGGCCACGCCGGCGCCGGAGCTGCTGGCGTCGGCACCGGCCCTGTGCACCCCGACCCCGCCTACGGGCACACCGGCGTCGTCGGTGGCGTGCACGGCACGGAGCCCGCGACCTATCCCGCCGGTGGGAACTACCGCTACGACGACGGTGTCTACACCCGAGGCACTGCTGTCTAGGAAGGACGGCAACAGGGAGGAGGGCTATGGCGGACAATTGTAGGATCAGGGTCAGGATAGGACGGGAAAGGGGAATGATACCCAGAGGTTACCCAGTCCGTACATCAGGTGCGGAGACACACACGGTTTGTTTATGCCATTTATGGAGACACCAACTCCGACGCTTTTGTACTTTTATTACATAATTCGGGCACCATAGTATAGTAGGTTCCGGATTCAATCTAATAATGTGTAATTTTTTGAAAAGGTTCCCATGGTTTGTTTTGGGTTGGATCTTGTGTGTGCAGTTTTCCCTCGTCTGTTCTTGGGGGCCGCCCTTGCGAAACGACTGGTCGACAGTGTCTGGTCCATGCTTTGTGATGAAAAAGCCATGGCCTATCGCCGTTGTGACCAGGTTCGAGTTTCACAATCACAATCACATCTGTGATCCCGCATGGATTGGTCGCAGTTCATGGCTTTGCGTGCAAGCGTTCCACACATCCTGAGCAATAGGGCAGACACGCCAGGCCGATCGATCTTCGGAGCGCGCTGCCCATTGTTTGCAAATCGGACGAATCAAACAAGGACAGGCGACGACTGCCTTAAATACGAAGGAGAACAAGACTCTTGTTCCCTTTTTCTCCAAAAGCGAGGGGGAGTGAAAAGAGAAAGAGGACAATACACAACTGCGTCAGGCGTTTGCTGGGTGGCCACTGAACTCGGGTTCTGTCCTGATAGTTGGCGATCAACGGTCCCTGGAGAGGGCAAAAACGGACGGAATTGCCCGAGTTTCCCACCACGCAGTGTCGTACAATGTCACAATCCTCGTACATGCATGTTTGTGACGGAGCTCGCTTGGGTCAGCCGTGGAAGAGAAGTTGGTCTTCACCGCTCTTCATGCTTGGCTCATTACTCGTGCCACAAGCCACTCCAGCCAGTCCATGTCAGGGAGGGAGGCGTGGGGGAGGCAGCGCTCGGGGTTGTGAGAGGGACACGCTGTTGCAGCAGCAACGGCATGTGCCCCCCCAGGTGTGAAATGAAGTACATTCACTTACTTGCCCTTTGTCTTTGGGCTGGCTGGTGACTGCATGGTCGGCGGCGTGGCTTTCTACAGGTGGCGGCAACGGCAGCATCGCCGGAACACCCTTATGGGGGACTCTGCTACAGCAGAAGCGAGAAGGAGGAACAAGATAGTGATCACGACATTGGGGAATAGGGCAGACAATGTATAGGGTTGTAGACGAAGTTTCTCGATGATAAAATAAGATAGAGATTAACCTTTTTTACATTACGCCCCGATAGGCACAAAGTACGACCATCCCACCCCAAAATGCAACCTGCCGCTGTATCCCGTCTGACAGTCCCGCGGATGCAGAACTGTTGACAGGCGCGGCCGGCAGCCTGCATCGCCGGAGGAAATAAAGGGAAAAAAGAAGGAAAAAAAAATCACGACTGAAATCATCCCACAGTTTTGACAAAATGCCAGACCGCCTCGCCTCGCCCGACTTTAGGTCTTACTCCTCTCTTGTGCAACTCAAGGCGTACAAAGTTGGTGATCCTTGTGTATGTGTGTGACCGTGGCGTCGAGGGGAAAGAGCGTATCGGCATCGTGCCGTGGCGCCGTGGGCGCTGGCCAAGGCCCTCCGAGTCGAGTAGCGTGGGTGCCCGGTGTTGGATCTTCAGAGCTTGGTCTTTGTTCCAGGGAGGGGTGGGTTCCGGAAGGAGATCGAGCGAGAAGGGGGAGAGAAAGTGAAGGTCGAAGAAGAAGAAGAAGAAGAAGAAAACGCAGTATGATTGGAAGAGCAGGGAGAGCCGTGACTGTTCGTGTTTGTGCTTGAGCTGGGCACCTGCTGGGGATCTCGGGCGTCAAGATGTCAGTTCACCGGTGGCCTGCTTCAGGGGCACTTTTGACGCAGAATGCTTACCGCCGATCGTCACCAACGCCATGGGAAGCCGCCGATGAGTGTCTCTCTGTAAGTCACTTTTGGGGATTGTTGTCCGGAACCGGAAGCTTCTGCTCAACACGCGATATCACCTTGGAACACTCGGGGTTGGGTGTTCCCGTGATGTCAGAGGAGGACGAGCCCGAGACCAGGGCAGCAATTCGATAGCCTTGATGCGGTGTTTCTCGCACGTATCTCTGCATTGGTCGCCCCTGTCTTCTCTCGGTATTGTTGGGTGGTTCCTGAGGAGCTGTGTTCTGTCTGCAGCTTCTTGTCAGCGGAGACGAACGGCGAGGTAACACCTTGTTTGAAAGCGCGCCCCGGCCCAGCTACAATGGGAGATCATTGACCTACCCGTTCGGTAGAGGCATGGTCGGAGACTGGGCCATAACCACGGCTGTGTACGAGTGCTGTTGCAGTCGAGTTGATTAGGGAAGGGGATTGTATCGCTTGATGACTTGGAGTCGAAGGGGTTTCGTTCGCTGTCCCTGAATGTATTGCAAACCGACCCGGGTCAGGGAAGGCATCGTGCTTCTTATACGTCAAAGAACTGGCAGATGATACTGCGAACACTGCTCCCGTATCAGCATGGCGGTCAAGGGTGAATGAATCTGGTGTCGGTCTGAGTGGCTGTCGTTAGTCCGGCTTTCTTCCAACGCGTCGACATGCACCTGGCCCAGTATGACAAGAAACAATTTCCCTCTCCGGAGGATCATGATTTTCGCCGCCCAAGCCAAGTACGATGAGCTGTCAATAGGGGCACAGGGTCAAAGCGAAAAAAAGCAAAGAAGCTATCGTGTCTGCATCAGACATCCAGGGCCTACGCGGCGAATAGCACTGGACAGGGGCCCTTATCCTGAGGGGGTGTGAGTGCTCCTGCTGCAGATGTGATCCGATGTTGATGAATACATCCATGGATGGATGTTGTGCGACAAGAGACAGAAGCATTTAGTCGTGCCGGAGCAATTTCCGCGGATCCAGGATCGAGTAGCGCGCTGTATGGCTTGCGCCAGGTGTCTTGGGCTGGACGCTGACGCGGGTGAATACACATCACTTGGTCGATTTTCACCATCCAACCCAACGGAGCAACGAGAGCGCTTTCAGATGGGGCGTCGAGGATGACAAGGGTCTGTGTCGAGGTGGAGAGCTGCGTAGGATGATGCATTGCAGGAAAAATAACCTAGACTCTAGACTGCGTAGTGGTCATGTGGCGCGAAAGGGGAAACACGGCGTGAGTACGGGCTGGGACGCAGATCGGCTCTACAGGAGACCAACCCTCACCTAGGTATACCCTGGTCCAGACGGCAGGCATTGCCGAGACGTAGGCATATGCAGAAGCAGTAGAGATTCCCGATTGCAACCCTCGCTTCATGATGGATTCATTTGCTCATGTCTTTTTGCGTTTGACGGATGGCTCATGTCGAGCTTTACGGTGACTTGAGCCTGGGAATAACATACGAGGCTGTCTAAATGCGCCAGTCTCTCCATCAAACTGAGGTGACGATCAGAGGAATAGCGATGCTGAAAAGGCGTTGCTGAAACAGAGACATACAGCGAATACAGAGCCACATTTTGAGGAAGATTGTGCGTGGTGCCGAAGGCCAGGAACATGTCATCCCAACTACGCTTTGCTCACTACCAAGGTAGGGAGGGAGTGGGAAAGAAAAGACGAGGAATCCACGCCGTCATCCAGTGTTGAAACCAACTATTGCCTGTCAAGGATCCCATTGTCTCTCGTGTCGAGCCACTCCAGTCTTGTGCTTTCGCTTGGTCGGGGAGAAATATGGAGGAGACCTGCCGGAAGGCCGTCCGCCTGGAGGATCAGGGATGACTGATTGGCTCTACTGCGATCACTAGGGATTGATGGGGACGCATTTCGTTCCTGTACCCTATGTGAGGTGTCTCAGAAGACCTGCAGGCCAGACTCTTGGTCAGTGTGATTGCTATCCAGGCCCACCCGACTTGAATGAAGAGGGAGTGGAGAGGAGGAGGTCATGTCATGCCCCCGAGCTGAGAGGCTGCCCCTGCTGACGATCCTGGCCGCCTGAAGAAAAATAGAGGAGCGTCTCGTAAGGCGAACACCCCCCTCTCTGTGGTCTTTATGTGGTTAAGGCGGGCACCTTACGAAGGAAGTGGATATGTACCCAGATAGTGGTCAACACATGGCTGGGGAAGTTTCTTCTGACACCTTGGATGACACCACCCACCCGACTCCGGTTTTCCGTTTATTCTAGGGAAGAGTTGAGAGATGGAGGTGTGACATCGAATGACCGATTTCCTGGGCCAGGTATCAAGCGGGATATGCAGCCGCTTGGTCGGCGGCCTGGGGGCCAGGTGTTTGTGTGCGTGCAGTCGAGAAGAACATGCATCCTCGAGCTGGTCAGATGATGCCCACCCAGGCTCTCTGGAATATTATCTGAAACTGCAGTTGCGTGCTGAGGTGTGTCTACTGTGCTCTCTGTATTGGCAGCAATGTATGCCTCTTGGGGCCGCCTTGGACAAGTTGGTGCCTGTAGGCAAAAGGGGGTCTCGGCGTTCCCAGACCCCCTTCGGTCGCGGCAACAGCCAATCAAAGGAGGGAGTCACAATCATGATAGACAAATAAACGCTGTACAGCTGCATATAATCGGTAGCTTTGTCGCTGCACCCGTTCAAGCTCATGTCCAGAGTCTTCGAGGACAATACCAGTAGGTGGGTCTTTTGTACAGTCATTTTGGCAGGTCATTTCGGTCATTTCCCCTGCATGCAAAGGTGAAAGGATAGGGAAAAGGCCCATCATATCTTGTGTGAGGTGCAGAGGGTGGTCGCACATTCGGGAAATTAGGTACCTTGGGCGCATGGTCTCGAATCGAATGTCTTGGAATCCGAGTGCCCTGACAGGTGGCTCCTGACGATCAACAGACACTGGCCGGTGGATGGCTAAAGACCAAGGCGGTATGCATGGAATGACGTGAACGGGAATAAGGGCAGTCGTGCAAGAAGTGATGGAACTCATGCAGCAAAAGGCCGCGACCAGACACCCATCCACCTTCTTCGAAGCCCCAGCCCTCCCTCGCTTGGAGGAAGGCAACCTCGACCGCATGAGTAGCTTGTTTGTATCTCCACGAATGCGGGGACCGAAGGTGGAAGAAAAGCCTGGCTCGAGAAACGAGTAGCACTCTTCTCTGCGCATCTGCTGTTGCAAAATTGCAGACGCAGCCTGATCCTCGTTCCGAAATCCTGGGGGCTGGGGTGGATGGAAAACGGTTGGATGTTGTGACTGTACACCACTTCGCTCCAGAATAAGTTACCTCGATAGGTACATCGGATACGGGTGCATTTGACGACGGCCAGGATATCAGTTGTCTAAGTACGCTTTGCAGAAGTATCGTAGGCAAGGGTCAGATCGCCTAAGGTCAATAGCCGGGGGCCTCCCACAGACGAGAACACTCCAGACTCTGCAATGCGCCAAAGCTGGTAATCGACACACCTTGTTCACTTGTGTGGTACTCAGGGTATGGAGGCCGAATTCCTCAGGTCCGGGTCTTTGACTGCTGGGTTTGCCCACTTTGACATCCTCTTGTGCCACCAACCGCAGATCGAGAAAATCTCAAAGAGTCACGAATCGAGACGCGCCTTTCTGTCGGCCTTGGGTTTACCTTGGACGCATGACGTCTCAGCCGCCGACCCCAGGCCTCAGCCCGTTCGGCCCAATTCCCGACATTGTTGGTTGGCACATTTCGTACCCGAGTGCTAAAGAAGACCCCCAAAAAAAGGAACGAAACATTCGCAACCAAGGTAGGCCTCTGAATTGAAGTGAGTGAAGTTGAAACAGGAAGCATCGATTTGGCGGCTAGACCCCCAGGTCACTCCCCGCAAAGCTAGGTAGTGTACCGGACTGGGTAGTTGCCATCGACCCACTGCCATCGAGGCAGGTGCCACAAAAAGTACTTGTGTGAAGACGAGCGTCGAGACTTCTTCATCTTGCTCCGTAATGCTGAGAACCCACCGCCTTCGCGCAAGCAACCTTGCTCTGCTGCTGAGCCTCAACTCCCTCATCTCCCTCATCTCCCAAGTTATCCCCGGCTAACAACAGCGCCACTCGGATGCGTCCTCAGAAGACATCTACGGATTGCCGGGAGCCTTCCGATCTGCGCGGCTTGGGTGGATCTATCTACCCTAGCACACCTAGCCCTGGTCACTGCGAGCAATTGAAGCGAGTCCAAGAGGACCCTTTGCCGCAGATCATGGGTCACAATTTGGGCCATCTTCTGTCATGCCAGGATGGTTAGCCCACTCCAACCTCTCACAGCCGAGAAAGACAGGCCTGGCTTACCCTGCTATCTACAAGTACCTACAAGTACGTAGGTACAAGTAGGCTCGAGAGGCTCGGTAGGGACATAAACTCCTGACCTTGACCCTAAGAGCCCCTGGCAGTATCCACTGTCGTCGCCCGGCTTGTTAGGCAGGACTCGGTCGATAGCTTGGTAGACACAACCGCACAGACACAGAATCCCCACAGAGCAAACAGGGAGGGCATGGTTGATCATGAAGCTGATCCGCAGGCGCTATTTCTGAGATACGATCTGTCTTATTACGTGACCAAGGCAGCCCTTGTCCTGGGGCTGAAGACATATCCGGATCGCTAACTAGATGCGGCCCGCACCCGTCCCAACCGGTCAGCGCCATCATGCAAGCCAACATCCTCCATCACACTGCTGCTAGCCTCCTCTGACGGGGGTGGATTTATCTACCCAAGGCCTGCTGAGATGGCTCTAAATCTGGAAAACCCAAAAAGGAAAACAAGAGACAGGGAAGAGCTAAATCCACTGCTTGGCTGCCCCCCTGTTTATCAGCGGCATAAAACTGCCGGCCAGCAAAGACCGTCAAGCAAAGAAACACAATCCGCTTTAACGGGGCCCCAATCGGTCCCCCTGCCATTATCCCAGACCCGTCTTCGTTTCTCACATCTTGGCTCCCGTTACCGAATCCGGCGCCATGTTGGTGCCCATGTGCTTCGATTTGACCATGGCGACGAGCCACGACCACAGCTTCCAAGTACCCATCTGCCCGATTCCATGGCTCTTACCCAACGTCACGGCGAACATGGGACCGTTGTCGGCCTTGTATGCCGGCTCAGCCTTCTGCCCGCCGCTGAGGTAAGGCCCCAGCACCTTGGTCAGGTGCTGGACCTGGTCGCCGGCGTGCTTGGCCGTCGCCGTCTGCAGGTTGCCCACGTCGCCCAGCACGAAGACGTTGCCGAACCCCTCGGCCCGCAGCGACGCCGTCTGCTTGAAGCGGCCCTGGGCGTCGAGCATGCTCGACGGCGCAAAGTCGCTGTTGGGCACGAGCCCCACGGTCGGCAGGTACAGGTCCGCCTCGAGGCTCTGCTGCTTCTTGCCGCCGTCGCGGCTCGTGAGCTCCAGCACCGTCTTGCCGCCTTCGACTGACGACGCCGTCACCCGCGCCGACCTGACGATGCGCACCTTGAAGCTCTCGAGGCGGCTGGCGATGGCCTGGCGCACGTCCCTGCGGGCGTCGGCGGTCAGGGGCAGGTCGTCGTCGATGACGAAGGTGACCTGCTTGAGGCCCTTGGCCGCGTACTCGGAGCCCAGCTCGCCCGCCAGCTCCGAGCCCGTCTGCCCGCCGCCGGCGACAACGATGTGCTTGGCCGCGCCGATGGCCTTCTGCAGCTTCCTGAGCGCCTCCTTGGTCTCCTGCGTGCTGCCGAGGCTCTTCCACGGCATGTCCGCCCGGGCGGACGAACCCGTCGCGACGACGAGCGTGTCGTACCGGACGCTGCGGTGGGCGCCGCCGGGGACCTCGGCCACGGTGACGGTCTGGCTCGTCGGGTCCAGGGCCTCGGCCTTGCCGACGATGAACTCGAACTGGCTCTCGTGCTGCGGGTACTTGGCGAAGTTGGACGCGATCGGGTAGAAGACCTTGTCGTCGGGCAGGGCGCCGGGCAGGACGGCCCTCGGGGCGGCGATGTTCCAGAAGAGCTCGCTCGTGGGGCTGACGAGGACGACCTTGAGGTCCTTGTTGGTCGGCACCTGGTGCTTCATGAGCCAGTGGGTGATGGGGATGCCGCCGAGGCCAGCGCCCAGGACGACGATCGTGTGGGGGGCCATTGTTTTCTTTGAGATCGAGATGGAGGGATTGTGGTTTGTATGTGTCTGGAGAGATCAGTTTAGGGGGAAGGTGAGTCGGGGTATACAAGCCCAATCCCGAGATCACTTAAGACGACAGAATATATAGAAACAAGAGCAAGAAAGAGTCTGGGTATCAAAAAAGCAGAAATTCAAAAAGGCTCACGGATCTGTCCAAGAAGCCAACCAGGGCATCAATGCATGGCTACTCTGGCCTGATATATAGGCAGTCTGTGTAAGAACGGCACGCAAAAAGGCGTGAAGGGAGAGCCCCATATCGCTTTCCAAAAGACTGATATTATTGATCCTTCTTCTTCTTCTTCTTCCTTCTCTCTTCGCATTGATAATCCTAGTTGCCTGGCCATTGGAATGTCTCCGAGTCGGACCAAACGAGTTGTCCGTGAATCCATCTCCCAGCAAAGGACTCGCTGTGTCTCCGGGGGGAAGGAGATGCGTCGCTCGCTGCATGCTCAGTACCCGCGCGGGAAGAGCCTTCTTCTGTACACGCGTATTTGGGTCGGATTCCCATGGTGAAAGGCCCGCCCGCTGGCTCGGACAGTCTGGCTTACAAATTTCAGCGCGCGCTGGATCCCCCCCAGCCAGTCCGCGCAGAGCCCGGCCCACACTAGACGAGAAGGGTTGCCGCGCGGGCATGCACTGTCCCATACCCGGGGCGAATCAGATCCCTCCGCTGTCCAGAACGGGTAAGTAATACAAAAGTTTGTTTGGCCACTAAGGTACTTATGTATGACACGTAGTCAAGTGCAGACTAAATTATTGGTCTGGGATGACAGCCATCAACCTTATTTCTACATGGCGGCATATGTTCACTTTGCTTATTGGTGTGTGTTGGTGTGTGTCTGCAAAAGGCTTCGTCTGATGTGTAATAAGACCAAGTACACGCACGGGTCGATCATCTAGCCCTTCTCACTTTGCAATCTAAGAGTATCAAAGAGAGTATCACAGCTCACGATGCAGCACTGCCTGACTTGATCGGGTCCAAGTCTCGAAGGGTTTTGTATTTTTGTGTATATACACTACTGTTCAAGCTGCATTCGCCAAGCATTACTACAAGCCACAAAGCCAAACGAAAAAGAAAAAAAAAAGAGCTCAGTCACTCCGTAATCTAAGAACATTCAGAAACCCAAAAAGACAGCTGCGAGAGTGGCCAAGGCCAGGAGCAAGGCCGGCTGGGCGCCGCTGACGGCACCGGCGTTGATCAGAGAGGTGTTGCTGGCGCCCGGCCGCGCAGAGGTGGTGGTGCCGGTGTTGGTGCGGCCGCCGTCGGTGCTCGTCCTGTTGGCCCCGCCGCCGTTGCCACCGTTGCCGGTCGCCGGGCCCGGGTTCGTCACGTTGAAGAAGTTGCCGGCGACGACCTTGTTCTGGAGCCCGGCGCGCATGAGGACCTCCATGGCGTTGAAGCCGAGGCGGGTCCGCGCGGCCGTGGCCAGCGCGTTCATCGACGCGGCCTGCAGGTTGTCGACGTTGACGAGGATCTCGGTGTAGCGGTGGCTCAGCGGGTTGCGCGCCGGCGGGTTGGGCCCGATGTACTCTGCCGCGGCGGGCGTGTTCTGCCTGTTCTCGAGCACAAAGGCCATGTTCTGGCCGCTCGTGGTGTTGAGCATGGTGGCCCGGTCGGCCGAGGTGAGGCCCATCTGCATCCAGTGGAGCAGCGTGTTGGTCCGCGACGTGTTGCTGGGGATGTCGAGGTCAACCATGATGACCGCGAAGGTGCCCGTGAGCTTCTCGGCCGTCGCCAGCCTGGGCGCTTTTGATGATGCTATTTCCCGGTGTGTTAGAGCTCTTGGACTCGGGTCAATTGTCGGCTACGGTGGCATCCTTACCTTCTTTTGAGATCATCATCCCGTTCATCGCCGCAATGTTGTTGTACTCGACAATGAGCTGGGTGTTGCTCGAGGGCTCGAAGCCGGCTGGTGTCCGGGCAAGAGCGCCCGCAACGGTCGCCAGCAGGACCAACGACGGAGAATACATTATGACTGATATGATTGCCGGCAATTCTGTAGGGGTTCAATGAGTATGGAAAAGAAGGCAGTGTCAAACTGCAGGGCTAACCAGAGCGCATGTACAAAGTCTCACGAGGCTTCTCAGATAGGATAGGTCGACGGTGATCGGACAAGAAGGAAATCAAATATGACAGCCGTGGGAGGAATGGCTGGTAATAAAGATGCAGACTTTGCCGCATACAGAAGTGAATGCTCGAGAGCCTTCTGTGGCGTGTCATCGGCGATCCGCAACAAGCGGAAACGATGACGACGCTGAAACAGCAGGCGGACAGGCTCTGCGACACGACACCGCATGAAGCATGGAAGGCCGATCAGACTCAACAAACCTTGGGAAAACTCAGTCCCGCCATTGGCTGGCGGTCTCTGCTGTCTGCGGAAAACACAAACGAGCGCACCTTTCAAAATCTTTCGAGGAGCTTGGCATCATGTTTGTGAGACCAGGCTTCTTGTGAGGCTGGCGTGATGGACGGCGAGGTCTCTGGTGTGCGCAAGATGGACGATCACCCGAGCCACTCGCATTTAGCCAGGACGGCACTGAAGCTCACCGCGGCTTGGAGTGCGTCATACTGTTCTGACTTGAGTCCAGGCGGTAGAGCGAGCATGAAGCTGCCAATTCAGAAATCTGGATGACATGCGACAAGGAGATGCTGCCAGTGAAGCTGCGAATATCTGGTGATGTTTGAAAGGCGCACTGGCGGAGTTATCTGCACAAGTAGTTGTGCTGTAGTGGAGTCTAGCGCACTGGGGAATAGGATGGTTGGTGACAGCGCATGTCCCACTGATTCTGAGTGTCTGTGTACCTATGTCTGTACAGTAAGGTAAGATAGGTAGTTACCTATTAGGAAGGCTTCGAGAAGGCTGGGCTTCCGGCTTCCGTGCAGGGTGGCCTTGCATCTCATACGTCAAACAGGCGCCCAAACGGGTCTGCAATCAATCTTGTCAGAGCCGCTGACGACGAAGAAGTCGAATGGTTCTTTGCTGGTTGATCAACGCCGTATGTCTCGGTCCAAGGACAACGAACTTGGTGCGGAACACTTTCAGGCCTTTAGCCGTGGCAGGCGCTGATGCGATAAGCGTACGGAGTACTGGCCCATTGATACCGCTTATCCTTGAACCAGACCCACAAAAAAGATTGTGCGGACCGCATGCTGTGATTTCATGATTGACCTCCAGGACCCTTCACGGCCGTCAAGCTCAGTCAGATTGCGACAATCTCCCCCCATTCACCGGCCAGTCAAACTCTCCCTCCAGTAATGAGGATATAGCCCGAATCGCATACCTCCCCCCCGTCTCCTCCCAAACAGAATGGCCGCGCCACCCCCCTCGGCCCCAGGCGGCCCGGCCGCGTCGCCCTCCGTCATCCCGACCACCGCCGAAGAGGCCGCCAAGCTGCCGTACCACGGCACCCCGGCCTGGCTGCACAACTTCGCCCTCGCGGCCACGGTGCTGGGCCCCGTGGGCATGCTCCTGCCGCCGCGCCGCGCCGACTTCAAGCTCGTCATCCTGACCTCGGGCACCTTCTGGGGCACCTCGCAGCTCGCCTACGACTACACGGGCCGCAGCATCAACCAGCGCTTCACCGACCGCTTCGCCAGGTGGACCGACGGCGGGCTGCCCGAGGCCGCGCGCAAGAACCAGGCCCTCATGCAGGCCGAGAAGGCGCGCAGGGCGGCGGCGGCGGCGGCGGCATCGGCGGCCCAGCAACAACAGACCGGTGCCGCGGCGACGCCAGCACAACAGCAGCAGCAGGATGGCTCGTCATCGCCTTCTCCGGTGACGGACGCGCTGCTGCAAAAGGGCGAGGAGGAGAAGCAGGGAGCGCTGACGAAGCTGTGGATGGGCGGCGAGAAGCCCGGCTGGAAGGAGGCGCGGTTAGCCAAGGAGCGAGAGGCCATCGAGGACGGCAGGGGGTACTGGGGGTTGATCGTGGAGCAGATATCGGATGTTGTCAATTGGAAGGGCAGTGACGGGCAGAAGAGAGACGAAGCTGCTGCAAAGGAATCCGAGAAAAAGTCTTGATAAGTCAGGAGTTGTGCGCAATGACTGTTACTGGAAAAGCCCGCCGAGGACGGCAATCACATAGATTGGGTATCGGGATGATGGTTGAGCATGTATATGATAGCCGCGATAAAGCGCTTGTACAACAATTGTACTATTTCTACTCATTTCTCGGCCTCGAGAGCTAGAGACCAAGTTGCTCATATGACTCTGTTTCGTACACATTCCCAATGAATTACCACAGTTTTACGTAGCTAGTCCGGTCGAGTTCCCTGAACGCCACTCCAAAGATGTCCTTTTTTGGAAAGATCCGATCCGACAGACAGGAGCGATATGAATATTGTTCAAGCACAGCCTTTCCCCCCAGCCAACTTCTTCTGCGCCCGCGCCGCCGCCTTGGCCTTCCTGGCACGTCTCTTCTCCATCTGGGCCTTCCTGCGCCTCGCCTTCTGCTGCTGCTTCTTGGCGGCCTTGGGCGCGGCCTTGGCGTCCATGTTCGCGGTCCACGCCCGCAGCTGCACCTCGACCTGCTCCTCGAGCTCGAGCGGCCCGGCCGCCGCCTGGCGCAGCTGCCCGGCGATCAGCTCCCGCTGGCGCGCGATGAGCTTGAGGCGCCGCCTCGCGGCCCGGTTGAGACCCTTGCCCTCCCCGCCAGCAGCACCGGGAGCACCGGGAGCGCCAGGAGTGCCGTGCGCGGCCGGGCCCGGCTCCCCTGCAGTTGGCACCACCGCTGCTACCACCGCCGCCGTAGCGGCTGCTTCCTGCTCGGCCTGCTTCACGGCCGCCACGGCCTGGGCGGCGGCGGCGCTGATCTCGGCGGCCTGCGGATGCGGATGCGGCGCGGCAGGCTCGTCCGCCTTGCGAGGCCGGCCCCGCGGCTTCTTGACCTTGTCGTCCGAGACCTTCTTCTCCTTGGGCTTCGACTTGCCCGAGGCCGGCGTGCTCGTCACCCCCGCTGAGCCAGCGGCGGCGGGTTTTGCGGCAGGGCGTGACCTTGCCATGGCGGGCCCGGGGCTGGCGGATGGGACTGAGACGGAACGGTGGGCGGGAATATCCACTGCAGTGCCGTGATGGTACAGACTATTGTATGGGACCTTCGACTGTCATCCAATTGACCTTTGGTTGACGCGGCTACGCGATTGGCGTCATAGGTGCACAAAAGTTGTCGCTGCAATTGAAGAGAGGTTGAGCTTGTGTGGAGATCGACGATAGCTTCTTGACGGCCTGCATGGGGAAACATTGCTTTTTTTTGGGGGCGGCGAAGGACGGGTCCCGCCTTCCTAGTGTGCGTCTGTGCTAGCTGCCGCGCGCCTTCCATGACAAGACGCCATCCATTTGCTGAAGAATTGACAAGGTCTGTAGAGTCAATGAGCAATTACTGCTCGACATAATATTGTGTACAAATGATCCATCTGAGACCTTTTTAAATTGCGAACTCGACGAGACAATGGCTCTTTGTAATCCCCTCCCCTATCCAACCCGGCTAATCAATTACAAGGTACAAAGCGGCAATCAGGCACGCGATCAACAGCCTGCTCTAGCTGGCCTATGGCTTTTTTTTTACCTGCACGAAATCCAGCAAACCAGATTAGTAAATACACAGCAAGAATTGAGCGGATACGGCCTGATGTGGACTGTTCTCGACGGAATCAGACATATTTACTCCAGGACAGGAGTTGGCATCACACGAGGTCCGGTGTCAGCGGACAATCAGATAAGCCATGCAATTGATGTGTTCATCATACAACGAGGAGCGGAGTGACCGGGGAAGGAAGAGGAAAGAAGGAAGGCTTACTGTTTCAATAGGGAAAAAAGGACCATACAAACCATCTGCCAGCGAACTACAAGGCCTTGAGAGACCGTATGTGGTGTCAGGCTGTCGTGTAGAAACTCCAGGCTTTGCTTTTCAGACGTCAGGTTTTGGAGCTCAAGAACCACACAGAACGGAACCGGACTGCGCGCGCGCACGAGAGAGAGAGATATCAAAAGACAAGTACAGTAGTCACAGGAGGAGAAATGGAACACGCATCTCTTAAAGAGCAAATGGACTTTCTCCTTTACTAGGTATTATGCAGCTTGAGTTTCTATTATCAAATAGGTACTGGGGTCACACCCAGCGGGGGGTAAGCTGCAGAACAATCGGCAAGACGGCAGGCAAACCACCAATGCCGTCCCTCCCCCCCGTCCGCAGAGCCAATCCTCTTGGCCCATACCCACGTCTCCAGCCCAAATTGCCTTTCCAAGCGCACGTTGCACACAGGATGTTCCCGTGCATCCCGCGGCCCCATCTTCAGCGGATTGATTTTCCTTTCCCTGGATGCAGATGTCCAGACTGGTCGTTGGTCTTTGGTAAATGCTTCATGCTTCTCATGCTCACCCTCGCAGCACACACCCTTCGTTTCGAGATGATAAGTTGTAGTCTCTGAGAAATAGTTCGTTTGCCCGTAAAACGCCATCGCTGTGCAGTAGACCGTCGTCATTAATGGGATCAGCCTCAGAATAGCCGTCCGTCTCAGTCGTCATGTGCCGTCTGTCTGTGGTAAATGCAAACCCCTATAGCAACAACAAAGCCACCAAAAAAAAAAGTGTCATTCTCGTGTCTATTTTGGCGATGCTTCCCTCAAGACAAACGCTTGCTCATCTGCTCGGTGCCAGACATCAGCAACTCGAGGGCCCGTTTCGATCCCTTGGGTGTGAACTGCAGTTTGTCCATGTCACACCAGTTGTTCACATTCTGCAGGTGACAATTAGTAAAGGGTATAAACCGAGAAAAACCAGCGAGACCCAGAGTACTTACAATGCAGCTAAGGTACTTGCACCAACTGCAAGTGTGGTGGTAGAAGTAGAAGTTGTTCAATAGCAGGATGAAGACAACGACAACCACCACAACAAAGCCCGCTCGGACAAGCCACCACGCCCACCACAGCGGCTTGCGGCCCTTGAAGAAGCCGATGGGGTTCCGCATGAATGAAGGCGTCTCGCGGCTGAGGTATCCGGCATTGACAGACGCGTACGAGGCATCCTCCCCAATTCTGCGCCTCAACGCGTTGGGCGAGTGCAGCACCGAGATGCCTAGGGCCAGGCCCATGAAGAAACCGCCGATATGGGCAAAGTTGTCCAGACCTGGGAGCAGACCCAGGACGAACGAGATGACGATCTCGAGCCCGATGAAGAGCAGGTCCTTCAGTGGGTTGCGTCGATCCTTCCAAGAGTACAACAGGTCAAGCAAGGTCAGGGCGATGATGCCGAAGAGGGCGCCCGAGGCACCCGTCGAGGCCAGGCCGTCGCCCGCAAAGTTGCCACCCAGAACATTGCCAAAGATCCCCGCCGAGATGTAGACCAGGAAGAAGCGGATGGAGCCAATGGCCTTTTCCATATCTCGTCCGAGCGTCAGCTGGAGGACTAGGTTGAAGCCGATATGGATGATACCGGCATGCATGACTATGGGGATGATGAAGCGGAACCACTGGTTAGGCTCGGGCGACTGGTCCTTGTTGTTGTAGACGGGGTTGGGGACGCCGCCAAAGCCGCAAACCTCGGAGAGCGTGCACTTGTTGCGCGGATCGTCCGTGTCGTCAGTCGTTGAATTGGGGCAGTGCCAAAAGACAGGACCCGAACCGCCCTGGAGGTCGGGAATGTTGTGCATGCAAGGGGTGAATCTCGCTCCCATGTTGATCATCACGTAACTAGAGGGGCCAATCATGGGGTTGAACTGAGGCTTGATCATGATGGGCGAGCCGGTCAGTTGCGCTGTTTTTTTCCTTCTGGGTTAGTTTTCTCATGGTACTTCACAAGGTCTAGCAAGAGGCGGAACGTACCATTCCTGATGACCTCGGCGAGGAACACTGCGACCTGAACAAGCGTGAAGAAGTAGACGACAAATGTAATCTTCTTCTGTCCCGCCCCAAACATGCCCAGCTCGCCAAACCGGACCTTGCCCTTGTGCGCCCTGTTGGTGCCCCGAGGCACCTCGTAGACGTGATCGTTACCCTCGAGATCCTTGGTGGGCCGGTTCTGGAGGGGGATGCCATCCTGATTCGCCATCATTTGGTCCTCGGACGGCGTCCGACCTAGGCCGTGGTAGCCAGTGTCTTGAGGCAGGCTTTGGGCGGACGCGCCGCCCGGTTGCCGTGAGTTGGTCGGGTATACATGGTCATCGAAGGGCGTCTCGAAGGGCGACACGGGCGACACGCTCTGCGGCGGCCGTTGAGGAGCACTGGTCAGGTGCTGCTGTGAGGAATAGGGCGCGTACGAAGGCGGGTAGGAAGAGACTGTCGAGGCTGCGTCGTAAGGAGTGTAGTAGGGTGAAGAAGCCGACTGTGCGGCCGGCTGCTGTGGATTGGGGACACCGTAGTTTTGGTGCTGGGGCGGCGGCGTGCCGTAGTAGTTGTGAGAGGCCATATTGCCTAAGTACGATCGAGAAGATGATCAAGCTCCGGGGGGAATTCAGAGTTCGATCTACAGGCACGGGTTGGTCGAACGGGGCCTTAGCGACAGAGAGTGTGGTGGATGAGAAGAACAACAACTCTCGCGACTTTCCGCCAGGGCGGCTCCCAGGACGGGTATTGGCTGGAGTTGGATTCGAAGGGGTAAAGTTAAGTGTTTCGTCGTCAGAGCGCGGGTCGAGATTAAAAGCCGCCCTTTTGGCTGGTATTCTGTACCCCTAGCCAGCGCCGGTAAGTAAAGCAGCAAAATCTCAGTCGTTGATCGAGCCAGTACAAACGAAAGCAGGCCGAGGTCGTCTTTCTCGCGCAGTGAAACGACTGACTGGCCGAAAGTGTTCCTATCGTCAACACGATTGAAGGGAGTATCGAGCGAGCAATATGAAACACGGGTAGAAAAGGGTTTGCGAGGGTTGGGGTGCAGGGTCCTCCAAGTTTTGGGGAGGATGGAGCTGGGACAAAGACCCGAGCGCGGCGGCGCGCGCACGCTGTCGTCACACTACCTAGGTACTTAGTAGAAGAAAGCCGGCTGATGGTCGTGTGGGCGCCGTGTGGAGCGGGCTGTCGTCTCTCCTAATGGCTGTGCTGGAACAGTGCCTGGACTTTGGGCCTGTTTCAGTGGGTTAGCACCAGTCAGCTCGGGTAGCTAGTGGCCAGAGCCTCCCGGCACCCGTAAAGATCTGCACTGTCGAAGGCTCGTTTCAGGCTTGGGGCTGTACGCCGCTCTTTAACACGAAGCCGGCTGTGGCGCCACGTATTCGTCATATCGTCTTGGGTATCTGCCCAGCCTCCCACTTGGCTTTGTTGCGTCAGTGATGTGAATTGACGCAGGCTGAACAAGGTGTCCAGTGCCACACACATCCTCTTGTTCTAAGTTTGGAAATGGGTGTCCGTACTGGTACGACTGGCCAACCTCGTCACGGGACGCAGCTGCACAGTGCTAGAGACACGCACACGAATACAGCCCCTATTCGCGGTGCTGCCAGCGCGAACTCTTCACTGCATGAGCGATCAGTACTACCTATCGGTCACGTTTCCCACATGCTCTGTAGATAGTTATCTGGTATCTCGATATAACAACAAAAAATCTAGATGCATATTTCAATCCGCACTTCCCCCCTTTCCAATCCACGGAGGCCGCCGAGAATGGCCGCGTGCTCGTGCGGCGGGTATCTCGCCGGAGCTGGTGGCTGTGTCGAGCGGGTATGTGGGTTCCGCCTTCGGCACAGTGCCACGAACGAAGTCGGCTTTTGCCAGGCCACATCAACATCACCAGAAGCAAGCAAGCAAGCAAGCATTTGACTGCTAGGGCTCCATCGCCGCCATGCAACTGATGCGAGTAGCAATCGGTATCACGTACTTGTAAAAAATCACAGCTTATACTCCACGAACAGCGGGTCGAGCTTGGCCCTCCACTCCGGCGGCAGCGCCTCGTAGATGCCCCGGACCTGCCGCGCCCCGGTCGTGCGGATCATCCAGAGGTGCTCGTAGGGGATCCACAGCGCGAAGAAGTATGCCATGACGACGAGCGCCCGCGGCCGCCGCTGCGCCATGAAGTCGGCCAGGATCTCGGGCGCCCAGACCGCAAACGCCGCGAACCGCCGGCAGACGAGCACGTCGGGCTCCGTGCCGCTGCGCACCGCCGCCTCGCACCACCCGACGTAGCTGAGCGTGCGCAGGTAAAAGTGCCGCGTCACCTTGTCCTCCATCTCGCGGTCCGCCGCCTCGGCGAGCCCCTCGGGCCGGTCCAGCACCCACTCGAGGTGGGCGCGGTACTTGGGGTCGAAGATCTCGTCCGGGTCGAAGCGCGGCGGCGTGTTGAGGAAGCGCGTCATGCGGTCGCCGTGCCCGCCCCGCCCCGTGTTGGCGCCCAGGTGGCCCCGCGCGACCATGAAGACCTGGCCCACGCCGCGGCCCATCTGCATGAACTCGGCCGGCGGCTCCCACGGGCTGGCGGGCACGGTCTGCACCAGCGCGAAGACGTGGTTGAGCAGCTGCAGGCTCGATATGACGACGTGATCTGTGCGCTCGCTCGACAGCTGAGCCACGGCCCGGCGCTGCTCGCGGAGGGCCATGGCCAGGTATTGCTGCTGTAGGTTCCGGTAGTGCTCCGCCCGCTCGTCCCCGGCTTCCACGTACTCGATCCATTGACTCAGCGCCGAGTGCGCGAGGAGTCCGTAGAGGATGCAGTCGTTCTCAAACGCCATGTTGACCGTCTCGACCGACCATAGATACTCATTCGGGTTGGGCTGCGTAAAGTACTCCTCCGGGACGAGGGACCTCCTAAACGTCTTGGCCTGGTGCAAGAGGTAGTGATGCAGCAGCTGCATCTCCGTGATGCGTCGGTCGCGCGTCTCAGGCAGGTCGAGCACGTCGACGCTCCCTGGCTGGTGCGTCGACGAGTCCGACACGCTGCCTTCGGGCACGGGTGCGTCGGTCTCCATCTCGCCGCCATGCGCTGTGTGCGCGCGGGCGGAAGCCGGGGTAGACGCGCCGTGCTGCGAGCCCTCGGGCGGAGAAATGGCCATGCCCATGCTTTCAGAGCGTGAGTCCGGATTCGACTCGTGAGTGCCGCTGCTCGCCGCCGGTGACACGCCGTTGGGCGTGTGCGCTAAGCCCTGCGCTGCACCCCTCGTCGACGACCGGGAGCTCCTTGCATGCGCTCTCGAGTTCCCGTCCGCGTCTGCATTAGGATAGACGCACTCGACCAGGTGGCGGCTGCAGCCACCGCATGAGGGGCGGTCCTCATCGCACTGTGATGCGTGCGTCCTTAGTCACACAAACACATCTTACACCAGAGAGGGGCTCTCGTGACGAAACAAATGACAAGACAATGCCAAGACATTAGAGTATCAGAGTGCTTACCTTGACCCGTCTAGCCTTGCACCTCAAACAGCCTGTCCGAGACTTGCGATGGTAGAGTCTAGGGCCTGTTGGGCGTTGTGGCGCCCCGGGGTCGAGGGATGAATTGCCTGTCATGATTTGCGTTCCAGAGCTCGTGCGTGCCAAGCCTTCGATGAGTCTGCTAGATACCAGGCGGTTTGGATTTTATGAGCGCTGAGCCTCGAGGGCGCGCACCTGCACAGAGATGAGAAGAAAGTTGGTTGATTTGGCTAGCGAGGCATCAGATGTGTCAGACGGGGGAGTCAGCCCTATGAAGTCTTGTCGCAAGGCGCTTGGAGATCGGCCCCCCCACACCAGAAAGCTGACCGTATTCTCCATCAAGCGTTGGCGCATCTTCAAGGGCCGTAGATTGGACTGCTAAAGCCGGCCCCCAAAATGCTTAGCTCTGGGCTGTCACACCATCGACGACTTTGACATTACCAACCGTCGACATCGGGTGTGGCTGCCACTCGGCACCGACCGCTCACCTCAACGGCCCAATTGCCAAACGGAGTGATCCGAAGGGCTGCGTCTGGGAGGGTGAACTGCTCTTACTCTGCGTACCTGGACCTATGAGAACAGAGCCTCAAGATCCAGTTACAGCCTGACATCTTCCGGAAGACTAGTACAAAATCGCCCATTCCGCTAATGTTTCCAGTTCGTACTCATCATCATTGGCAGTCGTTACGTGCTTTACCACGCACACCTTTCTCAGCTACTCACCACCAGAGTCGGAGCTCCCGTCTTCATCCCCCGCGCCGCCGGCCTCCTTGCCCGCCAGCTTCTGCTCCTTGGCCTTCTGCCTCCTCTTCAGCTTCTTCTCCCTGTTGAGGCGCTTCTTCTTCTCCCGCAGGTGCTCCTCCTTGCTGATCTTGGACTTCTCCGCCGCCGCCGCCTTCTCCTTCTCGGCCCTGTCCTTGACCCTCAGCGCTATCCTCCGCTTCTTCCCAGGCCGCCGCTTCTTCTTCTTCTCCCGCTCGTCGGAATCTCGCATCGTGCTGCTCCCGCTCCCTCCTCCGAGGGGCCCATGCGACCCCAGCGCCGCCTCCGCAGGCCCCCAGCCGTGCTCCCTCAGCGCGCGCAGCTGCCTCGCCGAGAGCACCACCCTCCTCACCCTCCACGGCACCTCCAGGCCCCAGCTCCGCCGCGTGGCGCCCCTCAGCACGTCGTCGCCGCTCACGGCCGCGAACTCGTAGCGGGCCCGCTGCTGCCCCGTCGGCTCTCCGACGACGTAGTACTCGAGCGGCCTGCCCGCCACGATCGAGCCGGCGTTGCCGTCTGCCGCCGCCGCCGCCTCTTCGTCGGGCGAGATCACGACCTTGGGCGCCGGCGCGTCGGCAGAAGGGGCGGAGAAGAGGCGGAACTCGAACTCCTCTTGCGCCGCGGCGAGCGGCTGCTCCGCGCCTCCGTCGGCCGGCTGCTCTGCCGCCTCCGCCGCGTCCGGGCCAGCGCTCACGTCGAGGCCCAGCAGACGAGCTAGTTGCGCCCGCGCCTCGGCATCCTGCGCCTCGTCGTGGGGGCCGTCATCCTCTTCTGAGGAGTTGCCGTAGAGCTCTTCACGTCTCACCCTGTGTATGAGGTCCGTCAGCGTGTCATGTCCGTGAGCCATGTCGTGACCGATTGGGATATACCTCTTTGCGTTCGGGATCTCAAACATGATCAGATGTCTTGATAACCTCCCCGCGAAATGTCGAATTGAAAGTGTTTCGCAGAGGGGGCAAGCAGAACTAGGTGAGAAAATCTGGGAGCGCCAAAAGATTAATCTGCCTGCATATACTGGCTATCTTGTGGTCGGCAGCTTGGAGGAATCGTAGATTAATTGATTTGCAACCACTTTCTCCGGAGTACTGTTGCGAATCTGATGGGTGAATGAATATACGACCTTCAGTTTGGGGAAGCCAGACATTGAAGCCAGTGAGAAAGTCTGCGTGGGCGAGGGCGACAGGCCGCTTTGCGCTGACAGCTGTAGGCAGCTGGTTGTCTGGTTACCTCTTGAGCCTCACTGTGAACGCCTGGTGCACGGGGCTTCATCAACACCGAGCACACATGGAAAATTAGCCGCCCGGGCCCGTAACTAGGTGCAAAGAACCCGAAGACCCGGTTACACAGCGTCAAGTTGGTACGGAGGTAAACCGTGTCTCATTTCATCCCTGACCAACGGCAGCACGCAAGAGTGTGGACTGGAGATTGTGCGAAAACAACAGCACCTAACTACGTCCCGACACTGTGTTTCCTCTGCTTGTGTGCTCTACCTACCTTACCTACCCAAGGTTAGGTCCGTACCAAGGAGTACTTTGTACCAAAAGTGACAAGGGGTACGAGCCGCGGACACAAGAGTCATCATACTCGTGCATGGTCCCATCTCGCGTTTACCATCCTGCCGGGAGGACGCCCAAACCAACCCGGAAGGGCTGAAGAGAGGAAGAATCGCCCGGATGGAGAGGGGTGGGTAGCGCTGCTAAAGGGTTAAAAAAACGCCCCCAAGGGAAGCCTAAAACCAAGCCTAATAGAGATCCATTCCCACATCCCCGGTAAACTGGTGGTGAGTGGCACGGGCAAAGGTGACTCGAATGTCTGGCTCAGCCGCACACCGTTCCCTTTTGAGCAAATATAGACGAGAAAAGAGCGGCTCCCTTCTCCAGCGTTTCAGCTGCCGGTGCTACTGTAGCCTCGATCTAGTTACTAACTACCTCTTTTCAGTCTGCGTGCAAGCATGTGCAGTGGTGCCCCTTGCCTTGTGTGTGGGGGGGGGAGAAGCTGTTTGTTCCTTTTAAACGTGGCTTGCCCTACTCTGCCGCGCCGTTTCTCTGACCCGGAAAGTTTAACCCAACTTCATGCTCGTTCATTTCTGGCTGTTGTGAAACGTGGGCCAAAACCCGGGGGGGCTGGCTGATGTGCTACCTATCATGCTGTCAGCCGACGGAAAAAGCCGACTACAGTCCATCCATCCTCGTCCTCATGCTTCAACAAAGTGTTCTCTATTTCTTTCTTGTCTCGAAATACCCCAAAGCTAGCACTTGTACATATTTCTCTTTTTAAGAAAACGAACCGGCCTTCGTATATTGAAGCAATTATTCCCCGCAAGCCACAAGCAGGTCTTCCTCGAATCGGGTCCTAGCTGCCGCCGGGTGATGGACACACATGTGAATATCGCTTCTTTTTCTTATGCGAACTTTTTTGCTCCGCTCGAACAACAACAAACAAAAGCCGCTCCAGGTCTTAGAACAATGGGCTACCCTATACGGAACCGAGAATCTTCGTAAATAGCGTGCGAAATGGTGCTATCGGGATGCGATGCTGGTCATCCAAGACAAAATGTGCGAAAAGAAAGCCGCCCCAAAAGAAAATAACACCCAACACCTCCTGCGCCTTGCTGTCTGTGTCTCTGACGACTGACGCGTCGTCACGCCCGCGTCGCTTCAAAGCCGAAAATACTATGCCGTCCCAAGAACAAAAATCAAAAAGACCCGATCTCTTCCAGGCCGAGTGATATGGTAGCTATGAGCCATCTCTCGGCTTCCGGAACTGGAAGGAGGTCTCCGCCCGACTATGTTGTTGTTACAGGTATTGTGCATTTGTGAAGGCTCAAAGTCTTGCAGGGGACTCTGTCTGTCCCCCATCGCGAAGCTTGGTCTTGCTGTCTGCATCCAGCTTCGAAGCCTTACGGGTTGCGGCTTCTCTTCTCCCCGGTCCTAGAGCGGAATATTTTCTGGCTGGCTGACCCCTCTTAGGAATTTCCAACTTTCATATGGGCTCTGGATTTGCCTAGTTCGTACTCCACGAGTAGTGGTTCATGGCGTCAAATCCTCCTCTCTGAGCAGGATAAGGCTGGGGCGGAGATTGATGCTCCCCCTTTGGCCCGCTGCTCGATTTGTACTGATCGTGGAAGGCGTACGGCCTGTGCTCGCCGTTGGCATATGTCGAGGTGTTGGCCTCGCCCGCTGTCGTCGTCCACGAGTTGGGAGATGGATAATAGTCCCTCGGCGGAGGGGCAGGTCCGGTCGCCGAAGTCGGGTTCGACATGTTGCCTTCGGATGCAGCGCCTCCGTACGAGGGGGGCTGCGACTGCTGAGGACTGATCTCGGTAGAGTTGCTGCCTACCCCGCCGTACGGAGGGCCGTATCGGTACTCTCCAGGTCCATCATTGTTGGCAATCGAGCTACTGCTGTGAATGGACTGGTGGCTCGCATGCCGCGGGCTTTTGGACGGCCGCGGATTGTTGTCGACGTACCGCGGAACGCTCAAGTTGTTGTCCGACGTTGTGGGGACGGATACTTGCGAAGGCGCTGAAGTTCCATGGATGTAGGTGTACTGTGTCCGAATCGGCGCCGACTGCTGGTCGTTGGTCGCGAGAGACAGTTGCATCGAGGGCATGGATGTCTGGAGAGACAGGTCCTGGGGCTCCGAACTAAATGTCTGCGCCCCGGACAACGGCATCTTCTGGTACGGATCGGCCGGTATAGTCGTTGCTGGGTAAGTGCCAGTTCCAGAGGCTGGAGCCGGAATCTGCGATGGGTTCCACGTCGTCGGGTACGAGCTGCTACCGTATCAGTGTTTGATGCTCGAACAGAATCTGCAGAAGAACTGCATCCCGGCGGCCACCCCGGAAATGCAAACGACTTCGGCTTCGAAAGTCTTCGGAACTAATCAGGCAGTCTAGCACCACTCACTTTGATCTCATCGCGATGGGGCTTGTCGGCAGTTTAGGCCCAGATGTGAAGGTGAAGGCTGACCTGGGTACTTCCATGTTCAATGCCCTTGCCTTGTCGTGTGGCTTGATCGCCAAAGGTCCAGCAACGATTCCGAGCCCAGTTTCAACTAGCGCCTGCCCTCTGGATCCAGCGCTTGAGCCCAAGAGTGGAATCTCCTTCCTTGCCTGGAAGTTCCTCGGACTGCGTCCCCTGACGACAATGGGGGCAGTGGTTGCCTCGGTAAGGACGATCTTTGTCCCATTTGCCAGCGTTCCCACGACCTTGAGATGGAGCACAAAATGCTGCTGGAGTTCTTTCCGCCGCCCATTGTTCGCCGTCGCTCTGAATATCAACCATTAGCTCGCTTGCACAAGGGACACGACTGGGACTTGGAGAAGCCTACATCCGGAACTGAAGTCGCCGCCAACCTATCGGATACACGGCATACTCTCCCTCGCTGTCCGTTCCATCATCTTGAAAAGGAATCAAAGGTAAGGACGGGGGCTCCTGGTCCGGCCCTTGATTGATTTCGGGAGAGTTTGGAGGTGGCGTCTTCCATGGGATGACTATCAGGCGGACTGGGTGCCCATCCACCGACTCTATCGCCGAGATGGTCACCTCGGTGTTGTTGACTGGAACCGTTTCTCCTGCCTCGGTGATCACCGACAGCTGGCCGCGCGGTGTGATCAACGAGCCGCTGATCTGGAAGAGGTTTCGTCGATAGCAGGTCAACTCTGGCTGGAGGATGGATCCATCGTTGGCGTTCGAGGGCATTTCGGAGAGGAAGAACATGCCGTGCAACTGCGCCGACAGTTCGAGTTGCTGGATGCGGCCATGCTGGTCCAAGATCGTGTGCTTGTCCTGCACCCTTCTGAACGAAAGCAACTTGTGGTCATGATTGACACCCAGCTTGGACCCGTCATCCCTGAGATCCTGGACAATCTCGGTGTACGGTGGCTGTTCAGTTTGCGAGTACGGCCTCTTCAGATTGGGGAAGCTGTGGTGCGTTGCTAAGGATGGGTGAGTCTGCCTCTCGTACGCGTCTGCTTCCTCCTGAGGGTATCGGCCGTAGGGATACGCATGGTGATCCATGCTGGGCTGACTGCTCCTTGGACGCCCGAGATGCTGCGCTGCGGCCGAGTTGTTGGGGACGCCCGGGTCCAAGCCGTGGGCGAATCGACCTGCAGGCATCTGCATCTGCCCTCCGTAATTGGGCCAGAGGTTGTTGTGGCCAGGCTCCTTCAGCTCTGCCATCGTTACTGAATAAGTGGCAGCCGACATGTGAACATGTCTGCCCCAGCCGAGACAAGGAAAGATGCCGGAATCTCGACCTGTTCCAGGACGAAGAGACTCTTGGTTCCTAGACCGACCGCAGAGTCAAAACCAAGAGCATTCGCCGCTCGCCTCAAAGTATCAGCGAGTCCTTGGGTCTCCGGCAAGTCTGGTCGTTAGGACAGAAAAAAGGATGCCACGATATCCAGTTGACGATGGTCGCGACTGGGCTCAAAGATACAACAGAAACTAAGGTGATAGTTGAAGGTGGTGTTGGGATCCGGGTAGAGATGTACTTGTATGTGATACAGTAGATGTTGGAGGGGTGTATTTTATGAAAGACTTCGGCAGTGGCCTTGGAGTGGACCAGAGCTAGTTCGACCTCGCAGGGCTCTGCCAGTGCGGTAGGAGGTCCAAGGTCACTTCAAGGTTGAGGAACAAGGACAAGTGGGAAACTGGAGACAGGGCCGTTTTAGTACAAAGTCACACGCTGGAGCGCAGTGCATGTAACCGTACAGGGAAGGAGATGGAGAAAACGGGGCGATCTCGCAGGCGGATGACAAGGTCAGTACGTCGAGATGGGGGTACCATACGCGATGTCGCTCAAAGGAGGTTCCCTCGCCAGAGCAAGGACGAGGTACCAACCCCCCCAGGCCGGTCCCTTCGCCCATACACCTCTTGCTAAGGAACAGGATAGCAAGCAGTGGCCGGGCCTGCAATAGCTTCTCGCGGACAATGGCAAATTGGAGCACAAGCCGAGAAGCAGGACCCGAGAATAGCGGGTCTGATTCGTTCTGAGAGAGGAGAGCGAAGGCAATGTGTAGAAAGACCAAGAGAAGGACTACTGGCTGGAGTTCTCGATGATTGTATCGCGCAGACTGCAGGACCAAGAAGGAAGGAGCAGCAGCTAGGTAACGCACTTCACAGGACGGCATGCCCGTCCCCTGGCTCTTGTTTTGCCGAACACACGCAAATCACCACTGTGTGTAGGTGTGCGTGGGTGTGTGCGCCGTGTGGGTGTGTGTACCTAGTTATGGAGCGTGTACACACATCATGTACAAGTACTGTACTTGTATTTGCTCAGATTTCATCGAGCACCTACCTACCCTTGCGAATGCGCCCATCTGGTTGCAAATGCGGATGTGCCTCCAGGGGGGATGGAGAGACAACCAAGACAAGGATTGGGGGGAGGGAGTCGCCGGGGGCTTCCCGCCGCCGTCTAGACAGACAGACAATGGGGGTAAAGGGCCCTTGGGGCCTTGTCAAGAGACGGAGAGTGGTAAGTTCTCTGTAAGCACACCCCTCCTGCCGGTCCAGTCCGGTCAAGAAGCGTTTCCTGTCTCTCCAGGTATCACCCTTGCCAGTCCAGATCAGGGGCACCTGATTAGAGAATAATCCTCCGGTGACTCTGAATAGGTTAGAGGCCCGCATTTTCTAGAAGACCGTTGGGTGAACGAGCCGAAGAGCAGGCTGGAAAGGGAATGGTGGGAAAGCAGGGGATAGGGAGGACCAGAGATGGTTCAGCAAATTGGTCTTCTCTGGCCAACCGAGCTTACGTTTGGACAGTCCCACCGACTGGGGTCTTCCCTCCCTCCCACCGACCCCGGTCAACAGCAATTACACAACCCGGCAGCCATAACGATCTGGTTCTCAAGCCGCTCGACCCAGACCAAAAGTAGTCCAAGGTACCGTCTAGCGGGTTGGTTATTGCTTATAGAAGCCGTTATATATATCCACAGGTGCTGTGCTTCTTTTCTTTTCTGGTCTCCTGTTTGGACATTGTCGACGTCAATAAGACTTTCGCGAGAGCTAGCCCTTTGGCAAATAGCCTCGAACGAATTTTAAATCTGGACCCGGAAAGGGTGGAGAGCAGCAGTCTCTCAGTGCCTAGGTAGGTTTGCCTGGTAGGACTAAACCCATCAACACACTCGTCCAGGAACGGCGCTCATATCCGTGGCCAAGGCAGATCGGCAATGGCCGATATATATGAAATAGAATAAGAAGGACAGACAGGCGACGCGGAACAGGCGATCGCAAATACGAACCGCGTAATGCAAATGACAAAACGAAGGAAATTGAGAATGCAGGTGGACTAGGAGAGGCAAAGCCGAGCACAAGAAGAAAACAGAACTCTGCCAATCAGAAACGGAGAGAATGTACGGAGCCTTGCCTCTGAAGATGGCCAGGCATTGGTCCAAAGTGGAGGTGAGCGGCAGCTCTGCATGTCGACTGCAGCGCCTAACAGCGTCCTCAAGCGACCCGGCCTGGCCGTCTCGAAGTCGGCCGAGAAACCAAGACTGGTGGTCTGCATGCATCGTTTGAATGGGCACGAGTCGGTCACTGCTGTGCAGACTCGTGGTTGCGAGACATTCTGGGTCCTTATGTCCAGTGCCGTTGAGCAAGCAATGAGGAGTAATGCTTGGCGCGTGCAGCTCAGATCTAGCGGCATCGCTTGATCATTGATAGGATGCAGGTCGAAAGGTGGATGCCAGTGGGATGTCTGTGAGAGGCATCCTCTAGAGATACCTACTCCGTACTCCGTACGGTCTGTTGTAGGCAAAGAGTCAGGCATTGCGTGGTTCTTGATTGACAGACAGGGCCATGGCCAAGGCGTTGACAAGGCCGTTGATCAGCCAAGCATTATCGACAGGTGTCCTTGCAAAGTGGATGTGGAGGAGCGGAACCAGAGCCGGCCAGAGGGACACAGGGACTCAGGCGCACGCGCACTCAGAGAGAGACAGAGAGAGGTTGAGAAAAAAACGCGGAAAAAGTGACTTGGGTGATGGGATGATGGTGGCCCAGTGGGTGTGTGTGGTGCGTGTGGTGCGTGCATTGGTGATGGCAAAGATGGTGTGTGGGCGTCGACTCTGGACTTGAGATGATGGGAGAGACGGAGCACAAGAGCAGGAGAATGTGCATGCTAGGGGAGCTAATGTAAGGCAGGTGCTTTCCCGGGCCTATTACGGTAGGCGTAGAGGTCCAGTCGGCCGTGGGAGGACGCTTCCCGACAGGGATAGTCGAACCGGGACCCATTGTTTCTGCCCCGACTCGTTCCCCCCCAGAGCCTAGCACCCTAGGAGGGGTGGGAGGGAGAGGTGAGGGGGCCCTTTGGGGGGGCGGGCGCGCGCAATGGGGGACCGCGCCCTGAAGGGTTCCTCGAGCGGATGTACAGTGCTAGTTCCCTTGTCGGTGAGCTAAGCTAAGCTCCCTAGCTTCCTTTCTAGCCCACTTCCTAAGAGTAAGGTACCTTGCTTTAGCACACGAAGGTGCACTAGCTCGCTAACAACCGACCTCTGTATTGAGAGGAGAAGCGTGCGTCTAGCATGGACCCCCCCCTCTGATTAGCTAGAGCTGCTCATAAAGACTGGGTTTACTAACGGGTGCGGATTCGACGACATGCCAGGAAGGGCAATACGGCCACACTGCTATCCACCGATAGCAGAACTCTCTTAACGTCATTTGAGCACTCGGCCCTTGAAGAACTGCTCTTGAGCGAGAAAGCCTCTCTTTTAATTGTGGGCGTCTAATTTGCCAGAGTGGCGCTTATCGAACGATGCCTGCTTCGTAAGGGCCAGAGCCCAAGTACTTGGGTTTCTTTTGGATGTGTATGTGTGTGAGTTCAAGATTCAGCAATGCGACTCGGTACCTTTGTCCCTGTTTCCCTGTCCACACCAGAGTCGCCAACTAAATCCGACCGACCCCCTCGCTTGCAGGCTATCAGAGCATGTCGGTTTGATTCTGTCCCCGAGCTCGCGTTGGGTTTCGCCACTGCCCGACTACCGACTACCTACTTCGTACCTCTCCCTCATGCGAGGTGAGGACATAATCCCGGAGTGGGATGGAGATCAAAAGCGATCCATGTCACGTAGTCATCCCATCGGACAAGTGCGCACGGATAGACAGTAGCACTACGATCTGCATACGCGAACGGGAGTGTAGCGCAGAATACCAATGCATTCCTATCGTCGATAAGGGGGGTTACATCACCGAGGCATGTCTCCCAACGACCCCGGTACTTTGCTATTGGCGCGCAGCATGTGCTCCTTGGGGGATCAGCCGCCGAGGAGCCATCTCATCAGTGTTTGTCTTGCGCTCTGGTGATAAGTTAGGAAGCTTGAGAAAACCGTGACGTGCATCCCCCGTGAGGGGCGTATCCAGGTTGGTAAGCAAGCCTACCATTACGCAGAGATCAGAGACTGACTGCATCTTGGCCCCCCTCCCTCACAGTGGCGATCACTCCATACAGGGGAGGGACGGAGGCAAGACAACATCAAGTGCATCTGGTCTGCATGCCACCCGAGCTGCAAGGCCAGGGGTAAGCCTGTGATTGGAAGACTCTACAGGAAGATGAGAGAAATTGGACAAGACATGTTCTGCATCATTCAGCAACCGCTAGAGGCCTGTAGGAGTGGCCAATCATTCGTCGACCTAGGCCGTAAGATGAGTTCAACTGTCGATTGTTTGTTTCTACTGGTGCTGGTGGATATCGCGGCATCACAACACCGAGTTGACAGCACGCTGGCCTTCCTTGTCATCCCGCGGCGGACCGTGTTCCTCTCCTCGCTGCCACCGGTTTCCTGGTGTTGTTGAGGTCCGAGACGGGCTTTGCTTGCAGAGCAACATGACAACTAGGGAAATTCGACGGTCCTTGCTTGCCAACAGAGAGCGCACCAGGTACGCACCCACCATAGGAACCACAGCATTTCCATTCTTCTCTGTGCAAAACTCGACCATCACCACAACCATATTCATGATTTTGCAGGCCTAGGTAAGCATTTGAGCTATTTGGTAAGACACTCATATTACGAAGTACTGCACGGCGTCTAAGCACTACATGCGGTCTAACGGTGCCATGAGGTGGTGGTGTCAGACATCAAGTCAAGTGAGACAAGGTAGCTTTTGCCGCCGACCCCCAACATTCATGACTGTTGTTTTCTTACCCTCCCAAAGATCTAATATTCTGATGTCAGCTGGGCCCAGAC